TAATTATTATTATTATTATTATTATTATTATTATCATCATTTACCGATTGACTTTGCAACTGCAAGGCTATTAAATGCGAATCAAGCTGGCCAATGGCAACATGTCTCCAACAAACAAGAGTTCTTTCTCCCTCCTTGGACATTAGGTATATAAACTCCACTTGCCTAGTTTCCAAGAGACCCCACAACCTCTGAGGATGCCGGACATAGATGTGGGCAAAATGTCAGGAGAGAATGCTTCTGGAACAGGGCCAGTCAGCAACCCAATAATAATAATAATAATAATAATAATAATAATAATAATAATAATAACAACAACAACAATACAACAGCCAGCTGAGTGTCTGCCTGTGGGCTCATCTTGTTGTGTTTCAAATAATAATAATAATAATAATAATAATAATAATAATAATAATAATAATAATTTTCGCCGATACATCACACAGTCCTAGACACTTGGGAAGTGTCCGACGTGTGATCCAATATGACAGCCAGACGAGTGTCTGCTGTGGGCTCATCTTGTTGTATTTCTAATAATAATAATAATAATAATAATAATAATAATAATAATAATAATAATAAAATAATAATAATGGATAATAATACCTCCAATATCCTCAGCCCTTGGGAAGACCCTGATATTCAGAGATGAAACCCAGACACTTGGACCTGATGTGCACACATGCTGTGTTGTTATGCACATGTCATAAATAGTAATATATTATATCTATGTATATAATAAAAGTCAGTGTTTGTATGTGGAGGGAGGACGGGAGATGTATGTGGCAGCATTCTGATTGGCTGCCACTGTGGTACAATTTGCATATGGTCTCTGATTGGCCAGCCTCAAAACTCCAAGATTCTGAGGTGACAGAGGAGAGGAAAAGGCCTGAGGCTGTGTCAGAAAATTACCAATACAGACCAAACTTGGCACAACAGAGCCCTCAAGACCTACTGCAGTTTGGAGGAGGATGGACCATGGATGATGGGACTTGCAATACAATCACTCACTTTCTGAGACCGCTGTGACTCTCATCCAATGACTGATCAAGACTAAACTTGGCACACAGAGCCCCCATGACCCACGCTACATCCTACTGCAGTTTGGAGAAGGATGGACCATGGATGATGGGACTTGCAATACCATAACTCACTTTCTGAGACTGATGTGACTCTCATCCAATGACTGATCAAGACCAAACTTGGCACACAGAGCCCCCATGACCCACACTACATCCTACTGCAGTTTGGAGGAGGATGGACCATGGATGATGGGACTTGCAATACAATCACTCACTTTCTGAGACCGCTGTGACTCTCATCCAATGACTGATCAAGACCAAACTTGGCACACAGAGCCCCCATGACCCATGCTACATCCTACTGCAGTTTGGAGGAGGATGGACAATGGATGATGGGACTTGCAATACAATCACTCACTTTCTGAGACCGCTGTGACTCTCATCCAATGACTGATCAAGACCAAACTTGGCACACAGAGCCCCCATGACCCATGCTACATCCTACTGCAGTTTGGAGGAGGATGGACCATGGATGATGGGACTTGCAATACCATCACTCACTTTCTGAGACCACTGTGACTCTCATCCAATGACTGATCAAGACCAAACTTGGAACACAGAGCCCCCATGACCCACTCTACATCCTACTGCAGTTTGGAGGAGGATGGACCATGGATGATGGGACTTGCAATACCATCACTCACTTTCTGAGACCGCTGTGACTCTCATCCAATGACTGATCAAGACCAAACTTGGCACACAGAGCCCCCATGACCCAATCTACATCCTACTGCAGTTTGGAGGAGGGTGGACCATGGATGATGGGACTTGCAATACCATCACTCACTTTCTGAGACCACTGTGACTCTCATCCAATGACTGATCAAGACCAAACTTGGAACACAGAGCCCCCATGACCCACTCTACATCCTACTGCAGTTTGGAGGAGGATGGACCACGGATGATGGGACTCGCAGTACTTGCGAGCCATATAAATAACTGATAAAGACCAACCTTGATGCACAATTCCTTTCTCAAATAACCCGGGCAGCACCGGGTCCCCAAGCTAGTATATAATAAACATAATAACAATCTATCATATAATAATAGCCCGATATTCAGACGAATCCCAGACACTTGGACTTTGGGTGCTGTGTTGTGATGCACATGCAATACAGTAACATTGATGCTGATGGAGATGATGCAGGTGCCATGCGTTCCCCTTGCGAGGGTCAAGGGATGGTGGGTGTCTCACCAATGGGGGTCCTTCCATCGCTGAAGCAGTTGATTCCTGGCCCCCGTCCCACTCCAGGGTTCCCGGGGAAAGGATCCAGCTCTTCTTCCTGGCCTTCGTCATCCTCCTCCTCGTCCTCTTCCTCCTCGCCCACCACCTAAGCGCATCATTCATCACAACCATAACAACAACAATAGGGTGCTCATCCCTGCCTCCCTCCCTGCCTGCGTTGCACTTACAAAAGCCCCCCCTGGAGCCCCATTGCCCAGGAAGCGCAGGGGGTCTTCTTCCTCCTCCTCGTCCTCGTCCTCTTCCTCTTCCAAGGGGGTCTCTTGGGGGGCTCCACTGCCGAGGAGGAGCCAGCCGGAGTCTGGGGGTCCCTTCTTGCGCATCATAGCCAGGGAAGTATGCGCATTGAAGACAGGCAGGCCTGGGAAGAAGAAGGGGAGGAGGAGGAGGAGAGGGAGGAGCCAAAGGCACAAGACCCCAATAGAGAGGGAGAGAGGGAGGGGCCTGGACCCCCACCCCCACCCCGCCCCGCCCACCCAAAAGAGAACCCACCACTCAAAGGATTTCATTACTGGAATCACTATCATTTGCCAGCTGATTAACATTGAGCTAAAGTTGCCATTGCCCACCTTGGTTAGCATTGAGTAGCCTTGAAGCTCAAAAGTCAATCAGTGAGGGTCTCTGCATAGAGGTAGCAAAGCAAGTGGAATGTATATATATATCTGTGGAATGATGTCCAGGGTGGGAGAAAGGATTCTGGCAAGTGTGGATGTTGCCATTGCCCACCTTGGTTAGCATTGAGTAGCCTTGCAGCTCCAAAGTCAATCAGTGAGGGTCTCTGCATAGAGGTAGTGAAGAAAGTGTAATGTATATATATATATATATATATATATGTATATGTATATATATATATCTGTGGAATGCGGTGGGAGAAAGGACTCTGGTCTGTGTGATGCAAGTGTAGATGTTGCCATTGCCCGCCTTGGTTAGCATTGAGTAGCCTTGCAGCTGCAAAGTCAATCGGGGAGGGTCTCTGCATAGAGGTAGCAAAGCAAGTGAAATGAGTGTGGATTGATGTCCAGGATGGGAGAAAGGACTCTGGTCTGTGTGATGCAAGTGTGTATGTTGCCATTGGCCACCTTGGTCAGCACTGAGTGGCCTTCCAGCTGCAAAGTCAATCAGTGAGGGTCTCTGCATAGAGGTAGCAAAGCAAGTGGGGTGTATATATATCTATGGAATGATGTCCAGGGTGGGAGAAAGGACTCTGGCAAGTGTGGATGTTGCCATTGCCCACCTTGGTTAGCACTGAATAGCCTTGCAGCTGCAAAGTCAATCAGGGAGGGTCTTTGCATAGAGGTAGCAAAGCAAGTCAAATCAGTGTGGAATGATGTCCAGGGTGGGAGGAAGGACTTTGGTCTGTGTGATGCAAGTGTGGATGTTGCTTGTAGTATTGAGTGGCCTTGCAGCTGCAAGTCAAACAGGGAGGGTTTCTGCAAAGAGGCAGCAAAGCAAGTGGAATGTGTATGTGTGTGTGTATATATATGTGGAATGTTGTCCAGGGTAGGAGAAAGGACTCTGGTCTGTGTGATGCAAGTGTGGATGTCGCCATTGGCCACCTTGGTTAGCATTGAGTGGCCTTGCAGCTTCAAAGTCAATCAGTGAGGGTCTCTGCATAGAGGGAGCGAAGCAAGTCAAATGCATATATCAGTGTGGAATGATGTCCAGGATGGAGGAAGGGACTCTGGTCTGTGTGATGCAAGTGTGATTTTTGCCATTGGCCACCTTGGTTAGCATTGAGTAGCCTTGCAGCTGCAAAGTCAATCAGGGAGGGTCTCTGCATAGAGGTAGTGAGGCAAGTGGAATGTATATATATATATATATGTGGAATGATGCCCAGGGTGGGAGAAAGGACTCTGGTCTGTGTGATGCAAGTGTGGATGTTGCCATTGGCCACCTTGGTTAGCATTGAGTGGCCTTGCAGTTGCAAAGTCAATCAGGGAGGGTTTCTGCATAGAGGTCTGTTGAAAATGAGGCAAGTGGTCTGTATATATCCCTGTAGAATGATGCCCAGGGTGGAAGAACTCTTGTTTGTTGGAGGCAAGTGGGAAAGTTGTCACTGGCCACCTTGATTGGCACTGAATGACCTTGCAACTTCATAGCCTGGCTGCTTCCTGCCTGGTGGAATATTTTCTTGGCCCTGATTGTTTCCTGTCTGGAATTCTTGTTTTCTTTCTTTAGTGTCCTGATTCTGAACTTTTCAAAATACCAACATAAGGATTCCCCTAGGCTGGAAGCAGCCAGGCCTCAAAGCTGCAAGGCTATTCAGTGCTAAGCAAGCTGGCCAATTGCAGCATTCTCACTTGCCTCCAACAGACAAGGGTTCTTTCTGCCATCCTGGACAGGGATGTATATAAACCCCCCTAGCCTATTTTCCAACAGACCTCCCAACCTCTGAGGATGCCTGCTAGAGATGTGGGTGAAACATCAGGAGAGAATGCTTCCAGAACATGGCCAGGCAGTCCGGAAGACTCACAGCAACCCAGTTATTCCGGCCATGAAAGACTTCAAGTCAGATTGCATATGTGTGTATTGGTATCCAGTTTTCCTTAACTCTGTGTTGTGGAGGAGGCTGCAGACCATGTGATCAGATCTGGGACTATTCAGGACTCAGACTCTATTTTAGAAGTTGGTAGAAACAGAATGCTAGACTCTCAGAATTGAGAAATGCCTTAGACTTTTGACTGTTGACCTCAGAATGCAAGGCCTTTATTGGTTCCCAGGGGCAGAGAGGGAAAGGGAGATACGGGGATTGTATGGATGTCCTCGCAGTCCAAGTCACATCCCGAGCCTCTGGACACAGGCCTCGGCCCAGCGGTCAACCACTGGAGATCCTGGTCCATTGGGTCACGCTGTATTCGGAGGAAGGAGTCCGGCGTCGGCCTGGTCCTGGCGCCAAAGGTGTTCGGCCAGGCCGTTGAGGAGAGGTGCTACGTCCGAGAGTCCGGCCCGGCGCCCGGCGAGGCTCTTGACCCGCAGGACGGGCAGCCCCCAGGAGTGGCCCAAGGCCGACAGGTCTGCCTCCGTCACGTCCGAGTGGGCAAACTGGTCAAACCGGGAGGAGGGAAGCAAGGGTCAAGGAAGGGCAAACATGGACATAGAAATGGGGTCTGGCACATGTGTGTATGTGGCAGAGGTGTCTGCTTCTACAGACAGCCTTCCGCCTCAACAAACAGCTTTAACATGTCTCCCAACCCCTGCCAATGTGCAAACACCATACTGCCCACCAAGTGACAATTTCATCCTGAATTTCCTGTATTTTCCTCTAGAATGGACATCCCAGGGTTCCTTTCACTCTCCATTGCTGTGGAATTTGTATGATCTCACCCATTACCTCTCCCTTATACTTTTCTACCCTTTCCTATGACACCATTCTGCTCGCAACACAAGTGAAAGCTTTCATACGAGGACAATTTCATTCTGGATTTCCTGTTTTAACTCCGGACATCCCAGGGTTCCTTTCTATCTCCATCAGTGTGGAATTTGCATGATCCCCTGCCTCTCCCTTAATCCTTTCCTACCCTTTCCTATGACACCATCCTACTCACAACACAAGTGAAGGTTTCATACAGGGACAATTTTATCCTGGATTTCCTGTTTTAACTCCGCAACGGACATCCCAGGGTTCCTTTCTCTCTCCATTGCTGTGGAAGTTGCATGATCTCATCTACTGCCTCACCCTTACACTTTCCTACCCTTTCCTATGACACCATCCTGCTCGCAACACAAGTGAAAGTTTTCATACAGGGACAATTTCATCCTGGCTTTCCTGCCCCCCCCAGAATGGACACCCCAGGGTTCCTTTCTCTCTCCATTGCTGCAAGATTCTGCCCACTGTCTTTCCTTTATCCCTTTCCTATGACACCATCCTGCCCGCAACACAAGTGAAGGCTTTCATACAGGGACAATTTCACCCTGGATTTCCTGTTTTTCCTCCAGAACAGACATCCCTGAGTTCCTTTCTCTCTCCATTGCTGTGGAATTTGCATGAACTCACCCTTATACTTTCCTACCCTTTTCTATGACACCATCCTGCTTGCAACATAAGTGAAGGCTTTCATATAGGGACAATTTCATCCTGGATTTGCTTTCGTTGTCCCCAGAATGGACATCCCAGGGTTCCTTTCTCTCTCCATTGCTGTGGAATTTGCATGATCTCACCATTATACTTTCCTACCCTTTTCTATGACACCATCCTGCTTGCAACACAAGTGAAGGCTTTCATATAGGGACAATTTCATCCTGGATTTGCTTTCGTAGTCCCCAGAATGGGCATCCCAGGGTTCCTTTCTCTCTCCATTGCTGTGGAATTTTCATGATCTCAGCCTTATACTTTCCCACCCTTTCCTAGAACGGAGAGGACCGGAACCGGCCATATGCAAAGGATACTTGGTGCCGACCACCATCTTGAGTGGGGCCCTTCCGGAGACCTGTGTTGCCGGTGCCACCACCCGGGAGGCCTGTTGCGGGAGGTCCTCGAAGGAAGAGCGGTCTGTGAAGGAGAAGAGGAGCAGCACGGCGTCGGCCTTCTCCAAGCAGGACTGTGAGGGAGAGAAGAGGAGAAGAAGATGGAGGGGACCGGGGCCCTTTGCATTGGCCCCCCAGCACCCCAGCTGACCCACTCACCGGCAAGATGTGGTCGAACCTCTTGAGGGCGGCCTCCCCACAATCCCAGAAGGAGAAGCGGAAAAAGAGGGCTCGACCACTCTCTTGCAGCTTCACGGGCCAAAAAACAGTGGACGTCTGGATCCCTGCAGAAGACGAGGAAAGAAGGAAGGAGGCCAGGTGTCAGCTACCCCTCTGAGGGGCATGTCAGAAATATTAAAATTAACTACGTATTTTTAATTACAAAAATTTGAGTCAAGCACTGAAAGAGTTAAATGAGTGCAATGATTCAGCAAAAGCTGCATTTCTATATAAGCAGGTGTGCCTGTAGCTTAGCATCCGTCAGTCTGAGAGAGCCCTCAGTGTGAGAAGTCTGTGAGAGAAACCTCTGTGTGAGGTAGTATGTGAGAGAAGCCTCTCTGTGTGAGAGAACACCTCAGTGGGAGAATAGGTCTCAGTCTGTGAGAAGGCCTCACAGTGTGGGGTAGGCCTTAGTCTGTGAAAGAAGTCTCTGTGTGAGGTAGGTCTTCGTGTGTGTGAGAAGCCTCTCTGTGTGAGAGAACGCCTCATTGTGAGAATAGGTCTTGGTCTGTGAGAAGTCCTCACATTGTGAGGTAGGTCTTAGTGTGTGAGAGAAGGCCACACAGTGTGAGGTAAGGCCTTAGTTTTAAATGTGTTACTGTGTATTGTTTTATTGTTTTTATTGTTGCTTTAATGTTTTTGGTTTGCTTTATGAGTTTATTATGTATTTGTTATGCTGTTGTTTTACTGAGGCCTTTGGCCTGTGTAAGCCGCATTGAGTCCTTCGGGAGATGCTAGCGGGGTACAAATAAAGTTAATAATAAAATAATAATTAGTGTGCGAGAGAAGCCTGTGTGAGAGAATGCTCACACAGAGAATAGTGGGAGAATAGGTCTCAGTCATAGTAGCCCTCATTGTGGGAGAAAGGCCTCAGAGTGTGAGGTAGGCCTTGTTATGAGAAAGCCTCGTGTGTGAAGGTCCAGTGTGGGGTAGGCCTTAGTCTGTGAGAGACGCCTCTGTGTGAGGTAAGTCTTAGTGTGTGTGAGAAGCCTCTGTGTGAGAGAACGCCTCATTGTGAGAATAGGTCTCAGTCTGTAAGAAGTCCTCACACCGTGAGGTAGGTCTTAGTGTGTGAGAGAAGGCCACACAGTATGAGGTAAGGCCTTTGTGTCTGAGAGAAGCCTCTGTGTGAGAGAACGCTTCAGTGGGAGGTCACAGTGGTAGTATCCCTCATTGTAGGGAGGCCTCGTTATGAGAAAGCCTCGTGTGTGAAGGTCCAGTGTGCGGTAGGCCTTAGTCTGTGAGAGAAGCCTCTGTGTGAGGTAGGTCTTAGTCTGTGTGAGAAGCCTCTCTGTGTGAGAGAACGCCTCATTGTGAGAATAGGTCTTAGTCTGTAAGAAGTCCTCACACTGTGAGGTAGGTCTTAGTGTGTGAGAAAAGGCCACACAGTGTGAGGTAAGGCCTTAGTTTGTGAGAGAAGCCTCTGTGTGAGAGAACGCTTCAGTGGGAGAATAGGTCTCAGTGGTAGTAACCCTCATTGTGGGAGAAAGGCTTCAGAGTGTGAGGCGTCCTCGTTATGAGAAAGCCTCGTGTGTGAAGATAAGCCTTAGTCTGTGAGAGAAGGCCTCAGAGTGTGAGGTAGGCCTTAGTCTGAGAGAAGCCTCTGTGTGAGGTAGGCCTTAGTCTGTGAGAAGGCATCACAGTATGAGAAGGTCTGGTGTGAGAGAAGCCCCAGGTTGAAGTCCTTGTGTGTAAAGCTACTGTGTGAAGCTCCTTTGTAACTTCGGTGTGAGAAGAGGCTCTGTGAGAGTGAAGCTGCTTATCTGCATGAGAAAGAAGCCCAGCAAGGAAGCAAAGAAGGAAGTATAAAGGGCTACTGTTGTTAGGTCACACTGCTGCTAATAAGTTACTCTACTGTGCATTTATGGGGAGGGCCTTTTATTAATAAGCCCATTCACCCAACGGGACACACACATACACACACCAGGGAAGGGTTCCAGGCCCACCTGGGGTCTCCTGATGCGTTGGGGGCACCTCTGCTCCGGCCAAATGGGCCACCAGTGCTGTCTTGCCCACGCCGCTGCGCCCTGAGACAAAGACCTTGTAGCTCACCACGTCCGCAGCCGCCTGCGGGGAGAGCGCCGGCCTCTCCAGCAGCCCTGTGAGGAGAGGATGGGACAAGGGGGCATCTTGAGCATGTGCAGAGCGCCTGCCTTTTGGAAGGGTTTGCAGTGAGTCCGGACGGAAGACATCGAAGCATCAAAGGGCCGGATGAATGGCCTTTGGGGAGGTCCTTCCCAAACCTAGGACTCATTCAATGTCCTTTTGAGTTGGACACCCATCCAGACTTTCCTACTGTGGACGTTTTGAAGTGGAAGCTGGACGGCCATCTGTTGGGAGGGCTTTCTGCCTGGCCCTTGAGCTCTCCTCCAACTTTGGCATCCATAGAAAGAAGTAAACAGAGATAGAAAGATGTGGGGAGAGACATGCCCGTCTTCTTATCTCTTTCTACTTTTAGGGGGTCAGATTGGATGGCCTCATGGAGGTCTCCTCCAACTTTGGAACTCTACTATCAATAGAAGTCTTAGTTTGCCCCAGTGGGGAAAAGGTCTCCGTCTGTGAGAGAAGCCTCTGTGTGAGTTAGACCTTAGTCTGTGAGAGAAATCTCTGTGTGAGGTAGGTCTTAATGTGTGTGAGAAGCCTCTGTGTGAGGTAAGTCTTAGTCTGTGAGAGAAGCCTCTGTGTGAGGTAGGCCTTAGTCTGTGAGAGAAGCCTCTGTGTGAGGTAGGTCTTAGTGTGTGTGAGAAGCCTCTCTGTGTGAGAGAAATACCTGAAATCCTCTCTCTGCCTACCTATCCCTCCTCTTAGATCAGTCTGGATGGCCTTTGGGGGGCCCTCCCAACTCTAGGACTCATTAAGTTGGCCGTAGAGAGAGAGATAGAAAGATAAGTAGAGAGAAGAACCCATCTTCCTATCTCTGTTTACCTATATCTCCTTTTAGGGGTCAGTCTGGATGGCCTTTGGGGGTCCCTCCTAATCCTTTTAAGTGGCCCAGCCATCCAGATATAAGGTGAGCTCACCTACTTTGGAGGTCTGAAAGCAAAAGCTGGATGGCCATCTGTCAGGAGGGCTTGGATTGTGCTTTCCTGTCTGGCAGAAAGGAAGGGGTTGGACTGGATGGCCTTTAGGATATTATTAAGCAGAGGTGTGATGGCCATCTGTTGGGAGGGCTTGGATGGTGACTTCCTGCCTGGTAGAAAGGGGAGGGGGCTGGATGGCCCTCCTTGAGGGTCCCTCCCACTTGTAAGAGGTTGGGAGACCCCTCCCTCGCTCCTTGAAGCCAGACCCTTGGAACTACAACTCCCATCACAAGGCTGGTGGGCCCTCCTCGCTCACCAAAGGCCCGGCGCTGTTTGCGGAGCAGGAGGGTCCCCAGGTACTCCTTGCCCTCCTGGGTCTGGTGCCAGTCGGGGACCACCACAGACCCAGGGACCACAATCATGGCTGCTTCCCTTCCCTATGTTCTGCTGGCATTGCCCCTTTAAGGAGACCCCTCCCCACTCTCCGGAAGTGCTGCCTCCTTGGCTCCACAGAGCTATGAAGGGAAGAGAGTATGGCATCGCTCCCTTCCTGGAGAGGCACCGCCTGGTGGACTGGAGGAGAATAGGGCAGTGCTGCAGAATGTAAACATTGCATGGAAATGCAGCCTGGGAAAACAATATGAAACAGAAGCATATGCGGGGCTTTTTTTGTGTGTCAGGAGCGACTCGAAAAACTGCAAGTTGCTTCTGCTGTGAGAAAATTGGCTGTCTGCAAGGACGTTGCCCACGGCTATCTGCAACGACGTTGCCTACGACTGCTCTACAAGAACGTTGCCCACGGCCATCTGCAAGGATGTTGCCCACGGCAAGGACATTGCCCACGACCGTCTGCAAGGACGTTGCCCATGGCCATTCTGCAAGGACGTTGCCCATCGCAAGGACGTTGCCCACGGCCGCCTGCAAGGACACTGCGCACGGCTGCTTTGCAAGGGCGCTGCCCATGGCCACTCTGCAAGGATGTTACCCACGGCAAGGATGTTACCCACGGCCCATGGCCGTCTGCAAGGATATTGACCATGGCCGTCTGCAAGGATATTGCCCATGGCCGTCTGCAAGGATGTTGCCCATAGCCGTCTGAAAGGACGTTGCCCACGGCCGTCTGAAAGGACGTTGCCCACGGCCATCTGCAAGAACACTGCCCACAGCCGCTGTGCAAGGACGTTGCCCACGGCAGTCTGCAAGGATGTTGCCCACGGCCGCTCTGCAAGGACATTGCCCACGACTGCTCTACAAGGACTTTGCCCATGGCCATCTGCAAGAACATTGCTCACGGCCGTCTGCAAGGATGTTGCCCACGGCCGTCTGCAAGGACACTGCCCACAACCGCTGTGTAAGGACGTTGCCCGTGGCCATCTGCAAGGATGTTGCCCACGGCCATCTGCAAGGATGCTGCCCATGGCCATCTGCAAGGACATTGCTCATGGCTGCTCTGCAAGGATGTTGCCCAGGGATCATTGCCCGGATGACTTGATGTTTGACCACCCTTGTGGGAGGCTTCTCTCATGTCCCTGCATGGGGAGCTGGAGCTGACAGAGGTTGCTCATCTGCACTCTCCCAGGATTTGAACCGCCGACACAAGAGTTTAACCCATTGCGCCACTGGAGTCTCCTCATATGCAGTGCTGTTGGAAGTGGAGGGAAGGCACGGCGCGGAGGAGGGGTCGTTGCTCATATCTCTTTATTGGTGGGTGGAGGGACACCCCGAATTCGCAGCCCGCTTCACAGAGCACTAAGGGAAAAAGGGGGAGGAGGGGGGCGCAAGGGGCGGGCCTTGTATGCATGTCCGTCGGTCCATCTGTCCACCCATCCATCATCTCTTGGCTCGGACGAAGTACAAGGCGTTGGTCTTGGGGTAGTACTTGACGTTCTGCTTCTTGTCCATGAGGCCCCCAAAGATGATGACCTCCCCGCGGCCTTGGACCACGGTATGGAGGCTGGTCTCGGGCGGGCCCACCACCGAGGAGGAAGACGTGCCACCGCTGCCATTGCCGTTGAAGGCCTTCCACTGGACGCGGCCCTGGCCCTTGGCGCCCCGCACGTCCAGCACATACATCTGCATGGGCTTGCAGTTCAGGCTCTGGTAGAGTGCCTTGCCCACGTTCAGCGACTGGGGCGGGTGGTGGCCCAGCCGGCGGGCCAAGGGCGCCAAGGCGTGGCCGTCCCCTTGGGCCGAACCGGGGCGGGGAGCGGGGCCGGGGTCGGCGGCGGAGGGGGGAGACCCCGGCGAGGAGGAGGAAGAAGAGGGGAGGGGTCCCAGGGGCGGTCCCAGGGCGCCCCCGCCGGCCAACGCCTTGACGGCCTCCAGGCTGCGGCGCAGGCTGCCCGGGGAGACGGGCCCCGTGGTGGGCGTGTGCGTCCCGTTGCTCTGATGTGTTCCTAGCGTCCTGCCCTGTTCCTCCTCCTGCTGCTGCTGCTCCTCTTCATCCTGCGAGGGCCGTAGTGCCCAGCCTAGGTCGGCTACTGCCAGCCGCAGCTCCTTCTGCTCCGGGAGGGAGCCCCTCCGGGGCGACGGCAAGGACAGGCCACCCGTTGCAGCCGCCGCCATCTTGGAATCCGCCGCAGAGGGGGAGAGCACCTGCAGAGGGCTGTCCAGCGAGGCCCTACTTCCGCCTGGGACGGAGGGTCCGGGAGAGAGCCCCCCGCTGCCATTGGCCAGAGGCGGGGAGGTGTCCTCCCTGGCAGGGGAAAGGCTGCCCTCCCGGGACCCGGCAGGTGTCTGCCGCTGCGCTCTGGGACGGAGCGTGCCCCAGCGGCCGTTCACGCAAGGTGCCTCGTCCGCCGCCACTGCCGCTGCCCGGACCGGAGACTGGGAACGAAACTCGCGGCCCTCAGGCCCCAGTGGGGGAGGGGTGGCGCTGATGGGGGAGGGGCGGGAGTTGAGGCTGGGGCTGAGCGGGGCCCTGCCGCTGGGGGCCTGGCTGAAGACCACCACGCACTGCCCCACCTGCAAGCAAAATGGGAGAAAAAGCAAGAGAGAGAGAGTGAGAAAGTGAGAGAAAGGGTCCTCAGAAGCAGAGTGACACAAAGGGAAGGATCACCTCCAATTCCCCCCTTTGCCCCCACTTTATTTATTTACTGTATTTATATGTCAGAAATATTAAAATTTAACTACAATTTTTAATATTAAAAATATTAAAAATTAATTACAAAAATATGAATCAAGAACTGAAAGGGTTCAATTGATGCAGTGACTCAGAAAAAGCTGCAGTTCTATATGAGCAGGTATGCCTGTAGCTTAGTAGGCCTCTGTGTTAGTTTGCCTCAGTGGGAGAAAGGTTTCAGTCTATGAGAAGGCCTCACAGTGTGAGGTAGGCCTTAGTCTGTGAGAGAAGCCTCTCTGTGTGAGAGAATGCTTCTGTGGAAAAATAGGTCTCAGTGATAAGTCGGCCTCACTGTGAGAGAAAGGCCTCACAGTGTGAGGTAGGCCTTTGTCTGTGAGGGAAGCATCTCTGTGTGAGAGAACACCTCAGTGGGAGAACAGATCTCAGGGGTAGTAAGCCTCACTGTGGGAGAAAGGCCTCACAGTTTGAGGTAGGCCTTTGTCTGTGAGAGAAGCATCTCTGTGTGAGAGAATGCCTCAGTGGGAGAATAGGTCTCAGGGGTAGTAAGCCTCACTGTGGGAGAAAGGCCTCACAGTGTGATGTAGGCCTTAGTCTGTGAGAGAACACCTCAGTGGAAAAATAGGTCTCAGTGGTAAGTAGGCCTCACTGTGAGAGAAAGGCCTCACAGTGTGGGGTAGGCCTTAGTCTGTGAGAGAACGCCTCAGTGGAAAAATAGGTCTCAGTGGTAAGTAGGCCTCACTGTGAGAGAAAGGCCTCACAGTGTGAGGTAGGCCTTAGTCTGTGAGAGAAGCCTCTCTCTGTGAAAGAAGGCCTCAGTGGGAGAGGCCTCTGTGTGAGAGAACACTTCAGTGGGAGACTAGGTCTCAGTGGTAGTAGTAGGCCTCAATATCGGAGAAAGGCTTCAGTGTGAGGTAGGCCTCGTTATGAGAAGGCCTCGTGTGTGAAGCTGCAGTGTAAAGGTTGAACTTTATTTGTGTTATGGAAACCTTGTTTTCTTTAAATAGTGCAATCATATTATTTTGGTATATATTTTATGAGGGTCTTTTGCCAATAATCCCACTCGCCAGACATTATATACTGCTTTTCTCATCCCAGGGGGGACTCAAAAACAAATAATGGCCAAATTCAATGACTCGGCTACATATAAACCAAATCACAGATCTAAACAAAAATATATAACTGAGCATGGGTTGTCTAATTCCTGCCCCTCCCCTCCCTGCTCACCCTGCAGGCCGGGTGGCACCACAGCTCCGGGGCCCCTTGCTCCTCGTTCTCCACCTTGAGGGGTTGCCAGGTCCAGGCGGCATCCGGCATCATATGCAGCAGCCAGGCGTCCTTGAAGAGCTGGGCAGAAGGGACAGGGGAGTGAGACCCCACTAAAAGGGGTGGGAAAACACCTCCGATTCCTGTTGTCATTCTCCAACGGATCGTTCTGGGGTTTCTGGGCCTGTTAGCCTATTGACACAGGGGATTCTGGGTCTGCAAGTCTGCATGAAAGTCAGCAAGAGAAGCTAGAGGTTTTAGAGACTGAAAATGAGCGGTCTGTCTGAAGGCCACATTCCAACAGAAGAGAGTGATCATGAAATTACAGAGCAATTAGATAGGAGATTTATGTTTCGTCAACATAGAGTTTCACATGGGAATGTCACTGAGGTTCTTTGGGTTTTGCATTGTTTCCAACCACCTAAATCCGACTGCTGACCGTCACCCAGAGTATTGTAATCAGCGTTTTGATAGTGCCTGCACCTGATCTCTATGAAGATACTGGGCCTGTTAGTCAGCCTGTTGACACAAGGGATTCAGTGTGAGGTAGGCCTTAGTCTTTGAGAAGGCCTCACAGTGTGAGGTAGGCCTTAGTCTGTGAGATTAGCTTCAGTGTGAGACAGGCATTTGTATTTGAGAAGGCCTCACAGTGTGAGACAGGCCTTAGTCTTTGAGAGAAGCTTCAGTGTGCAGTAGGTCTGTGAGAAGCCTGAGTCTGTGAGAGAAGCCCTCATAGTGTGAGACAGGCCTGAGTCTGTAAGAGAAGCCCTCACAGTGTGAGACAGGCCTGAGTCTGTAAGAGAAGCCCTCACAGTGTGAGACAGGCCTGAGTCTGTAAGAGAAGCCCTCACAGTGTGAGGTAGACCTTAGTCTGTGAGAGAAGCTTCAGTGTGAGGTAGGCCTTAGTCTGTGAGAGAAGCTTCAGTGTGCAGTAGGCCTGAGTCTGTGAGATTAGCTTCAGTGTGAGGTAGGCCTTTGTCTGTAAGAGAAGGCCTCACACTGTGAGGTAGGCCTTAGTCTGTGAGAGAAGCCCTCATAGTGTGAGACAGGCCTGCGTCTGTAAGAGAAGCCCTCAGTGTGAGACAGGCCTGAGTCTGTAAGAGAAGCCCTCACAGTGTGAGGTAGACCTTAGTCTGTGAGAGAAGGCTTCACAGTGTGCGATAGGCTTGAGTCTGTGAGAAGCTCTCACAGTGTGAGGTAGGCTTGAGTCTGTGAGAGAAGCTTCAGTGTGCAGTAGTCCTTAGTCTTTGAGAAAACCTCACAGTTTGAGGCAGGCCTTAAGTCTGTGAGAGAAGACCTCATGGTGAGAGGTAGGCCTTAGTCTGTGAGAATGCCTCACAGTTTGGAAGTCAGCAGGAGCAGCTAGAGAATGGAAATGAGCGGTCTCTTCTGAAGGCCACATTCCCACAGAACTGAGCTCAGAGGATGATAGTGGGCAATTAGATAGAAGATTTAGGTTTCGTCAACATAGAGTTTCACATGAGAACGTCCAATGGTCAGGTCGCTTGTTAGCGAGGAAATCTGTATCAGTTTCCCAAGGGAAAAAGCACGCCTTTCTCTCTATATGAGGTAGGCCAACTGAATTTTTGGTCAGTGGAAGCAACATTGGAGACTGAGGATAGAACTCCTGTCACAGCTACTTATGATAGAATTGAAACTTAAGAATAGAAAAGGTTCAATTTCTTAATATTTGGTGCACACTGCTTGTGAACGTCGGAATACACGTCATAAGTATTAAAAAATACGATTTACTTCCGAGTAACAAACACTTCCAATTCATTTGCACATCTCTACTAGACACCCATGTTCATGTTTTCCTGTTTGTTCCTGTTTCATGATGAGGACTCTCCTGAGATACAACACTGCCCGAGCTCTGCAAGTGCAGCATTTTTCTGAATGAAGCAGAGAGTGTTTGAGGATCGGGACATCCGTAGGAAAACCAAGGTGCTTGTCTATAAAGCTATTGTCCTCCCAACCCTCCCAACCCTGCTATACGCCTGCGAGACGTGGACTGTCTACAGACGTCACATGCAACTTCTGGAACGATTCCATCAGCGCTGCCTCCGGAAAATCCTGCAAATCTCTTGGGAAGACAAGCGGACAAATGTCAGCTTGCTGGAAGAAGCAAAGACTATCAGCATTGAAGCGATGGTCCTCCGCCATCAACTCTGCTGGACCGGCCACGTTGTCCGGATGCCCGACCACCGTCTCCCAAAGCAGTTGCTCTACTCCGAACTCAAGAACGGAAAATGGAATGTTGGTGGGCAGGAAAAGAGACTGAAAGATGGGCTTAAAGCCAACCTTAAAATCTCTGGCATAGACACTGGGAACTGGGAAGCCCTGGTCCTTGAGTGCTCCAGCTGGAGGTCAGCTGTGACCAGCAGTGCTGCAGAATTTGAAGAGGCACGAATGGAAGGTGAAAGAGAGAAACGTGCCAGGAGGAAGGCGCGTCAAGCCAACACCGACTGAGACTGCCTTCCACCTGGAAACCGATGCCCTCACTGCGGGAGAAGATGCTGGTCAAGAAGAGGGCTCAAACGGATCCACAAGAACACTGATCATGGAAGACTATCTTACTCGGCCAACGAGGGATCGCCTAAGTAAGTCTCCTGAATTACATATTTTGGATTTATTCTGCTCTTGTATTCATGGTTTTTGGAGGCTACTCTTGTACTTTGTTTTTTTGTGGATTATCTCTGATTTTTGGACTTTGGTTTCCGACACTATTTTGCTGAATTGCTTTTTATACATTCTCCAATAAACCTCTTATTATTTTACCTTGGATAGGTGTGTGTGTGCATTAACTGCAGAGGTGCTTCCCAGCCTTGGAGTACAACAATTCCCCCCTCCCCCTGCCCACCTTCCACCACTGCCCAGAGTGAGGAGAGGGGGACACCTTTGCAGACCAAGATAGGAAAATGTCCGCTTCTGGATGTCAACACAAGGCTTGAAGGGAACAAGAGAGTTTGGAAAGGAGAGGATCTCTCATCTGCTCTCTCAAGCCAAGGCAGGAAGAGAGCAAACAGGTTGCATACACCAGAGAGAGAGAGAGAGAGAGAGAGGCCCCCCGACGCCTACTCACCGCATTTGGGCCGCCGCAGCCCCCAAGGACCAGGATGGTTTCGTCATCTATGACAATCTGGAGCAGAGGAGAGAGAAGCACCAATGAATCCTGGACGAGCCCCCAGCTTCTACAATAAGGCCTGACTTCACCCCCAGCAGTGGTTGCCTTGCAAAGCCAGCTCACAGAAGGAGAAGGGTGGGTTCAGGGAGACCCTCCCTTTGGTCTGTGAGTCACTGCCTAATCCAGCCCTTCCAACCAGGGACCCTGGAGGTCAACGATTTCAATGGAAGGGTGAAGGGTTGTCACCTGGGACTGTCCCCCTCGTGGGTGGGGGCTGGGTCCCGCGATGTTTGGCTTGGACCATGCCCAGAGTTCGAGGTCCAGCACCCAGACGTCGTTGCTCCTGGGGAGAGAAGGGATGAGGGCCCTCAGCCGAGAAAAGGGTGTTTTGGGGGGGGGGAGAGAATATGGGGGGGGGGCCTTCAAGAGAGTCGAGGCTCACTCACATTTGCCGGGAGCCGAGGGATCCCCCAAAGACGACCATCTTGTCCCGGACGACGCAGGCGGAGTGGCCGGCCATGGGAGGGGGGCCGTGGGTGGTCACTACGCAGTTCCACCTGCAGGAGATGAGTTACGAGGGGGTGGAAGCAGTCCCGAGGAGACGTGCCCCGTTAGGGAAGAACTACCCTAACATATACAGCAGAGCATCCAAAAACAAACAGGATACTAAAAGTTGAGCATCAGCTCATTAGTGAGCAGAGCGTGAAGTGCCGTGTGATGCGGCTGTAAAGAATTCAGAGCTTAGGAGACAAATATGCAGAGTCAAATCTTACAAAACCACAAAAGGTTTATTTACAATATTAAGAAATAACTGTATTTCTTAATAGGTAAAGAACTGGGTCTGAGCTACTCCAACACCCATCTCTTCTAAGGTTTCAAGAGAGGGAAAAACTCAATCACCACATCTCTCTGACACACAAGCAGAGAGAGATCTCAAAGCACACAGCACATACTCTCCTGACACGCAAGCGGAGAGAGATCTCAATGCACATAGCACATACTCTCCTGACACACAAGCGGAGAGAGATCTCAATGCACACAGGACATACTCTCCTGACACGCAAGCGGAGAGAGATCTCAAAGCACACAGCACATACTCTCCTGACACACAAGCGGAGAGAGATCTCAATGCACACAGCACATACTCTCCTGACACGCAAGCGGAGAGAGATCTCAATGCACACAGCACATACTCTCCTGACACACAAGCGGAGAGAGATCTCAAAGCATACAGCACATACTCTCCTGACACGCAAGCGGAGAGAGATCTCAATGCACACAGGACATACTCTCCTGACACACAAGCAGAGAGAGATCTCAATGCATACAGCACATACTCTCCTGACACACAAGCGGAGAGAGATCTCAATGCACACAGCACATACTCTCCTGACACACAAGCAGAGAGAGATCTCAAAGCACACAGCACATACTCTCCGGACACACAAGCAGAGAGAGATCTCAAGGCACAAAATGCAGATGGAATCAATGACGTGGTAGGGGAACAAGTTGCATTGGCTGCAAGAGTTGAGTTATGAAAGTTCCCCGCTTTTATATCTCCCACCTCAAAGGGCTGATGGTAACACATTACACCTTGCATTTGCCCAGACCAGCTCTGGGTGGGATGAGTTAAAATGCAATGGAATAAATGACGTGGTAGGGGAACAAGTTGCATTGGCTGCAAGAGTATGAAAGTCAAGATCCAAACACCTGCTCTTACCAGTTTTTGGAGGGCGAGTAGGTGTGGATCTCGTCGAAGAAGCGCTCCGGCTGGTGTAGCGGGTAGGGGCTCGGCCGCGTCCACCCCCCAAAGAGAACCAGCAGGTCCTTGTAGACCACCAGGGTGGCCCCCGCCTTCGGGGAGGGGTAGGAGCCTGGTTTGGGAGAGTCACAGAGTAGACTTTGATAAAGGAAAGCCCAATCAAACCACCCAGGGAGAGGGGAGAGTCCGTGGCGTCGCCCTCCTTGGGAACCTGCCACTCTGAGGCCATGTTTAGGGCGAAAGGAGAGTTTGCCCATTCAATCGTGTGCCAACCTAAGAAACAGAAGCTTATTCCAGTTCACTGTATCTAAGTTTCTGCTGGTTATGAAGTTTACTTCTGGTTCTGTGCTGTATTTATCGTGGAACCACCCCAAATGAGCTCAGATTCCCCAACAAAGGGTTATGGGCCCAGGCACGTTATGGGCTGAGCAAGAGGGAAAATAGCTTTAAAGGATTGGTTGAAAAAGGATCAGAGAAGGGTTCTCAAATAGCTGGTTCAGGACATTTTGACAGGTGTCAAACCCCCCCCCCCCCATTTGCTAAAAATAGATGAATGGGTGTTTGTTTTCCCCACTGTAGGACCCTCCGCTGGCTGGGAAATGGAGGGAGGGACCCTGTGGGAACCGGGTATCAGGAGTTAATTTCTGAAGGCATGAAGACATCACAAATTCCCCCCGTGACATCCTGACTGAATCATCCTGGCTGCCTCAATTCTCTCTCTGTGACATTTTGAAGCCAGCAGAGGACGCTGGAAACCTTGTACTGGAACTTGTGAAGCAACAAGTTCTAATAAGGAAACTGAGAAGAGGGGGAGATGGGCAGCAAAGGTGTATAAAAGGAAGTGATGGTGGGAAAAAGTCAGTAGTGTCTTTCTTTGCTGCAGAGATACAAGCAATATATCCATTTCAAAGCAAAACCGGCTTGTGAGTGGTCATTTAATATTGCTATATAAATCCTACAGTCTTACACTGAGCAGATTTCCCACAGTCGGTTATGGGGCAAAGCATCAGGAGGAGGGGCACATGGCCCAAAAGTGTCCCTTTTGTGGCTGAAGAGACAGGCCAGGGAGGAGCAAGAAAGGGGAGGGGCGATGGGGCAGTGGAAGTGTCCCCCAAAGCCATCTAGCCCTACCCATTTCGTTTTGCCAAGGCCTCAGAAACAGGGCAAGGCTCACCGGAGGCCAAGGGCCGAATCCACTCCTTGCTGTTCAGGTCCAGCCTCCAGAGATCGTTGAAGGCGGCGTTGCAACTGCTCTGGGTGCAGCCTCCAAAGACGTACATCGACTGGTTGGCATCATAGTAACATGCACCTGGGAGGGAAGGATCGAGGCTGAGGAAGCCCTCCACTGCTGGAGGCCTCCATTTCCCGGCCCAATGGCAAGGCAGCCCCCCAATGAATCCTCTGTCAGAAATATTCAAAATTAACTAGGTATTTTTAATTACAAAAATGTGAGTCAAGCACTGAAAGGGTTAAATGGATGCAATAACTCAGGCACAGCTGCAGTTCTATATAAGTAGGTGTGCCTGTAGCTTTGTACGCCTCAGTGTTAGTTGCCCTCAGTATGAAGAGGCCTCAGTCTGTGAGAAGGTCTCCGTATTAGTGGGAGAAAGGCCTCAGTCTGAGAGAGGCCTCAGTGTGAGGTAAACCTCAGTGTTAGTAGGCTTCTGTGTGAGGTAGGCCTCCGTGTGTGAGATGCCTGGTGAGAGAAGCCCCAGGTTGGACACCACATGTGAAGGCTGCTGTGTGTAAAAAGCTACTGTGTGGAGCTCCTGTGTAAGTTTGGTGTGAGAGGAAACTCAAACAGAGTGAAGCTGTTTATCTGCATGAAAAAGAAGCCCAGTATGGAAGCAAAGAAGGAAGCATAAAGGCCTCAATGTGAAGTAGGCCTCAGTTAGTACTACTCCGCATATTATCTGCTTCTCTCTTTTATCTTGTCTGAATTTTTAATTAGTTTTAATTAGTTTGTTTTTTAATCATTACATGCAGCCTGCCCATTGCTTCTGTGCCTGTGTCTATTGTAATTCTTATACTGTTATGTATTCATATGTTCTATGTAATTATGATGTTGTTTATTGTTTGCCTTTTTGGTTGTGTTTTGGTTTTCTTTATTGTAATTGTTGTTCAGGCCTGGCCCCATATAAGTCGCTCCGAGTCCCCATTGGGGAGATGGTGGCGGGGTACAAATTATTATTATTATTATTATTATTAGGCCTCAGTATGAGAATGCCTCAGTGTGAGAGATAAGCCTGATTATGAGAAGGCCTCTAGTTTGAAGGTTGAACTTTAGTTGTGTTGTGGAAACCTTCGATGTGAGGGCAAAGCTGTTTATCTTTGCATTCTATTACCTCTTTGTATTGGTTTTATGATAGAACTATTACATATAGTGTCATATTTGAATAGTAATAATAATGATAATAGCTTAATAATAAAATAATTTATTATTAATATTAGTACTGTTATTACCCGTCTCTCCTTGTGGCTCAAGGTGGGCTGCAACATGTTGCATCGCATGGGGTCTGCATTGCCCCCCCCCCCCCCCGCAATCTCCCACATTAGTTCCTCCACTCCATCTGAGGTTGCTGGGCACTTGACAGAGGGTCCCTATGCCTTCCCTCCCTTTGGGTACTCACTGTGGGAAAAGCGCTGGGTGATGGGGGTCCCGGGGTAGGGGTAGGTGCGGCTCTCCCACTGGATGTTCCCTTCCTGGACTGCTTTGATGAAGCCGTGGTAGCACTGGTGGGCCACACCTGTGCAGGGAAGGGGGGAGAGATACATAACAGAGGCATACCAGTCCGGGGAAAGGCTCTTCCTTCGCTCCGCCATCTTGCCAGATTCTGTTCACGCCCCACAATCCTTCTCCAAACCTCCCCCCTTCATTTACACAGTCACATCAGCCTCAGAATGGCTTCTGTGATGGGCAAATATGGGGCCAAAGGGCCAAGGGAGCATTCAATGGTCTGGGTGACCCCTCTCTGGGGGTCACATGGAGTGCTTAAATCCCTCCTGCCTTCCCCAGCATGGCCTTTGACCCTGTCCCAATGGCTGCTGTCAGTACAAAGAGGTAAAACTCATGTCCCTCCAACTCCCAGAAGCTGTATTTGCCATCTTGCCCAATGGCTGGACTGCAAAACACCTGGAGGGCCACACACTTGACCCCTGAGGCCACATGACCCTGGTCACAAGATGCATTCTACTTCCTCTTTGTTTCATGGGCAGGGTCTTTCATTACATGGGGGTTCCTGCGAATCTCCCACGCAGCAATTCAGACGGGAGCACATTGCACCTAGTTTGGGAAATAGCCAGAGGGATTTGGCCACAGTCAAGTTCGTTACATAGCTTGCTGCGTGAAAAGGCCCGACACAATGTATGTTCAGGGCACTGCTTATTCAATAGCTGGACTGCACAACATCTGGAAGGCCACACGCTTGACCTGAGGTCACATGACGCTGACCAAGCACTGGCCCCGCCCCCCCCTCCCATCATAGCTTCTGACCCTGGTTGCTGCAGTCCCGATGCCACCACGCGAGGAGTACCTTTGATGAGGCGGTACCACTGCTTGCAGACCAGGGCGGCTGTCTTGTGTTCTTGGTACGGGGACAGGAAGGAGAGGATGTACTCCAGCACTTCTTCAGGGAGCTCCTCCATGGAGCGTGGGGGTGATGGCGGGGGATGGGCCCCTCCCAGCTCCGGACCCTTCTCCAGGCCGGCCCCCCGCTGCTGCTGGTCCTCCTCCTCCTCCGGCTCCATGCTCCCTCCTCCGCCGTGGGCTGCCACCGCTGCCGCCTCCAGGGAGTCCACCACCATGAAGCTCTCCTCCTCCTCGCTGTCGGAGGCCCGGCTGGCCATGGCATCCCAACGCACCCCTTGTGAGTAAAGAGGCCATTTACTCACATCTCTCTTTGGAAAGCCCCACCCGATCCTTCCCAACAGAGGGCCATCCAAAACCCCAGAGAAGAGAGACTGATAAATAAATTGCTGGAGATGATCCCAATCCACTTCAACCTCCTTCTGACTACGAGTAGGAGAAGCACAAAGCCCTCCTGACAGATGGTGATCCAACTGTTGCAGATCAGTCACCAGACGTTGACACTTTAGAGAGAATTGTGAGCTTTCCTGTGGCACAAAGCGATGGGCTCTCAAATCCAGTTATCTGTGAGATAACCAACTCGGAAATTGCAGGACCTCAAGGGCATTCATTCAGGGGAGTCAGAAGTAGCAACAGCCGACAAGGGATCGAGTGAAGAGCTAAGTGATAAGGAGGGTTCCCAGAGGAGCCCACCTGCAGTTGCAGAGTTCAACAAAAGTCTGTTTACAAATCAGAGCCAAGCAGGAGAAGCACAAAGTCCTCCTGACACAGATGGTTATCCAACTGTTGTAAATCAGCTACCAGAGGCTGGTGATATAACTGATGATTTAGAGGGGATTGTGAGCTTTCCTGTGGCACAAAGCGATGGACTCTCAAATCCGGGAAATGATGGTTCTCTCTGTGAGATAACCAGCTCGGAAAGTGCAGGGCCTCAAGGGCATTCATTCAGGGGAGTCAGAAGTAGCAATAGCAGATAAGGAGTCGAGTGAAGAGCTGAGTGATAAGGAGGGTTCCCAGGGGAACCCACCTGTAACTATGGAGATCAACAAATATATACATATCAGAGCCAAGCAGGAGAAGCACAAAGCCCTCCTGACACAGATGGTTATCCAACTGTTGTAGATCAGTCACCAAAGGCTGGTGGTATTTAGAGAGGATTTCTTTCCTGTGGCACAAGTCAGGGAAATGATGGTTTTCTTTGTGGGAAAACTGGCTCGGATAGTGCAGGGCTTCAAGGGCATTCATTCAGGGGAGTCAGAAGTAGCAACAGCAGATAAGGAATCGAGTGAAGAGCTGAGCGATAAGGAAGGTTCCCATGGGAAACTATCGGTACTTACGGAGATTGTTTACAAATCAGAGCTGAAAATAGACTGCGCCATTCAGAGAGAGTGCGTGGGAAAGTTGAGAAGGAAATTAACGGGAAACGGAATGATTTCATGGGTGTCGATTAAACTGACTCTTCCAGAGCACGGGCCTCGAGGGCGTTCATTCCGAGGAGTCAGAAATAGCAAGAGCTAAAAAGGAGTCGAGTGAAGATGAGAAGGAAATTAACAGGAAACGGAATGATTTCATGGGTGTCGATTAAACTGACTCTGGAAGAGCAGGGGCCTCCAGGGCGTTCATTCCGAGGAGTCAGAAATAGCAACAACTAATAAAGAGTTGAGTGAAGATGAGAAGGAAATTAACAGGAAACTGAATGATTTCATGGGTGTCGATTAAACTGATTCTGGAAGAGCAGGGGCCTCCAGGGCATTCATTCCGAGGAGTCAGAAATAGCAACAACTAATAAAGAGTCGAGTGAAGATGAGAAGGAAATTCACAGGAAACGGAATGATTTCATGGGTGTCGATTAAACTGACTCTGGAAGTGCAGGGGCCTCGAGGGCGTTCATTCCAAGGAGTTAGAAATAGCAAGAGCTAAAAAGGAGTCGAGTGAAGATGAGAAGGAAATTAACGGGAAACGGAATGATTTCATGGGTGTCGATTAAACTGACTCTGGAAGTGCAGGGGCCTCGAGGGCGTTCATTCCGAGGAGTCAGAAATAGCAACAACTAATAAAGAGTCGAGTGAAGAGCTGAGCGATAAGGAGCGAGGGAGATTGTAGCAAGGGAGACTGTTTACAAATCAGAACCCAAAACAGATTGCGTTGTACAGAGAGATTACGTGGAAACGTTGTGATGGAAGTTCACGGAAAACGGAACGATTTCATGGGTGTCTATTAAACATGACGTCGTTGACGCTATGGGCTGTTAGGAATTGGGAGTCTAAAACACCTGGATTCTCCCGACAGCAGGTCTGAATTTTTAGCAAGCATGGGCCAACTTCGGCCTTCCCTCCAGGTGTTTTGGACTTCAACTCCCACAATTTCTAACAGCCTACCGGCTGTTAGGGATTGTGGGAGTTGAAGTCCAAAACACCTGGAGGGAAGGCCGAAGTTGGCCCATTCCTGATCTATAGGATGTTGTTTGGGAGCCCAAAACACCAGGCCTGGATCTATTCTATAGACTGTTAGGAATGCTGGGAGTTGAAGTCCAAAACACCTGGAGGGAAGGCCGAACTTGGCCAATTCCTGATCTATAGGATGTTGGTTGGGAGCCCAAAACACAAGGCCTGGATCTATTCTATAGACTATTAGGAATGCTGGGAGTTGGAGTCCAAAACACAGGAAGGCCCAGGCCTGCTGTCTGGAGAGGCGAGATAGGCCTCGGGGACTCCAACTCCCAGAATGCCCGGCCGTGGTCCCAACCGGCGGGGGCTGCTGGGAGTTGTAGTCCAGAGGCCTGGGCGCCTCTCAGCGGGGCGCTCCGTTTCTGCCACATCACGAGAGGGCGGGGCCAGGGGCCGGAAGGGGGGCTGCTGGCCTCACCTGCCGCTTCCGCGCTCCCTCTCCCTCCTCAGAGCCGCCTTCGGTTCCTCCGGGCCGGGCGCCCACAGCAGCACCAGCCGCCTTCTCGGGGTTCCCCCGCCTGAGCCCTCCCGGCCACCGTCTCCGCCGCCATCGCTCGGCTCCGGGGCGGGGACGAGGCCAACGCGCAGGCGCCTCCCGCCGTCACGTGGGGCCTGCGCGGGCGCCATCTTGGTTGCCCCCTCGTCAGGGCGGCGCCATCTTGGGAAGGATTGTGACGCCATCTTGGCTCCTCCCCCTATCGACCAATACTCAGTTTCGGTGTTTTCCCACTTTTGGGATACTGCGCATGCGCCACACTGGTGAAGGCATTCAGTGTTCTTTCGTGTATCCGATTTTTCCTACTTCGGGATACTGCGCATGCGCCACACTGGTGAAGGAATTCGCGCCACTGCGCACGCGCAAAACCAAAACCGGCCCCTCCCTATATGGAAGCAGCGGAGGCACCTAAAGATACTGCGCATGCGCCACGCCGCTGAATGCATGCCCGCTCTCGGGGTGAATGGCGCCACTGCGCATGCGTGAATTGGCACTTTCTCTACACACGGAGAGCGGAGACACTGGGATATGGAAGGAATCCCTGCTCTCAGAGCGAGGGGCGACACTGCGCACGCGCGAACTCGCACCTTTCGCAGAGGCACATAGGAATACTGCGCATGCGCCACACAGCTGAAGGAATCCCTGCGACACTGCGCACGCGCGAACTCGCACCTTTCTACATTGAGACATATAGGGATATTGCGCATGCGTCACACAGCTGAAGGCATCCCTGCTCTGAGCGAGGGGCGACACTGCGCACGCGGAAACTCGCACCTTTCTACATTGAGACATATAGGGATAGTGCGCATGCGTCACACAGCTAAATTAATCCCTGCTTTGAGCGAGGGGCGACACTGCGCACGCGCAAACTCGCACCTTTCCACATTGAGACATATAGGGATAGTGCGCAAGCGTCACACAGCTAAAGGAATCCCTGCTCTGAGCGAGGGGCGACACTGCGCACGCGCGAACTCGCACCTTTCTATATTGAGACAGATAGGGATACTGCGCGTGCGTCACACAGCTGAAGGACTCAGAGCGAGGGGCGACACTGCGCACGCAAACTCGCACCTTTCTACATTGAGACATAAATACTGCGCATGCGTCACACAGCTGAAGGAATCCCCGCTCTGCTCGAGGGGCGACACTGCGCACGCGCGAACTCGCACCTTTCTATATTGAAACATATAGGGATAGTGCGCATGCGTCACACAGCTGAATGAATCCTTGCTTTGAGCGAGGGGCGGCACTGTGCACGCGCGAACTCGCACCTTTCTATACTGAGACGTATAGTGATACCGCGCGTGCGCTGAAGGACTCAGAGCGAGGGGCGACACTGCGCACGCGCGACCTCGCACCTTTCTACTTTGAGACATTGAGAAGGAATCCCTGCTCTGAGCGAGGGGCGACACTGCGCACGCGCGAACCCGCACCTTTCCACATGCAGGCACATAGGGATACTGCGCATGCGCCACACGGCTGAAGGGATTGCCCCGAGCTCTCAGGGGCGACACTGCGCACGCGCACACGGGCACCTTTCCCTTCATGGGGCGGAGCGAGGAAGGGCACGGCTCCAACCGCGCATGCTCCGCCCGACGAAAAGGGTAGGAGCCTGGGAAGCCGCGCATGCGCTCTTGTTCGGGGGGCGGCGAGCGAGGAGCCTCAGCGGCGGCGAGGGCGAGGGGCAAAAAGAAGGGAAGGGGAGCGAGGGGAGGAAGGAAGGGAGGAAGGAAGGGGCGGCTTAGCGCGCATGCGCCTCGAGCGGGCTGGCGGCGGCGGAGGGCCCTGACGATGGAAGATGAGGAGGTCGCGGAGAGCTGGGAGGAGGCGGCCGACAGCGGGGTGAGGAGGAGGAGGCGCAGGCTTCGGGGCGCCTGCTAGGCCTCTTAAAGGGGCCGCGCCCTCCCACGTGCGCCTGCCTGCCTGCCTGCCTGCCTTCAAGGGGGAGGAGGCCTGGCTTCCTTCATTGAGGGGGGTCTCCTGAAACGCCCCTTTTTTGCCTTGCAGGAAATAGACAGGCGGCTGGAGAAGAAGCTGAAGATCAGCCAGAAGGAGAGGTGAGGAGTTCCCTTTGTTTGGACTGGGCGTTTTGGACTCCAACTCCCACAATTCCTAACAGCCGGTAGGCTGTTAGGAATTGTGGGAGTTGGAGTCCAAAACTCCCGGAGGGAGGGCCCAAGTTGGCCAAGGCCTGCTCTACATTTGATGTATTTACTAGCTTGCTATCCATTATTGGTATTATGATTATTATATATTCTATTATCTATTATTATTATACTATATTTCTATCCCACTTTATCTCTCCCAAAGGAGACTCAGAGTGGCTATGTATCCATTACTGCTATTAGAATTATATATTATATTATTATCTATTATTATAATATTATTTTATTTATTTATACCCCACTTTATCTCTCCCAAAGGAGACTCAGAGTGGCTATGTATCCATTACTGCTACTACAATATATTAGAATTATATATTATATTATTATATTATCTATCATAATGGTATTATTATTATATTTATTTATACCTCACTTTATCTCTCCCGAAGGAGTGTCTATGTATCCATTATTGCTACTACAATATATTAGAGTTATATATTATGTTATTATATTATCTATTATAATGCTATTATTATTGTATTTATTTATACCTCACTTTATCTCTCCCAAAGGAGAATCAAAGCCATGTATCCATTATTAGTATTGCAATGCATTATTATTATTATTATTATTATTATTATTATCTATTGTTATATTTATTTATAATATTAGAATATTTATTTATATCCCACTTCATCTCTCCCGAAGGAGACTCAGAGTGTCTATCCATTATTGCTACTACAATATATTATAATTATATACTATATTATTATGTTATCTATTATATTATTGTTATTATTATTATTATTGTATTTATTTATACCCCACTTTATTTATTTAGATTATTTATTTAAAACATTTATACCCCCCACTTTATCTTTCCCAAAGGAGACTCAGAATGGCTATGTATCCATTATTGGTATTACAATATATTACAATTATATATTATGTTATCTATTATTACAATGTTATTATTATTGTATTTATTTATACCCCACTTTATCTCTCCCGAAGGAGAATCAAAACCATGTATCCATTATTAGTATTGCAATGCATTACTATTGTTATTATCTATTATATTATCTATTCTTATATTTATTTATCATATTGTATTTATTTATATCCCACTTTATCTCTTCCGAAAGAGACTCAGCGTGGCTATGTATCCATTATTGCTATTACAATATATTATAATTATATACTATATATTGAACATAGGAATGGCACAAGGATTATGAGAACGGATCTGATTTCACTGAGGCGCTATGTTTGTCTTGTTAATTGTTGTTGACTTTGTTGCTGTATATGTTGTGTTTTTAATTGCACTGACATTGTTGTGATAACCCGTACCGTGTAAACCGCATTGAGTCGCCTGTTTGGGCTGAAAAATGCGGTATAAAAATAAAGCAAATAATAAATAAATAAATAAATAAATATTATTATGTTATCTATTATATTATTGTTATTATTATTATTGTATTTATTTATACCCCACTTTATCTCTCCCGAAGGAGACTCAGTGTCTATGTATCCATTATTGCTATTACAATATATTATAATTATATATTATATTATTATGTCTATTATTATTATATTATTATTGTATTTATTTATACCCCACTTTATCTCTCCCAAAGGAGAATCAAAGCCTTGTATCCATTATTGCAATGCATTATTATTATCTATTATATTATCTATTGTTTTACTTATTTATCATATTATTGTATTTATTTATATCCCACTTTATCTCTCCTGAAGGAGACTCAAGAGTGGCTATGTATCCATTATTGCTATTACAATGTATTACAATTGTATATTATATTATTATGTTGTCTATTATTATAATATTATTATTATTGTATTTATTTATTCCCCACTTTATCTCTCCCGAAGGAGACTCAAAGCAGAAGTGTATCCATTATTGCTATTAAATATTTTGCTAAACGTCGCCGCGTTGCCCGCTGCCCACAAACATACATACATATTTATTTATTATTTATTTACCGTATTTGTATACCACCAATTGGCGACTCAAGGCGGTTTCCAACAAATCAGTATACATAAAACGTAATAGATAAAAAACATTAAACAGTATAAAACATCATAAAAGCAATAAAAGCAACATCGTCAGCGTCTCATTATTCTCAAGCATTGTCCAATTCCATTGTCAGGTTGTTTGATTTCCTATATTAGCTACTCTGTATTTGTAAATGCTTCCTCGAATAGCCATGTTTTAACTTGCCTCCGAAACATCAAGAGGGAAGGAGCAGATCTGATTTCCCTAGGGAGGGCATTCCATAGCTGAGGGTCCACCACTGAGAAGGTCCTGTCTCTCACCCCCGCCAAACATGCTTGTGACAAAGGTGGGACCGAGATCAGGTCCTCTCCAGATGATCTCAAAGTCCTCAGTGGTTCGTAAGGGAAGATACGTTCGGACAGGTAAGTTGGGCCAGAAACGTTTAGGGCTTTATAGGCCAAAACCAGCACTTTGAATTGGGCCCAGTAGCAAACTGGCAGCCAGTGGAGCTGGCGCAACAAACATTCACTTTTATTACGACTGGCTTGTTAAGAATGGTGCGAGTTGCAGTCCAAAACACCTGGAGGGAAGACTGAAGTTGGCCCATGCCTGCTCTAAACCCTTTGCCCTTTGGTTGTGCCTATTGTAATTCTATATTGCTATGTTTTCACATGCTTTGTGTAATTATATTGTTGTTATTGTTTGCGTTTTCAGTTTTATTTTATTGTAATTTGCTGTTTGGGCTTGGCCTCATATAAGCCGCTCCGAGTCCCCATCGGGAAGATGGTGGCAGGGTATAAATAAAGATTATTATTGTTACTTATTTGCTGCTTCCTTCCTGTCCTAGCACGTTGTTGTCGTCCTGACTGGCTTAGTCTATTTCTTTCCGCAGCCGGAAGCCGCGCTCCCCGCCGAAGGCCCCCCCGGTGGTGCTGCAGGACGAGGGCCTTCCCTTGGCAGGGCCCCCTCCCCAGATCCGCATCCTGAAGCGTCCCACCAGCAACGGGGTCCTGGGCAGCCCTCGCACCGCCAGCCGGCCCGCCTTCCCCGTCAAGTCCCTGGCCCAGAGGGAGGCCGAGTACGCCGAGGCTCGCAAGCGCATCCTGGGCAGCGCCAGCCCCGAGGAGGAGGAGGACGACGACGAGGAGCAGCAGCAGCGCGGGCCCGACAAGCCCCTCCTCGACAGGTGAGGCAAGCACTTTGGCCTTTACGGATGCTGCGGTTCTGTTTAGGACAAGTATACAGTCCCAGGGTTGGAAGGGTCCAAGTCTCTTCTGTTGGGCAGGAAAGACACAATCAAAGCTCCCCAGAGAGCAGACCATCCTGCCAGCTTTTTCCTCATAATAATAATAACAACAACAATAATAATATGTCCGACATGTGATCGAATACAAAAGCCAGCAGAGTGTTCCTGTTTGCTGTGTACTAATCATGTTGTGTATCTAATAATAATAATAATATAGAGTCAGAAGGGACCCAAGGGCCATCAAGTCCCTTCTGCTGTGCAGGAAAGGCACAATCAAAGCACCCCGGAAAGATGGCCATCCCTCCATCCCCTGTTTAATAATAATATAGAGTTAGAAAGGACCCAAGCATTGTCCAGTCCCTTCTGTTATGCAGGAAAAGCACAATCAAAGCACCCCAGAGAGATGCCCATCCTTCCAGACCCTGTCTAATAATAATATAGAGTCAGAAGGGACCCAACGGCTGTCTAGTCCCTTCTGTTGTGCAGGAAAAGCACAATCAAAGCACCCCGGAAAGATGGCCATCCCTCCATCCCCTGTTTAATAATACAGAGTTAGAAAGGACCCAAACATTGTCCAGTCCCTTCTGTTGTGCAGGAAAAGCACAATCAAAGCACCCCAGAGAGATGCCCATCCTTTCAGTCCTAGTTTAATAATAATATAGAGTCAGAAGGGACCCAAACATTGTCCAGTCCCTTCTGTTGTGCAGGAAAAGCACAATCAAAGCACCCTGGAAAGATGGCCATCCCTCCATCCCCTGTTTAATAATAATATAGAGTCAGAAGGGACCCAACAGCTGTCTAGTCCCTTCTGTTGTGCAGGAAAAGCACAATCAAAGCACCCTGGAAAGATGGCCATCCCTTCATCCCCTGTTTAATAATAATATAGAGTCAGAAGGGACCCAACAGCTTTCTAGTCCCTTCTGTTGTGCAGGAAAAGCACAATCAAAGCACCCTGGAAAGATGGCCATTCCTCCATCCCCTGTTTAATAATAATATAGAGTTAGAAAGGACCCAAACATTGTCCAGTCCCTTCTGTTGTGCAGGAAAAGCACAATCAAAGCACCCCAGAGAGATGCCCATCCTTTCAGTCCCAGTTTAATAATAATATAGAGTCAGAAGGGCTGTCCAGTCCCTTCTATTATGCAAAAAAGCACACTCAAAGCACCCCAGACAGGTGGCCATCTTTTCAGCCCTTGCTTCATAATAATACAGTCAGAAGGGACCCAAAGGCCATTCTCTCCCGTCTGTTAAGCACAATTAAAGCACCTCAGAGAGGTGCCCATCCTCCCACTCGCTTCTTAATCATAGTAAGAATAACAACAATATAGCGTCAGAGAGGACCCAAGGACCATCCAGTCCAACCCCTGCTTTAATAATAACATAGTCAGAAGGAACCCAAGGGCCATCCAGTCCAACCTGGCCAGGAAGGAGGCCTAATCATATTGGCCTTTTCAGCCGCTGCATCACACTGTCTGCTCACGTGCACCCGGTAGTATAATCACAGAATCCCCGAGTTGGCAGGGACCTCAAAGGGCATCCGGTCCATCCCGTTGTTTCCTCATGCCTGTTTCTCCCACAGGCCCCCCAGGATCTCCCACCCGGACGAGGCCCGGCCGGCCAGCAACGTGATCCGCCAGCCGCTGGGGCCGGATGGTTCGCAGGGCTTCCGCCAGCGCAGATAGACATGGCCGCCGCCTCGCGTCTGCTGCATCTGCCGCCATGGAGAAGCAAGGCCGGCTGCTCCGCTGCGGCTCCCTCCTCCTCTTCCGCTCTCTCCGTCCTGCTCGGCCTGGACAGATGGACCTGAGCGGCGGGAGGGTGGCCGTTGCGCCTTCCCTCCAGCCCCTTGCACTGTGAGCCCCGCTTTACTCCGCTGCCACCTCTGACCAGCCTGCAGCAATAATGGCCTTCGTGCCAGGGGATCCTTGTACGTTTCCTCAGGGCGCAGGAGCCTCCGGGGCCCCTTTGCGCGGGTTGGCTTGGAGGGGGGAGAGGAGGTCTTCGTAGCGGGAAGTTAGGGGCTTTCCGGGGTGCTGGTAAGGGACAGCAGGCCGAGGATACGAGGGAGAGACGGAGGCCGGGCTTGCCGTGAGCCCAGACTTCGGCCCCGGCAGCCTTTTGCGTTAGGAGGAGGAGGAGTGGGGAAGGCGCAGAGGGCAAGTAACGTTTTGCAAAGGGTCGCCCGTAATAGAGGGAGGGAGAGGGAGCAGCCAGCCCTCCAAGGGGCCCCTCCAGCAGCCATATTAGGGCCCGACTCCGGGCCTCCTTGCTTCTTCTTCTTCTTCACTGTGTTTCCAGAGTCTGCCTTGTCGTCCCACCGCCTGGTTTCCGGGGGACGGGACCCCGGCCGGGAGGGGACGGGGAACGTGTTGGGGGACCGGGGTGGGGGGCCGGGGGCTTGAGACACAGACACTGGGGCGTCTCCTCTTGTGCTGGATCAGAAGTGGAACCGGTGCCTCTTTTTGGGGAGGGAGTGGGTGGGTGGGGGGGCTTTGAGGGTGGGCCTCTTTGTATGCCGACCCCAGACTTGTACGGAAAACACTGCAAAGATTTGGTTCAACAAAGTCATAGTAATAATAAACAAATAATAAATAAACAACGAGAACAACGACAATAATAAATAAACTACCTGTGTACAAAAAACGAGAACTTTTGTGGCCAAGCTGTTGAGTGTCCCCTGCTGCTGGTGAACCTCTTCTCTTCTGATTCGGGAATTAACGAATCACGGGGCCCTTTTGTTTACTTATTTATTTATTTACTATGTTTATGCCCCGCCCTCTCTCACCCCGAAGGGGACTCTGACCTGCTTACAAGTTATATGTATACACAATATATGATATTATTAGCCTAGCACAATATTAGTATTATATATTACTATGTTGTACTATACTATCATACCACAATATTATTAGTAACATAACATGTAATATATTACATTGTCTTTTTGTATTGTATTACAATGTTATGATCAATATTATATGTACATAGAACATATATTAGCATAGCACAATATTATTAGCAATATTACATATAATATATTACATTGTATAACAATATGATCAATATTATAGGTACATAGAATATATATTATTAGCATAGCACGATATTAGTATTATATAATACTATATGGTACTATATCATTATACTGCAATATTATTAGCAATATTACGTATAATATATTACATTGTATTACAATATTATGCCCAATATTATAGGTACATGCAATATGTGATATTATTAGCATAGCACAATATTTGTACTATATAATACTATATTGTACTATATCATTGTACTGCAATATTATTAGCAATATTACATATATATTACATTGTATTACAACATCATGATCTATATTATATGTACATACAATATATATTAGCATAGCACAATATTAGTATTATATAATACTATATGGTACTATGCCATTATTCTGCAATATTATTAGCAATATTACATATAATATATTATATTGTATTACAATATTATGATCAACATTATATGTACATACAATATATATTAGCATAGCACAATATTAGTATTATATAATACTATATAGTACTATACCATTATACTTTTATTACAATATTATGGTCAATATTATATGTACATACAATATATATTATTATCATAGCACAATATTGTTGTTCATTCGTTCAGTCGTCTCCGACTCTTCGTGACCTCATGGACCAGCCTACGCCAGAGCTCCCTGTCGGCCGTTACCACCCCCAGCTCCCTCAAGGTCAGTCCAGTCACTTCAAGGATGCCATCCATCCATCTTGCACTTGGTCGGCCCCTCTTCCTTTTGCCTTCCACTTTCCCCAGCATAATTGTCTTCTCTAGGCTTTCCTGTCTCCTCATGATGTGGCCAAAGGACTCCAACTTTGTCTCTAGTATCCTTCCCTCCAGTGAGCAGCCGGGCTTTATTTCCTGGAGGATGGACTGGTTGGATCTTCTCGCAGTCCAAGGCACTCTCAGAACTTTCCTCCAACACCACAGCTCAAAAGCATCTATCTTCCTTCGCTCAGCCTTCCCTAAGGTCCAGCTCTCACATCCGTAGGTGACTACAGGGAATACCATGGCTTTGACTAGGCGGATCTTTGTTGCCAGTCTGATGTCTCTACTCTTCACTATTTTATCGAGACTGGACATTGCTCTCTTCCCAAGAAGTAAGCGTCTTCTGATTTCCTGGCCACAGTCTGCATCTGCAGTAATCTTTGCACCTAGAAATACAAAGTCTGTCACGGCCTCCACGGTTTCTCCCTCTATTTTCCAGTTGTCAATCATTCTTGTTGCCATAATCTTGGTTTTTTTGACGTTTAGCTGCAACCCGGCTTTTGCGCTTTCTTCTTTCACCTTGATTAGAAGGCTCCTCAGCTCCTCCTCACTTTCAGCCATCAGAGTGGTGTCATCTGCATATCTGAGGTTGTTAATGTTTCTTCCAGCAATTTTCACCCCAGCTTTGCATTCATCAAGCCCCGCACATCGCATGATGTGTTCTGCATACAAGTTAAAAAGGTTGAGTGAGAGTATGCAGCCTTGCCGTACGCCTTTCCCAATCTTGAACCAGTCTGTTGTTCCGTGGTCAGTTCTGACTGTTGCTACTTGGTCCTTGTACAGATTCCTCAGGAGAGAGACAAGGTGGCTTGGGATGCCCATCCCACTAAGAACTTGCCACAATTTATTATGATCCACACAGTGAAAGGCTTTAGAATAGTCAATGAAGCAGAAGTAGATGTTTTTCTGAAACTCCCTGCCTTTCTCCATTATCCAGCGGATATTGGCAATTTGGTCTCTCGTTCCTCTGCCTTTTCTAAACCCAGCTTGAACATCTGGCAACTCTCTCTCCATGTATTGCTGGAGTCTTCCTTGCAGGATCTTGAGCATTACCTTACTGGCATGTGAAATAAGGGCCACTGTACGGAAGTTTGAGCAGTCTTTCGCATTTCCCTTTTTTGGTATGGGGATATAAGTTGATTTTTTCCAGTCTGATGGCCATTCTTGTGTTTTCCATATTTGCTGGCATATGGCATGCATCACCTTGACAGCATCATCTTTTAAGATTTTAAACAGTTCAGCTGGGATCCCATCGTCTCCTGCTGCCTTGTTGTTAGCAATGCTTCTTAAGGCCCATTCAACTTCACTCCTCAGGATGTCTGGTTCTAATTCATTCACCGCACTGTCATAACTATCCTCAATATTATTATCCTTCCTATACAGATCTTCTGTATAGTCTCGCCACCTTCTCTTGATCTCTTCAGCTTCTGTTAGGTCCCTGCCATCTTTGTTTCTTATCATGCCCATTTTTGCCTGAATTTTACCTACAATATTTCTATTTTTTGGAAGAGGTATCTTGTCTTTCCTATTCTATTGTCTCCTCCCACTTCCATGCATTGCTTGTTTTAAAATAATTCCTTATCTCTTCTGGCTAACCTCTGGAATTGCGCATTTAACTGGGCATATCTCCCCTTATCACTGTTTCCTTTTGCTTTCCTCCTTTCTTGGGCTACTTCCAGTGTCTCAGCAGACAACCATTTTGCCTTCTTGTTTTTCTTTTTCTTTGGGACGTACTTTGTTGCCGCCTCCTGAACAATGTCGCGGACTTCTGTCCATAGTTCTTCTGGGACTCTGTTTACTAAATCTAGTCCTTCAAATCTGTTCTTCACTTCCACTGTATATTCGCTAGGAATGTTAGTGAGATCATATCTAACTGGTCTGTGTATTTTCCCTGATCTCTTTAGTTTTATTCTAAATTGGGCAATAAGAAGTTCGTGATCTGAGCTACAGTCAGCCCCAGGTCTTGTTTTCACCGACTGGATGGATGTCCGCCACCTTTGGCCGCAAAGGATGTAGTCAATCTGATTTCGGTGTTGACCATCTGGTGAGGTCCATGTATAAAGCCGTCTTTTAGGTTGTTGGAAGAGAGTATTCGTTATACACAGCGAGTTTTCCTGGCAAAATTCTATCAGCCTGCGTCCCGCTTCATTTTGTTCTCCCAGACCATGCTTGCCTGTGATCCCAGTTGTCATTTGACTTCCCACCTTGGCATTCCAGTCTCCTGTAATGAAAATAATGTCTCTTTTTGGTGTATTATCCAGTAGGTCCTGCAGATCCTCATAGAACTGATCTACTTCTGCTTCTTCAGCAGCTGTGGTTGGGGCGTATATTTGGATCACAGTAATGTTGAAAGGCTTTCCTTGCACTCGAATTGAGATCATTCTGTCATTTTTGGGTTGTATCCAAGCACCGCTTTAGCTAATTTCTTATTAATTATGAAGGCTACTCCATTTCTTCGATGTTCCTCTTGTCCGCAGTAGTAGATCTGGTGGTCATCTGATGTGAAGTGGCCCATTCCAGTCCACTTCAGTTCGCTGACCCCCAGAATGTCTATCTTTAGTCTTGACATCTCACCAATAACAACATCCAATTTGCCCTGGCTCATAGATCTTACATTCCAGGTTCCTATGGTGTGTTGATCTTTAGAGCATCGGATTCGTCGTTCACTCCAGTACCGTCGGCCGCTAGCCTTCCTTTCGGCTTTGAGCTAGCTGCGTTATCACATCTGGGGCTAGTTGAACTTATCCTCTGCTCCTCCCCAGTAGCATTTTGGCCATCTTCCGACCTGGGAGTCCCATCTTCCAATGGCATACCGACATATCTCTGGTTGTACTGGTCCATTTAGTTTTCTTGGCAAGGATACTGGAGTGGTTTGCCATTGCCTTCCCCAGGGATCACGCTTGGTCTGACCTCTCTGCCACAACCGTCCCGTCCCACAACCCCCCTGTTGCGCCAACTCCACTGGCTACCGATCTGCTACCGGGCTGAATTCAAAGTGCTGGCGTTGGCCTTTAAAGCCCTAAACGGTTCTGGCCCAAGATCTGACCGCATCTCTGCCTATGAACCCACCAGGAGTTTGAGATCTTCCGGGGAGACCCTGCTCTCGATCCCGCCTGCTTCTCAAGCTCGGCTGGCGGGGACGAGAGATAGGGCCTTCTCGGTGGTGGCTCCTCGGCTGTGGAACGCCCTTCCTACGGACATTAGACTAGCACCATCTCTAATGGTATTCCGCAAAAAGGTGAAGACCTGGATGTTTGTGCAGGCGTTTGAGTAATTTAGTGCAATCTGGTAATGGAATATAGGAATGGAACAATGGACGACGAACCTGGACTACGCTTGGATGATGAGAAGATTGGGTACGGTTGTTTTTTGTAATAATTGTGCATTGTAATTGCTTATTGGTAATTTATGGATAATGTGTTAAGTCAATTGTTATATGTTGTATGGAACCACTGCTGTTTCTACTGTTTTTACTGTTTGTGAACTGCCGTGAGTCGCCTTCGGGCTTGATATTGTTAATTTATGGATAATGTGTTAAGTCAATTGTTATATGTTGTATGGAACCACTGCTGTTTCTACTGTTTTTACTGTTTGTGAACCGCCGTGAGTCGCCTTCGGGCTTGAGATACAGCGGTATATAAGCAAAGTAAATAAATAAATAATAAATAAATATTATTAGCATTGCATATTAGTATTATATAATATTGTACTTCACTACTATGATGCAATATAATTTGTAATATTACATGTAATATATAATATATTATAATTATATTATTTTATTATTATTATATTATAATATTATAATAATATATAATATATTATTATTATATTATAATAATATATGATTTATTATTATTATTAAATATTATATTAGTATTATATTATATTCCATTATAATATGGTCAATATTATATGTATATACAAAATATAGCATTTTGTGTGTGTGTATATATATACATATATATATATATATTATAGTACTACACTACTATAATGCAATATTATTTGTGATATTACATGTATTATATAATTGTTGTATTATTAGTATTGTATAATATGGATCAGGTTAGAAGGACTAACTTCCACTCTAGGCTTAAAGAAGAGAAGGGAACTCGGAAGTTCTGAGCTCGCGCGCCCTTCTATTATTCTTGCTCTGTGACGGGGGCGGCGTCATTCGTCGCCATAGCGACGCTTCCGGCCTCTTTTGCGGGGGGAGGACGTCGCGCATGCGCGGTCCGGAGCGAGGCCGGGGACCCGTATTTCCGGGTTCCCGCGATGGAGGAGGAGGAAGAGTACGAGTCGGTGCTGTGCGTCAAACCCGAGGTCCTCGTCTACCGCGTGCCCCCCAGGGCCTCCAACCGGGGCTTCCGGTGAGTCCCGGGAATAAACAAAGCCAAGCCCAGCCTCAAAGGCCGCCCCTTCCGCCTCCTTCACTTCCTCCCTTCCCTCCTCAGGGCGGCGGAGTGGCAGCTCGACCAGCCGGCCTGGAGCGGGCGCATGCGCATCACGGCCAAGGGGAAGGCGGCCTACATCAAGCTGGAGGACAAGACTTCCGGTAGGGCTATAAGGGTGGGAGGCCATCTGCCGGGAGGGCTTTGATGGTGCCTTCCTCCCAGACAGAATGGCCTTTGGGGTACCTCCCAATTCTAGGATTGTATCATTATTATTATGAAGCAGAGGCTGTGTGGCTATCTGTCGGGAGGGCTTTGATTGTGTCTTCCTCCCTAGCAGAAGGACTGGCCTGAATGGCCTTTGGGGCCTCTTCCAAATTTAGAAATGCATTATTATTATTGTAAAGCAGAGGCTTTGATGGTGCCTTCTTCCCAGACAGAATGCGGCCCGACTGGATGGCCTTTGGGGTACCTTCCAACTCTAGGATTGTATCATTATTATTATGAAGCAGAGGCTGTGTGGCTATCTGTCAGGAGGGCTTTGATTGTGTCTTCCTCCCTAGCAGAAGGGCTGGCCTTAATGGCCTTTGGGGTGCCTTCCAGCTCTAGGATTGCATTATTATTACTCTTGTTGTTATTATTATTATCATCAAGCAGGGGCTGTGTGGCCATCAGACAGGAGGGCTTTGATGGTGCCTTCCTCCCAGACAGAATGGGGCCCGACTGGATGGCCTTTGGAGCCTCTTCCAACTCTAGGATTGTGTCATCATTACTGTGAAGCAGAGGCTATCTGTCAGGAGGGCTTTGATTGTGCCTTCCTCCCTAGCAGAAGGGCTGGCCTGAATGGCCTTTGGGGTCCCTTCCAGCTCTAGGATTGCATTATTATTACTGTTGTTGTTATTGTTATTATTATTAAGCAGAGACTGTGTGGCCATCTGTCAGGAGAGCTTTGATTGTGCCTTCCTCCCTAGAAGAAGGGTGTTCGACTTGATGGCCTTTGGGGCCTCTTCCAAATATAGAATTGCATTATTATTATTATTGTCAAGCAGAGGCTGTGTGGCCATGTGTCAGGAAGACCTTGATGGTGCCTTCCTCCTTACAGAATGGGGCCCGACTGAATGGCCTTTGGGGGTACCTTCCAACTTTAGAATTGTATCATCATTTTTGTGAAGCAGAGGCTGTATGACTATCTGCCGGGAGGGTTTTGTGTCTTCCTCCCTAGCAGAAGGACTGGCCTGAATGGCCTTTGGGGCCTCTTCCAACTTTAGAATAGTATCATCATTATTGTCAAGCAGAGGTTGTGTGGCTATCTGTCGGAAGGGCTTTGATGGTGCCTTCTTCCCAGACAGAATGGGGCCCGACTGGATGGCCTTGGGGGTACCTTCCAACTCTAGGATTGTATCATCATTATTATGAAGCAGAGGCTGTGTGGCTATCTGTCGGGAGGGCTTTGATTGTGCCTTCCTCCCTAGCAGAAGGGCTGGCCTGAATGGCCTTTGGGGTCCCTTCCAGCTCTAGGATTGCATTATTATTACTGTTGTTATTATTCTCAAGTAGAGACTGTGTGGCCATCTGTCAGGAGGGCTTTGATTGTTCCTTCTTCCCTAGCAGAAGGGTGTTCGACTTGATGGCCTTTGGGGGCTCTTCCAAATTTAGAATTTCATTATTTTTATTGTCAAGCAGAGGCTGTGTGGCCATCTGTCGGAAGGGCTTTGATGGTGCCTTCTTCCCAGACAGAATGGGGCCCGACTGAATGGCCTTTGGGGGTACCTTCCAACTTTAGAATAGTATCATCATTATTGTGAAGCAGAGGCTGTGTGGCTATCTGCCGGGATGGCTTTGATGGTGCCTTCCTCCCTGACAGAATGGGGCCTGACTGGATGGCCTTTGGGCTTCTTCCAACTCTAGGATTGTATCATTATTATTATGAAGCAGAGGCTGTGTGGCTATCTGTCGGGAGGGCTTTGGCAGTGTCTTCCTCCCTAGCAGAAGGGCTGGACTGGATGCCCTTTGGGGTCCCTTCCAGCTCTAGGATTGCATTGTTATTACTGTTGTTATTATTCTCAAATAGGGGCTGTGTGGCCATCTGTCGGGAGGGCTTTGATTGTGCCTTCCTTCCTGGCAGAAGGGCTGGACTGGATGGCCTTTGGGGTCCCTTCCAGCTCTAGGATTGCATTACTATTACTGTTATTATTATTCCCAAGTATGGGCTGTGTGGCTCTTCCAATTTTAGGATTGCTTTTTTGTTGTCAAGCAGAGGTTGTGTGACCATCTGTCGGGAGAGTTTTGATGGTGTCTTCCTTCCTAGCGAAATGGCTGGACTGGATGCCCTTTGGGGTCCCTTCCAGCTCTAGGATTGCATTATTATTACTGTTGTTATTATTCTTCTCAAGTAGAGGCTGTGTGCCCATCTGTTCGGAGGGCTTTGATTGTGCCTTCCTTACTGACAGAAGGGTTGGACTGGATGGCTTTTGGGGTCCCTTCCAACTCTAGGATTGTCTTGCTCTTGGTTGCAGGCGAGCTCTTTGCGGTGGCGCCGGTGGAGGAGTTCCCCAGCCCAGCCGTGGAGGGAGTGTCAGACTCCAGCCGGTACTTTGTGATCCGGATCGAGGATGGGAATGGTATGATTGACAGGCCTTGCGGATGATGGGGCCACAGCACCCTCGATTTCCCCTCCAACTCTTCCTTCTTTTGCAGGGCGCCGGGCCTTCATTGGCGTGGGCTTCGTGGACCGTGGAGACGCCTTTGACTTCAACGTGGCCCTGCAGGACCATTTCAAGTGAGTCTTCCTTATAGCGATTCCCCATTCCTGCAAAAGGGAGGTGGCTTTGCAAAGTTGTTGTCTTTCCCTTGCAGGTGGGTCAAACAGCAGGGCGAGCTGGCCAAGCAGGCCCAGAACCCAGACCAGGGCCCCAAGCTGGACCTGGGCTTCAAAGAGGGGCAGACCATTAAACTCAACATCGCGGTGAGCATTGCAAGCGCAGTCCCAAAATGACGACAACAACAAAAAATGCGATGCCGTTTGTAGCCTCTCACTATTCGTTCCCTGTGTTTCCCTGCAGAACGTGAAGAGGAAGGAGGGCCCCGCAGGGAGCAAGGCGCGCTCAGGCCCCGCCGGATTGCTGCCACCGCCTCCAGGGACCAAGCCCGGGTCCCTCCCGTCTCCTTTCGGCTCCTCTGCAGCACTGCCTTCCGCAGGGGCCTCCCAATCTGCAGGTGAGTCTCGGTTGGGGGTAGCCTTAAAGGGCCGGAGGGGCTTTCCCTGAAGATTTCTCAATCCCTCTGTTGGTTTCCCCCCAGATGTCCCTTGGCCCCCGCCATCGCTGCCTCGGAGTTCCACAGTGGACGCCGCTGCCACTGACTTCTGGGGGGATTTCGCCAAAGCATCTGGGTAAGGACATCCCTCTCTTTCTATGGCTGGCCTTGTACCTTCCCCTTGAATTGGCCACGATTTTAGGCTTTTGCAGTTTGCATCCCAGTCCAGAGCCCTGTTCCATTGTAAATCTTGGGGTTTGTTTGTTTTTTTTACGCTTAACTGCAACCAAAAACAGGGGAACCCCAGACAAGAAACAATCAGGGACAGCTAATCACCCACAAACAAAGGATTCCCCCAGGCAGTAAGAAGCCAGACCTTGAAAACTGCTAGACCATCAAATATATATATCAGTTATATCCTACCTTGTTCATGTCCAGCATTATTTTTGATTTTAATCTATTACATTTGGCCCGGCCATTGGTTTTAAATGCTTGTGTGTTACTGCAATTTATTATTTTTTGTTATGTGAGTTACATTAATTGTATTGCTTTGATTGTTTTGTTCAGGGGTCCTCAAACATTTTAAACAGAGGGCCAGGTCACAGTCCCTCAAACTGTTGGAGGGCCAGGTTATAATCTGAAAAAAAAGAATAAATTCCTATGCACACTGCACATATCTTATTTGTAGTGCAAAAACACTTAAAACAATATAATAATTAAAATGAAGAATTTCAACAAATATAAAATTATTAGTATTTCAATGGGAAATGTGGGCCTACTTTTGGCTGATGAGATAAGATTATTGTTATTGTTGTGTGCTTTCAAGTAGTTTCAGACTTAGGTTGACCCTGAGCGAGGGCCGGGTAAATGAACTTGGAGGGCCGCAACCGGCCCCCGGGCCTTAGTTTGAGGACCCCTGGTTTTGTTATTGCTTTGTTTATTGATGTATTATGGGCATGGCTTCTTGTAAGCGGTACAGAGTCCCTTGGGGAGATGGCAGCGGGGTACAAATAAAGTTTTATTGTTGTTATTAAATGTTGATCAAGGTGGCCAATGGAAACATTCACAGGATGCTTGCCATAGATGCAGGTGAAACGTCAGGAGAGAATACTTCTGGAACATGGCCAGGCAGCCCGGAAAACACACAACAACTCAATAATAATATTAAATATAATAGTAAGAATGACAACAGCAATAATATAATCATAATACAATTATAATATAATAATAATAGAGACTATATTATTTATCGGGAGCCCCCGGTGGCGCAGTGGGTTAAAGCACTGAGCTGCTGAGCTTGTTGATCGAAAGGTTGCAGGTTCGATTCCGGGGAGCAGCGTGAGCTTCCGCTGTCAGCCCTAGCTTCTGCCAACCTAGCAGTTCGAAAACATGCAAATGTGAGTAGATCAATAGGTACCGCTCCGGCGGGAAGGTAACAGCGCTCCATGCAGTCATGCCAGCCACATGACCTTGGAGGTGTCTACGGACAACGCTGGCTCTTCGGCTTAGAAATGGAGATGAGCACCACACCCCAGAGTCAGACATGACTGGACTTAATGTCAGGGGACTACCTTACCTTACCTTATATTATTTATTTGTTTGTATGTTTTTATCCCGCTTTTCTCCTGAGTCGGGACTCAAAGCGGTAAACAACAATAATATTTATTTATTTATTTATAGCATTTTTACTCCGCCCTTCTCAACCCTCGGTGGGGGGACGGGACGGGGGGACGGGACTCAGAGCAGCTAACAAAGGCAGCAATTCGATGCCACAATGAATAACCCAGTATAAAACCATAAATACATACAGAGTTAAAACAATAGTAATTAATTATAACCAATTATCATAATAGTCATTAAAACAATACTCAGTCCACAAACCCACTGATAGAACCATAAAACCATATCCTCATACATATCGTCTTGCCAATCCATTTCCAGTCAAAGTGCTGTTTTATGTTTATTGTCCGAAGGTCTGGTCCCAAAACCAAGATTTTAATTTCTTCCTGAACGCCAGGAGATGGGGTTGATCGTATTTCATTTGGAAGCGCGTTCCATAGGCGGGGGCTACAGCTGGAAAGGCCCTGTCTCTCGTCCCCACCAGCTGCGTTTGCGATGTTGGAGGGAGCAAGAGCAGGGCCTCCCCGGATGATCTTAAGTTACGAGGTGGGGCGTAGAGGCAGATGCGTTTGGACAAGTAAGCTGGGTCAGAACCGTAATAGTGAAAATAATAATAATAATAATAATAATAATAATAATAATAATAATAATATAATAGTAAGAATGACAATAATAATGAGAAAATATTATAAGAATAACAATAATAATGAGAAAATATTATAGTAATAAGAATGACAATAATATAATAACAATGAGAAAATATTATAATAACAAGAATGACAACAATAATAATAATAATAATAATAAAGAGAAAAGTATTATAATAGAATGACAATAATAATGGAGAAAATATTATAAGAATGACAATAATAACAATAAAGAGAAAAGTATTATAATAGAGTGACAATAATAAGAAAAATATAATAAGAATGACAATAATTAGAAAAATATTATAAGCATGATAGGTAAAGGTAAAGGTAGTCCCCTGACATTAAGTCCAATCATGTCTGACTCTGGGGTGTGGTGCTCATCTCCATTTCTAAGCCGAAGAGCCAGCGTTGTCCGTAGACACCTCCAAGGTCATGTGGCCGGCATGACTGCATGGAGGGCCGTTACCTTCCTGCCGGAGCGGTACCTATTGATCTATTCACATGTGCATGTTTTCGAACTGCTAGGTTGGCAGAAGCTAGGGCTGACAGCGGAAGCTCACGCTGCTCCCCGGAATCAAGCCTGCGACCTTTTGATCAACAAGCTCAGCAGCTCAGTGCTTTAACCCCCTGCGCCACCGGGGGCTCCTAAGAATGATAATAATAATAAATAATTGTAGTGTCGAAGGCTTTCATGGCTGGAATCACTAGGTTCTTGTGGGTTTTTTCGGGCTATGGCCATGTTCTAGAGGCATTTCTCCTGACGTTTTGCCTGCATCTATGGCAAGCATCCTCAGAGGTAGTGAGGTCTGTTGGAATTAGGACAAAGGGTTTATATATCTGTGGAATGGCTGGGGTGGGGCAAGGAGCTCTTCCCTGCTGCAGTTAGGTGTGAATGTTTCAACTGACCACCTTCATTAGCATTTGAAGGCCTGGCTGAGCCTGGGAAAATCCCCTGTTGAGAGGTGTTAAGATGTGCCTGGTTGTTTCCTCTCTGCCCCACCTCAGCCATTCCACAGATATATAAACCCATTTTCCTAATTCCAACAGACCTCACTACCTCTGAGAATGCTTGCCATAGATGCAGGCAAAACGTCAGGAGAGAATGCCTCTAGAACATGGCCATATAGCCCGAAAAAACCCACAAGAACCTATTATTATTATTATTATTATTAATTTACTACATTTATATTGTTGACATTTTTCTTATATTTTCATTATTATTATTATTATTATTATTATTATTATTATTATTAGAATGATGATAATAATAATGAAACTATAAGAATAATGTCACCAATATAAATGTAGTAAATAAATAAACAATTCTGTTCCTGGTGTGAAAGTCTCGCTTCAGGTTTCATTGTGCGAACCTTTCTTTGAAAGGAAATAGGTTGATTCTCTCTCTCTTTGTGTTTCCTTGTTTCTAGGTCTGCGCTCAGCCAACCCGCTGCTGCTGCTCCTCCGTCGGATTCGGACTGGGTCCAGTTCTGAGCCTTGCGCTCCTCCTCCGCCTTCGATTCCCGGTTTGGACCAAAGAGGCGGACAGAAGAAGAGCCGGTGGCCAGTTGGCTGACCTCTGGGCATTTCGGGGTCCCTTTGGACTAGGGCGGGAGCCTTCTTTGGGGCCTTCTCCCTTCCCTTTTCCTGACCAAAGAGCCTTGCTGCAGCGTGGTGGGTCCACCCACCAACCAGTAAACAATGGAAGAATGACGGGTCTCTCTTTGCCGTGGTGACGATGCCCGAGCCCTTCCCAAGACAAAAGTGCCTTCTCCTCGGGCCTTCCTTCTTTGCACACTCCCCGCTTGCTGTGGTATAGATAGATCATAGATATATCAGGCCTTGGGCCTAGTTGGGCCTTCCCTCCCTCTCGCTGTTTTGGACTCCAACTCCCACAATTCCTAACCGGTAGGCTGTTAGGAATTGTGGGAGTTGGACTCCAAAACAGCGAGAGAGGGAGGGAAGGCCCAACTAGGCCCAAGGCCTGCTCTCGAGTGAACAGGGTGACTCCTCCTCTTGCCTTTTTTGTACTTGGATTAAAAGCAAATCTTGGCAACAAGGCTTTCCTGTGTGCTGATTGGGCCGCCGAAGGGAGGGGGCGGGGCCAAGGTCGCCATGGCAACCGCGTCAGAGGAGCAGCCGGAGGAGGCCAGGCAGCACTCTCGGCGGCGCCTTTCCTCAGAGTGAGTCTGCGCATGCTCAGAGACCCTCGATCTCTCTCCGGGGGAGGGGCGCTTGAGGGGCTTCGAGAGGCGGGGCTCAATCTCTCTCCGTTCTGCTTCTCTGGGTAGAGTAGGCGGGGACTAATTGGGTATGGGCGGAGTTTAGCTTCGCTCCGCCCACCCCGTGGAGGCGGCAAAGGAAGTTGCAGAGGGGGCGTGGCCTCTCGGGGTTGTGGGCGTGGCTTAGTCCCCTGATGCGGGGCAAGGCCTCAAGCACTGTGGGCGTGGCTTAGATCGTCCCGCCTACACCCTCCTGATATTTTGAGGCGGGGGCGTGGCCTCCTTGGATGTGGGCGTAACTTAACCCTAGCTAGTCCTCTGAGATGAGGGCGGGGCCTCCCTGAATGTGGGCGTGGCTTAGCTTGTCCCGCCCGGTCCCTCCTGGTCCTGCGGGGCGTGGCCTCCCGTGGCTGTGGGCGGGGCTTAGTCCTCTGAAGCGCGGCCCTCCTGGGCTATGGGCGTGGCTTAGCTCGTCCCGCCCAGCAAACCTCCTCTGAGGCGAGGGGCGTGGTTTGCTGGGCTGTGGGTGTGGCTTAATCCTCGCTCGTCGTTTTTCCTCGGAGGCGGGGTCTCCTGGACCGTGGGCGTGGCTTAATCATCACCCGCCATTGCTCACCTGTAAGGCGGGGCGTGGCTTATCTCGTTCTGCCCAGTCCCTCCTGGTTCTATGAGGCAGGGGCGTGGCCTCCGGGGCTGTGGGCGTGGCTTAATCCTCGCTCGTCCTTTTTCCTCGGAGGCGGGGTCTCCTGAGCCGTGGGCGTGGCTTAATCATCGCCCGTGCAGTCCTCACCTTCTAAGGCGGGGCGTGGCTTATCTCGTCCCGCCCAGTCCCTCCTGGTTCTACGTGGCAGGGGCGTGGCCTCCGGGATTGTGGGCGTGGCTTAATCCTCGCTCGTCCTCTGAGACGCGGGTGTGGCTTCCCGAGGCTGTGGGCGTGGCTCGTCCTGTGAGACGGGGCGTGGCCTCCCGGGGCTGTGGGCGTGACTCAATCCTTGCCTGTCCTCTGAGGCGGGGGCGTGGCCTCCCGGGGCTGTGGGCGTGGCTTAATCCTCGTTCGTTTTAGAGACGGGGCGTGGCCTCCCAGGGCTGTGGGCGTGGCTTCATCCTCGTTCATTTTAGAGACGAGGCGTGGCCTCCTTGGGCTGTGGGCGTGACTCAATCCTCGCTCGTCCTATCAGACGGGGGCGTGGCCTGTCTGAGCTGTGGGCGTGGCTTAATCCCCGCTCGTCCTCTGAGGCGGGGCGTGGCCTCCCAGGGCTGTGGGCGTGGCTTAATCCTCGTTCATTTTAGAGACGGGGCGTGGCCTCCCGGGGGGCTGTGGGCGTGGCTTAATCCTCACTCGTCCTATCAGACGGGGGCGTGGCCTTCCTGGGCTGTGGGCGTGACTCAATCCTCGCTCGTCCTCTGAGATGGGGGCGTGGTCTCCTGTGCTGTGGGCGGGGCTTAGTTCCGTCCCGCCCAGTCCCGCGTCATCTTGCTCCTTTTAATCACAGGGCTGTGGGCGGGGAGAGTATAAGCCCCGCCTATTCTGTATGGTCCTGTGAGAATAAGCAGGGGGCGTGGCCTTGCGTGTTGGAGGCGTGGCTTAGCTTCCTCTCTCCTCCTGCTCCTGAGGCGGGAGAAGAACTTGGGGCGGGGCCTCCGAGTCAGCCTTAAGGGGGCGTGGCCTCCTGGACTGGAGGCGGGGTGAGGCTAAGCCCCGCCCAGTCTTTTCCCTCCTGGTCCTCTGAGGCGGGAGAAGGAGAAGCGGCGGCGCGGAGATGCCCGGATGAGCGTCCCCTGGGAGCCCCCCTTGGAGGCCGTGGTGCAGGTGAGGGAGGGAGGGAGAGAAAGAGGGGCGGGGCCGGAAGTGCTCCTCTGAGGCGGGAGGGAGGGAGGGAGGGAGGGTGTCCTTTCGAACCCTTCCCAAGGAGCGGATTAGCCGGGCGACAAGGCGGTCACTCTGAGGAGAGAGAGAGAGAGAGAGAGAGAGGGAGAGAGAGGCATCCCTCACATGGAGAGCCATTGTTATCCTTGGTATTATTCTTATTATATTTGTGGCTTGTTACTCTTATCATCACAATAATAATGTTATTTGATGGGGAAGACATTTGTTGTTGTTGTTATATTGTTATTTGTCCCTTGTTTGTTGTTGCATTCTTATTATTTGACTCAAGCTGCAAGGAGAGGCAGGGAATGTTAATTATTATTATTATTTTGTTATTATTTGCTCCTTATTTCACTCAAACTGCAAGAAGAGGCAGGGAATGTTATTTATTATTATCATTATCATCATTATTATTGTTATTATTATGTTGCTGTCGTTGTTGTTTGTCCCTTGACTCAAGCTGCAAGGAGAGACAAGAAGACTATTATTATTATTATTATATTGTTATTATTCGTTCCTTATTTAACTCAAGCCAGAAGGAGAGACGAGAATACAATTATTATTACTATTATTGTTATTATAATATTATTATTATTTGCTCCTTATTTGACTCAAGCTGCAAGGAGAGGCAGAGAATGTTATTTATTATTATTATTATTATTATGTTGTTGTTGTTGTTGTTGTTGTTGTTGTTTGTCCCTTAATTGACTCAAGCCGCAAGGAGAGACGACAATACAATTATTATTACTATTATTATTATTGTTATTATTTCTTCCAAGCCAGAAGGAGAGACGAGAATACCATTATTATTACTATTATTGTTGTTGTTATTCATTCGTTCAGTCGTCTCCAACTCTTCGTGACCTCATGGACCAGCCCACGCCAGAGCTCCCTGTCGGCCGTTACCACCCCCAGCTCCCTCAAGGTCAGTCCAGTCACTTCAAGGATGCCATCCATCCATCTTGCCCTTGGTCGGCCCCTCTTCCTTTTGCCTTCCACTTCCTTATTTAACTCAAGCCAGAAGGAGAGACGAGAATACAATTATTATTACTATTATTATTGTTATTATTTCTTCTTTATTTGACTCAAGCCAGAAGGAGAGACGAGAATACAGTTATTATTACTATTATTATTATTATATATTGTTATTATTTGTCCCTTAATTAACTCAAGCTGCAAGGAGAGACAAGAATACAATTATTATTACTATTATTATTATATTGTTATTATTTGTTCCTTATTTAACTCAAGCCAGAAGGAGAGACGAGAATACAATTATTATTACTATTATTGTTATTATTATATTATTATTATTTGTTTCTTATTTGACTCAAGCTGCAAGGAGAGGCAGGGAATTATTATTATTATTATTATTATCATTATTATATTGCTGTCGTTGTTTGTCCCTTGATTCAAGTCGCAAGGAGAGACAAGAATCCTATTATTATTATTATTATTATTATTATTATTTTGTTATTATTTGCTCCTTATTTGACTCAAGCTGCAAGGAGAGACGGGATTACAATTATTATTATTATAATTATATTGTTATTATTTGCTCCTTATTTGACTCAAGCTGCAAGAAGAGGCAGATAATGTTATTTATTATTATTATGTTGTTGCTGTTGTTGTTGTTGTTGTTTGTCCCTTAATTGATTCAAGCCGCAAGGAGAGGCGAGAATATAATTATTACTATTATTATTGTTATTATTTCTTCCTTATTTGACTCATGCCGGAAGGAGAGACGAGAATACAATTATTATTACTATTATTATTATTATTATTATTATTATTATTATTATATTGTTATTATTTGCTCCTTATTTGACTCAAGCTGCAAGGAGAGATTGGGAATACATTTCTATACATTAGGCAATACAGTTGTTGTTATTGTTGTTTGTCCCTGCTTGCAGGCACTTGCATCTCATCCATTCTACATTATTATTATTATTATTTTGTTATTATTTGCTCCTTAATTGACTCAAGCTGCAAGGGGAGGTATGGAATGTTATTTTTTATTATTATTATTATTATTATTATGTTGTTTTGTTGTTGTTGTTGTTGCTTATTACTATTACTCTTATTATTATATTGTTATTATTTGTTCCTTATTTGACTCACACTGCAAGGAGAGGCAGGAAATACAATTATTATTATCCTTGTATCGTTATTATTTGTTCCTTTTTTTGTCTCAAACTGCAATGAGACAGGGATTGTTGCTGTTGTTATGTTGTTGTCGTTATTTCTTCCTTAGATGACTCAAGCTGTAAGGAGAGTCGGGGAACACAATTCTTATTGTTGTTATTGTTGTATTGTTATTATTTGCTCCTTATTTGACTCAAACTGCAAGGAGAGATGGGGACTACATTTCTATACATTAGGCAATACAGTTGTTATTGTTGTTATTGTTGTTTGTCCCTGCTTGCAGGCACTTGCATCTCATCCATTCTACATTATTATTATTATTATTATTATTATTATTATTATTATTATTATTATTATTATATAGGCTCAAGCTGCAAGGAGAGGTGGGGAATACATTTGTATACGTTAGAGTTTGTTGTTGTTGTTACGTTGTTGTTTGTCCCTCCCTTGTAGGTGCTGGAGCGCAGCCTCCTTGGGGCCTCAAACCGGTCCCTTTTGCTGAAGGGCTCCAAACAGGGCTGCCCTCCCTCTGGCTTTGCGGCCCGGATCCGTGAGATCCTCACCCAGAGCCTTTGCGGAGAGCAAGGTGGGGCTCTCTTCCCAAAGGGATGGAGAAGATCCCCTAGCCTTGACCTTCCTCCTGGCCTTCCAGTCCAGATCTGGACCACCTTCTGGGGTCTGAGGCCTCCTTATACCATGACCAGCCCCTCAGGAGCCCCTCTTTCTGTGTCTCTCTGCAGCCTCCTCTCAGGACACAATGGCGGCCCCCTCCTCTATTTCGCCCTCTTCGCTGCTGCCCCTCCAGGAGGAGAACCACCTCTTGCAGCAGGAGCTCTCCCGCTTGGAGGACCTCCTGGCCCAGAGCCGGGCCGAGCGGGATGAGCTGGCCATCAAGTACAACGCCATCAGCGAGCGGGTCAGCGCCTCCCTTTTCCTTCCCACCCATCCCTATTCCTTGGCTCTCTGTAGTGGCCCTTCTGTGGGTCCAAGGCCTGTTGAGGCTTGTTCTCTTGGCGGGAGGCTTTGGGAAGGACCCCAAACTCCCCACTGAATGCATCTGTGTTTCAATCTGGCCACGTTTCCCTATAATGAGTGGTGCCTGGGAGAGTGGGAGGGTGCAGGGCAGAGATGGAGTGTTGTCCCCTTTGCCAAGCTGCGTGGGGCCCTTTTGGGGGCTCTGGTGGCCATGGCAAGCAATGCCGGGAGGGTCAAAACAAGGCCCCCGGTTGCCAGGGAGAAGGGGAAGCTTGCAAACCCCTCCTGCTTGCCATTCGGTCTCCAGGAGACGTGTTGACGTCAGGAGCAGCAGCGCAAACAATGGGATTGGCACTGAGTTCATACCCAGAGAGGTCCCTTTTGGGGAAGGGGCTGCAAGAGGGGCAAGTGGCCCCCTCCCCTTCCTCCTCTTCCTTTGGCTTTGGGTTTGTAAAATCCTCACTTTGGGCCCTTCTCTGTGCCGGATTGCCACCTAATCCTTCCCTACCTCAGATCCAGATTGTCTCTGGGAGAAAGGTGGCATACAAATGCAATCAAATCAATCAAATAAAATAAACGTGCAAGTGATTTGATTTGATTGATTGCATTCCTGATTTGCAGGATTTTCATTGTTTCTGATGGTCTTAGGCGACCCCTGTGAAAGGGTGAGTCAACCCCCTAAGTCAGGGGTCCTCAAACTAAGGCCCGGGGGCCAGATACAGCTCTCCAAGGTCATTTACCTGGCCCTCGCTCAGGGTCAACCTAAGTCTGAAACGACTTGAAAGCACACAACAACCCTATCTCATCAGTCAAAAGCAGGCCCACACTTCCCTGTTAGAGGCCCTAAATTGGGTCTTCTTAGGTCCACATCACGGGAACACGTAAGGAAGGAGACTGTCCCAAAAAAAGATAAAAAAACAAGATTTATTTTAGTTTCTTCATGAAGAAGACGGACAGCTTGGCAGCATATGCAGATGCTACCCTTCAAGTGACTGCCGCGCCCCTCCTCTTTTTCTGCTGACTTTTATACTCAAGTAATAGGTCATGGAAAGTACTCTCTTTCCAGCCCCTCTCCCTTGACCTTTTGATGGAAAGTACCTTCTTGTACCTGCAGACTCTGCGCTTAACCACAACCTTTGAACTTAACCACAACACAACTTCCGGCCTCTACATGTCACATCTTGTTTCTTAAAAACATTTTCTTCCCTGTTGCTCCTTTTCTACAGAGAAAGGGTATGTTTCTGTTTTACTGTTAATTTCATTCAAAGCCCCTTTCAATACTAATAAGTTTATATTTGTTAACATTGTTCTTCATTTTAATTATTGTGTTGTGTATAAGATATGTGCAGTGTGCATAGGAATTCATTCATGTTTTTTTCAAATTATAATCTGGCCCTCCAACAGTTTGAGGGACTGTGACCTGGCCCTCTGTTTAAAAAGTTTGTGGACCCCTGCCCTAAGGGATCGTGACCCACAGGTTGAGAACCACTGACCTAACTGGAAACTAAGCCCTAACACAGCTGTTCTCAACCATCTTAATGCCGCGACCCCTGAATACAGTTACTCATGTTGTGGTGACCCCAAACCCTAACATTATTTTCGTTGCTACTTCATAACTGTCATTTTGCTCCTGTTATGAATCGTAATGTAAACATCTGATATGCAGGATTTTCATTATTTCCGATGGTCTTAGGCGACCCCTGTGAAAGGGTCATTCGACCCCCTGAGGGGTCGCGACCCACAGGTTGAGAACCCCTGATCTAACTGGAAACTAAGCCCTAACTCAGTGGTTCTCAACCATCTTAATGCCACGACCCCTGAATACAATTCCTCATGTTGTGGTGACCCCCAACCATAACATTATTTTCGTGGCTACTTCATAACTGTCATTTTGCTCCTGTTATGAATCATAATGTAAACATCTGATATGGAGGATTTTCATTATTTCCGATGGTCTTAGTCGACCCCTGTGAAAGGGTCATTCGACCTTCTGAAGGGTCGCGACCGACAGGTTGAGAACCACTGACCTAACTGGAAACTAAGCCCTAACACAGCTGTTCTCAACCATCTTAATGCCGCAAATCCTTAATACGGTTCCTCATGATGTGTTGACCCCAACTAGTGGTCTTAGGCGACCCGTATGAAAGGGTGGTTCAACCCCCTAATATTGGGAGTATAGCATATTGGCATAACCCTTCCCTCACATACGGTGACAAAAATACAAACAGATTGGATAAATCACAACAGAGATACATGGGGGGAGGGAGTGGGTAAACCGCACTCTCTCAGCCTCAAAGGAAGGCACACCATCTGTAAGCATATCTTGACACCCAATGTCCTCGTTGCCTCTCCAGCTGGAACAAGCACTGCGCCTGGAGGCCGGGCCAGACCGGGATGCGGCACCGCCAGAGAGCAAGGCCCTGGCCCAGCAGAACGTGGAGCTGCGCCGACGGCTGGAGGAAGAGCAGGCCGGCTACAAGCGCAAGCTACAGGCCTACCAGGAAGGGCAGCAGCGCCAGGCCCAGCTGGTGCAGAAGCTGCAGGCCAAGGTCAGCCTCCCCCCCCCCCTCTGCATTCAGTCTGTGGGTAGAGATATAACTTGCAAGATTCCCAATAAGCCAGAGTTCCATAAAAGTAATTCAAGAATGCCGAGGAGACATCACAGCAGCTAGAAATCCAAAACATAGCAATAGTCCAAGCTAATCCCATAAACATGAACACAGGAATCTCTTCCAGGCAAAACTCTTCAAAGGTACATAGGCAAAGACAGGAACATGAAATCTTGACAGTTAAAGAACCATAGACTTGGAAACTTAGTAACCCTTCAGCAATCTTGTCTTCTCTGATATGCTTGGAAACAAAGCAGCTAATTTAATCCTATCCAAATTCCCATGAAATCATGTCGAAGGCACCTGGATTTCAAGGCCTTATCTTGGAGGCTCTGGGAAGACCTAGAGTACTTTTCACACCCTGCGTTCTGAGATCTAGTCTACACTCTCTTGAGACCTCTTCGCTCTCCCCATCTTTCCAAGGCCTTTTCTCAAGGGAAATGGCAGTTTCACTCTCCCCGGTTGCTAAGCATTGGCCGGGTCAGCCTGACCTGTCTGCGATTCTTCCTGAACGGTCTCAGATTCTCCCTGAACACTTTCAGACCCTTCATTTTGAAACCCCTCCTCCTCAGAATCATCTGATGCTTGCCAGACTACAACACCTCTATCCCTTCACAGTCTCCCTCCTCCTCCGCAGGTCCTTCAGTACAAGAAGAAGTGCGGGGAGCAAGAGCAGCAGCTGCTGGAGAAATCCACAGAGCTGGAGCAACAGCAACTGGTGGTGAGCATTCCCTCTTCATCAGGCCCTTCAGTCCCAGCGTTTGGGGGCGTTTGAACCCCTTTTTCCCTCCCTTTCTGTCACCCCCAATGACAGGGCCACCTGGATCTGGCCGAGTCCCGCTTGCGCCTCGACGAGGAGCACAGCAGTGACCTGGAGAATGCCCTCATCCGCCTGGAGGAGGAGCAGCAGAGGCAAGTGCCATCCCACCTCCTCTGGGGTTTCTCCTACTACTATTATTATTATTGCAAAGGCTGGATGGCCATCTGTTGGGGGTGCTTTGATTGTGCCTTTCCTGCATGGAAGAATAAAGGGGGTTGGATTGGATGGCCCCTGGGGTTGCTCCTGCTATTATTATTATTATTATTATTATTATTATTATTATTATTGCAATGACTGGATGTCCATCTGTTGTGCGTGTTTGATTGCGTTTTTCCTGCATGGCAGAATGGAGTTGGACTAGATGGCCTCTGGGCTTGCTATTATTATTGTTGCTACTATTACTATTATTGCAAATGCTGGATGGCCATCTGTTGGGGGTGCTTTGATAGTGCCTTTCCTGCATGGGAGAATACAGGGGGTTGGATGGCCCCTGGGGTTCTCCTGCTATTATTATTATTATTATTATTATTATTATTATTATTATTATTATTATTATTATCGTTATTATTGCAATGACTGGATGTCCATCTGGTGTGCGTGTTTGATTGTGTTTTTCCTGCATGGCAGTATGGGGTTGGACTAGATGGCCCCAGGGCTTGCTATTATTATTATTGCTACTATTACTATTATTGCAAATGCTGGGTGGCCATCTGGGGGTGCTTTGACTGTGTTTTTTCCGCATGAATTTTTGTTGTCGTTGTTGTTGTTATTGCAATGGCTGGGTGGCCATCTGTTGGGGGTCCTTTCATTGTGCCTTTCCTGCATGGAAGACTAAAGTGGGTTCGACTGGATGTTTTATGGAGTTTCTGCTATTATTATTATTATTATTATTATTATTATTATTATTATTATTATAAACATTTATTTATACCCCGCTACCATCTCCCGAAGGACTCGGTGTGGCTTACAAGAGGCCGAGCCTATTATTATTATTATTATTATTATTATTATTATTATTATTATTATTGCAAAGTCTGGGAAGCCATCTGTTGGGGTCCTTTCATTGTGCCTTTCCTGCATGGAAGACTAAAGTGGGTTCGACTGGATGTTTTATGGAGTTTCTGCTATTATTATTATTGCAAAGTCTGGGTAGCCATCTGTTGGTGGTGTTACAACCCAGATCAGGAAACAAGACCATAAGATATTAATCCACCACACTTGACTGTAGGAAAAAACAATCCTTTTTTATTGATAAAAAATGGTTATAAAATAGAGGAAAATATAAAATCCAAAAAGCCACAATAAAATTCAGCAGTCAGGAATATCTATGAACTAGATCAAAATTCCAAAAGCAACACTAGAAAAACCTGGAACCTGTTAGCATCTCACTAACCGTACTTGGAAACTAAAAGCCTCTGGGAATGCAGGCCATGGAAACCGGGAAATCTGCCAAGGTAATGCCTCAGTCTAAACGATGTTTGATCTAACGAGAGAGCCCGGGGAGAGACACTTAAAGCTAAAGAAACTGTTTTGGGACACGCCTCCAGACTTTGAAGGCTGTGCCTCCCTTTCCTTTAATCTGCTTGACCTTCACAGACTCTGCGATTCACTCCTGTTTTTCCAAATCTGTCCTTTTCTATCCTCATTAAAAAAGGCAGGTGCTAGCTCCTCTGATGAGCTATCACTGCTTGATTCAGAAACATTCCCATCAGGATGCGTAGTTTCCAAGCCACTGACCTCAGAATCAACAGTTTCCAAACCATCAGGGACAAATTCATGTTTAGTAGCCTGTTCAGTTGCATCAGGAAATACAATCAGAGAATCAGATTCAGGTTCACGCAGGCTGAACCCCAACAGGTGGTGCCGTGACTATATTTTTCTTGCATGTGTTTCTGTAGTTGTTGTATGGGTTTCTGTTGTTATTGTTGTTGTCAAAGTCCAAGATAAAAAAAACAGTGGAAGTTTGACCTCTTGGACATCTGGATGCATTGTTGTTGTTGTTGTTGCTGTTGTTATTGCAATGGCTGGGTGGCCATCTGTTGATTCCCTCATCTTCTTACCTCCAGGAGCACCAGCCTCGCCCAAGTCAACGCCATGCTGCGGGAGCAGCTGGACCAAGCCAACACGGCCAACCAGGCTCTGAGCGAGGACATCCGGAAGCTGACCGCCGACTGGACCAAAGCCCGGGAGGAGCTGGAGCAACGGGAGGCAGAGTGGCGGCGAGAAGAGGAGGTTGGGGCGAACGAGGCGAGCAGGCGGAGCGGGTTTCCAGTGGGCGAGAGCGGTGTCGGGACCCTTCTCTTTCTCTCTTTCTTTCTGTAGTCGTTCAATGCCTACTTCAGCAACGAGCACAGTCGCCTCATGACTCTCTGGCGGCAAGTCGTTGGCTTCCGGAGGCACTTCAACGAAATGAAGACCCAGACGGAAAGGTCAGTGCTTGGCGAGGGACAAGGCGGGGTGGCATCACAACTATTAGGAGAACGGGAAAAGGAAGGAGAGATGGGGAGGTTGTCAGTCATGTAAAGCCATTCTTCTTTCCATAGGGACCTCTCGGAGCTGGGCCACGAACTCTCCCGCTCCGGCCGTGCGGCGCACGCCTCCTGCCTGGACCTGTGCAGCCGCCTGCGTTTGTCGGAGAGCGGCGCCACGGCACAGGTGGAGAAGCAGGCGCGCCTGGCAGCGCAAATGGAGGAACAGCTGAGGGACAAGGTCCGCGACATGATCCAGCTGCAGGTCCGCTGCGACCTGGAGAAGGCCGAGCTCAGCAGCAGGTGGGGCACAGGCCAGGCGGGGGACCCCTCTCTGTCTTGAGGGGCCTTATTTGGGGTGACACCCCTCCTGCCTCTCCCTCTCTCTCTCAAGGATCGCGGAGCTCACTTCTGGCACGGAACGCCTGAAGAGCCAGAACGCAGAGAAGGCCCAGACCATCGAGACACTGAGCGAGAAGCTGGAGGCCTTGGTGAGAGGCAGATAATAATAATAATAATAGTAATAATAATAATAACAATAACAATAATAATAATCTATATAAATAAAAATGTAATATTCATTCGTGATACCATCAGAACTCAAAAACCACTGGGGGAATTGACACCAAATTTGGACACAAGACACCTAACAGTCCAATTTATGTCCTCCACTCAAAAAAATTGATTTTGTCATTTGGGAAATGGCGTTACTGGGATTTATAGTTTACCTACAATCAAAGAGCATTCTGAACTCCACCAATGATGGAATTGGGCCAAACTTAGCACACAGGGCTCCCATGACCAACAGAAAAAACTGGAAAGGTTTGGTGGACATTGACCTTGAGTTTGGGAATTATAGTTCACCCACATCCAGAGAGCACTGTGGACTCAAACAATGATGGATCTGGACCAAACTTGGCACAAATATTCCATATGCCCAAATATGAACACAGATGGAGTTTAAGGGAAATAGACCTTGACATTTGGGAGTTGTAGTTGCTGGGATTTATAGTTCACCTACAATCAAAGAGCATTCTGAACTCCACCAACGATGGAATTGAACCAAACTTGGCACACAGGACTCCCATGACCAGCAGAAAATACTGGAAGGGTTTGGTGGGCATTGACCTTGAGTTTGGGAGTTGTAGTTCACCCACATCCAGAGAGCACTGTGGACTCAAACAATGATGGATCTGGACCAAACTTGGCAAGAATATTCCATACGCCCAAATATGAACACAGATGGAGTTTACGGGAAATAGACCTTGACATTTGGGAGTTCTAGTTACTGGGATTTATAGTTCACCTACAATCAAAGAGCATTCTGAAACCCACAAACAACAGAAATGGGTCAAACTTCCCACACAGAACCCCCATGACCAACAGAAAATACTTAAGGCTATCCAGTCCAACTTTCTTCACCAGGGCAAGAAAATGTAATCAGAGCCCTCCTGACAAAGAGCCGTCCAGTCATAAATATAGATAGATAGATATGATTCTCTCTCTCACACACAGATATAGTATCATAGATTTGAAAGGGACCCCTAAAGAAGGACAATTATATGTTGCATATTCCAGAGTAGGCAAACCAGACATTCTCCACATCAACACTGACAGAGAAACAACAAGAAATACTGTTTACTCACAAGCAGAAAGGAATTACATATATTAGAAACCAACACTTTCTCATTACTTTATTTTCCAGATCACCAGACTCGGCCACAGCAACGCATGGCAAGGCACAGCTAGTAGTAGTAGTAATAATAATAATAATAATAATAATAATAATAATAATAATACTATTTATACCCCGCTACCATCTCCCCAAGTGACTTGGTGCGGCTTACATGAGGCCAAGCCCACAGTACATCAATAAACAAAAGCAATAACAAAAAAAATCAATACAATACAATTAATATAAATCACATAAACAAAAATAAACAGTAACACACAAGCATTTAAAAACCTATGGCCGGGCCAAATGTTATAGTTTAAAAATTTAAAAAATAATGCTGGGCATGAAGAAGGTAGAATATAACTGGGATAGGGTTTTCAAAGAGAGATGAGGGAACGCAGTGAGTCCTGAATCAGTGGTAAAGTGCATTTTGAGGGAATATTGCTGAGGGTTTTCCTTATTCTGGGAAGGCACACTGGAACAGTCACGTTTTCAGGCTCCTCCTAAAGACTGCCAGAGTTGGGGCATGTCTGAGTTCCTTGGGAAATGAGTTCCAGAGTCGGGGGGCCACCACCGAGAAGGCCCTCTATCTGGTCCCCACCAATCGTGCCTGCAAAGGAGGTGGGAGCGTGAACAGGGCCACTCCAGATGATCAAAGAGATTGTGTAGGTTCGTACACAGAAATGTGGTCATGCAGGTAGGCGGGTCCCACACCGTTCAGGGCTTTGTAGGTCAGAACCTGCACCTTGAATTGGGACCGGAAAATGAATGGCAGCCAGTATTTTAAAAACTCTAAAATTATAACTGTAAATAAAGAACAACGCTCAAACGCAGGGGAACTCCAGACAAGAAACAATCAGGGCCAGCTAATCACCTCTCAACAAAGGATTCTCCCTAAAAACTGTCAGGCTATGAAATGGTAATCAAGGTGGCCAATTGAAACATTCATACCTACCTCCAACAGACAAGAGTTCTTTCTCCCACCCTGGATCTTCCACAAATTTCCTAGTTAAAGGTTTTCCTCTGACATGAAGTCCAGTCGTGTCTGACTCTGGAGTGTGGTGCTCATCTGCATTTCTAAGTCGAAGAGCCGGCGTTCTCCGTAGACACCTCCAAGGTCATGTGGCCGGCATGACTGCATGGAGCGCCAGGGCAGCCTCCCTTGGCTGGCTCACGCTGCCCATCGGGCCACATGCCAAGGGAGGAGCAGCACCGCGTGGCCTACGCTCGCGTAAAGCACCTCGCGGAGCAGCTGCCCTTGGCTGGCTCACGCTATCCGTCAGGCCCGATGGGCAGCGTGAGCCTGCCAAGGGAGGAGCAGCACCGCGTGGCCTACTTTCGTGTAAAGCACCTCGTGAGGTGCTTTACGCGCGAGTAGGCCACGCAGAGCAGCTGCCCTTGGCAGGCTCACGCTGCCCATCGGGCCTGACGGATAGCGTGAGCCAGCCAAGGGAGGGGCACTGTGTGTGGGGGGGGGGCGCTCCTCCTCTGCGGGCCGGATAAGTGCCTTTGGTGGGCCGGAAGTGGCCCGCGGGCCGTAGTTTGAGGACCCCTGCTCTAGGTGTTTTGGACTTCAACTCCCACAGGTGGGAAGTAAGAAGGACTTGAGATATTGGAGGCAGTGTGCGTCAACATGTTTTGGCGCCCGAATAGAGATTTGAGAAAATACTCAGGTCTTTTCCAGTTGGAGATGTGTGGGAGTTGGAGTCCAAAACACCAAGTTGGCCAATGCTTTTAGGATTCTGTGATTCTAAAGCTGGCTCAGAGGCCCGCCATTGTCTGACTCTGCTCCTGTCCTTCCAGGAAGCCTCTCGCGCCCAGGAACAGGCCTTGGCCGAGGCGGAGGAGATGGACGCCCTCCGGACGGAGTCTGAGACCCTCCAGCAGACGCTCCGGGACCTTGCGCAGGTGGGGTCAAAGGGATGGGACTTCTGTCTTTGGGAAGCCCCTCTCACCGGCTCCATTCATAATATGGCTCCTCAACCTCCTCCTCAACAGGCCGTGCTCTCAGACGCAGACAGTGCCGTCCAGCTTTCAGCTGCCTCCTCCTGCGAGAGCGACACCGTGGGCCTCGGCTTGAGGGGACTCTCTTCCAGCCTGCGGACCCCCTCTCCCCTACGCCGCCATTCCCCCCGCAGGGGCCTCTCCCCCGCCTTCCCAGTGGAGCCCACCCTGGTCCTGGTGCAGGCGGCCCTGCACAAGCGGCAGCTCCAGCTCCAGGTGAGGAGGGAGCACATAGGGGTGTCCCCAGTGCTCATTGTCAGGATATGCCTCGTTCAGACACAAATAATATCCCAAGGCACCAGGACTGTGGCACAGCTGCATTAAGCCTGTGCTGGACGGGGTCACACTCCCCCTGAAAGCTCAGGTACGCAGTCTGGGAGTTCTCCTGGATTCATCGCTGAGCCTGGAACCCCAGGTCTCAGCGGTGGTCAGGGGAGCATTCGCACAATTAAAACTTGTGCGCCAGCTGCGTCCGTACCTTGGGAGGGCTGACTTGGCCACGGTAGTACATGCTTTGGTTACATCCCGCTTAGATTACTGCAACGCTCTCTACGTGGGGTTGCCTTTGAAGACTGCCCGGAAGCTGCAGCAAGTCCAACGCGCGGCAGCCAGATTACTAACGGGGGCTGGGTACAGGGAGCACACCACTCCGCTGTTACGCCAGCTCCACTGGCTGCCAATTAGCTTCCGAGCACAATTCAAAGTGCTGGTGTTGACCTATAAAGCCCTAAACGACTCCGGCCCTGTTTACCTCTCCGAACGTATTCTCCCCTACGAACCATCAAGATTATTAAGATCATCTGGAGAGGCCCTGCTCTCGGTCCCACCGGCCTCGCAAGCGTGCCTGGTGGGGACGAGGGACAGGGCCTTCTCGGTGGTGGCCCCGCGACTCTGGAACTCTCTCCCTCTGGAGGCCAGAACCGCCCCATCCATCCTAACATTTAGGAAACGGGTGAAGACGTGGCTGTGGAGTCAGGCCTTCGATGAATGAGACAACACCATAGGACCCTGGATGGAAGTTGATGTAGATCCATCTTAATAGGACGACTGACCACTGTAGTTTTATATATAGTGTTTTTAAAGTTGTTTTTGTAATTGTGATATATGATATTTTAATGAGTGTATATGTTTTTTATGGCTGGAAACCGGGCTGAGTCCCTCAATGAGGTTGAGAAGCTCAGTATAGAAAACTGTGGAATAAATAAATAAATAAAATAAGATCACTACTGACCGAAAGGTCATGAGTTCGAAGCCAGCCCGGGTCGGAGTGAGCTCCCGACCAAATTTGTGTAGCTTGCTGTCGACCTTTGCAGCTCGAAAGACAGTTGCATCTGTCAAGTAGGAAAATTAGGTATAATTATTTATTTATTTATTTATTTGGAAGATTTCTATACCGGCTTTCTCACCTCAACCGAGGGACTCAGGTCGGTTTACAGCATATATGCAATTACAAAATATACAAATACAACCGAGTGCAACATCATTAAGGATTAAAACAACACAGTAGAATACAATAAAACATCATCACTACAATTACCCAGGCCAAAACGTCAATACAATCGTAGTCATAGTCACAGTTCATTAAAGATTCAGTCGTCAAAAGCCACTTTCCAGAGCCAGGTCTTTAGTAATTTCCTGAAAGTCAGGAGGGAGGGGGCAGATCGAATCTCCAGTGGAAGGGAGTTCCAGAGCCGGGGAGCCACCACCGAGAAGGCCCTGTCTCTCGTCCCCACCAAGCGCGACTGCGAGGGTGGTGGGACCGAGAGGCGCCCCCCCCTCCCCCGGAAGATCTCAATAGCCTTAATGGCTCATATAATAATAATAATAATAATAATACTTTATTTGTACCCCGCTACCATCTCCCCAAGGGACTCGGTGCGGCTTACATGAGGCCGAGCCCAAATACAACAATACAAGCAAAACAACAACAGTACAAGCAATTAAAATAAAACATAGACAATAAAATATACAACATTATCAATAAGACAACACACAATTAAAAACAGTGGGAAGGCCAAATGTAATGTTAAAATGGAAATAATGCTGGGACATGGACGAAAGGTGATAGTGGCGTTTGTGGAAGGGGATACGAGCAGATCTAAAAAGTGTAAAGTGCTTTGGTCAAAGGTCAAAGTGCTATGGGATCATTATTCCGGGAAGGCACACTGGAACAACCACGTCTTCAAGCTCCTCCTAAAGACTGTCAAGGTTGGGGCCTGTCTGATGTCTTTAGGGAATGAGTTCCAGAGTCGAGGGGCCACCACCGAAAAGGCCCTCTCTCTCGTCCCCACCAACCGCGCCTGCGATGCTGGTGGGATCGAGAGCAGGGCCTCCCCAGATGATCCCACTTATGTGGGGAGGCAAATTTAACTGATTTATGAGGCCATAAAAATCTCCAGCAAGCATGCAAAGAATGAGGAAATACTTTGTCAGTGTCACAAATGGTCGGTGATGGGATAGCTCCCCTGGTGGCCAGAATACCCTCAAGAAAACCTGGAATGTTAAATTGCCTCTGTGTCTGTCTATATATGTTGTGTGTCTATGGCATTGAATGTTTGCTATGTATATGTACCTTGTAATCCGCCCTGAGTCCTCTGCGGGGTGAGAAGGGCGGAATATAAATACTGTAAATAAATATAAATCTATATAAATAAAAATGTCATGTTTGTTTGTGGGATTGACAGAACTCAAAAACCACTGGACGAATTGACACCAAATTTGGAAACAAGACACCTAACAACCCAATGTATGTCCTTCACTCAAAAAAAAAAATGATTTTGTCATTTGGGAGTTGTAGTTGCTGGGATTTATAGTTTACCTACAATCAAAGAGCATTCTGAACTCCACCAACGAGAACATTGAGCCAAACTTCCCACACAGTTCTCCAATGATCAACAGAAAATACCGGAAGGGTTTGGTGGGCAGTGTCCTTTGGTTTTGGAGTTGTAGTTCACCTACATCCAGAGAGCACTGTGGACTCAAACAATGATGGATCTGGACCAAACTCTACATGAATACTCAATATGCTCAAATGTAAACACTGGTGGAGTTTTGGGGAAAATAGAATCTTGACATTTGGGAGTTGTAGTTGCTGGGATTTATAGTTCACCTACAATCACAGAGCATTCTGAACCCCACCAACGATAGAATTGGGCCAAACCTCCCACACAGAACCCCCATGTGGGCCATAACAACGCGTGGCAGGGGACGGCTAGTAAATAAATAAAATAATCCAAAGGTCACTCACAGAACGTTCTTGAATCAGTGCCTAAATCCACAATCCAGTCGTCTGTGTCCACATTCCGAGGGAAACAAGCAAGTAAATAATAATAACAATAATTTTATTACTGACCCACTTCTCCTTGTGTAACAGTATACTTAATTGCAAGACAGAATCCAAAGCACTTAAGTCCAAGTCCAGTCCACAAGGTGTCCATGATAACACCCTCCAGGAAGACGTTGCTTCCTGCAACAAGACTGTGGGCTCAGGCTGCGGGAGTTGCTTGTGGCCGGCCTGTTTCTCACCCATTTCCTGTCCTTAGGACCTCCGTGGGAAATTCGAGGCGGCCCAGGACCGAGTCTCCTCCCTGAAGCGGCAGCTAGCTGACCGCGATGAGGACCGCCGGTCCCTGGAGCAGGAGGCCCAGCGGCTGAAGAGCAACCTGGAGGATGCGACCGTAGCTCAGGAGCAGGCCGAGCGCGATGCCTGTCGCTTCCGCTCTTCCGTGGAACTCCTGGGCAGGTGAGCAGCTAGACTAGATCCAGAGAAGGAGGGCGGTGGGCTAAGACGCATCATTGCTTACCATCTCTTTCCCCCCAAAACGCCGTTAGCGAGAAGGCTACCCTGGAGAATAGCCTGAAAACAACTCTGGAGAAGCTGGAGGAGTTGCGGCAGGAGAGCGAGCAGCTCCAGGCGGCCAACAGTGACCTCCGGCGCCTTCGCGAGGCCCTTGAAGAGGAGAAGGAGGAGCTCCTGAGGGAACAAGAGCGGGGCCAGAAGGAGGCGGAGCGCAGGTGGCCTGGGGCAGGGAAGGGAGCCCCAAACAACGGGTTCTGGGTCCCGACTTGTTTCCCTTCGCCTTGGCGGAAGGAAAACAGAGCTGTCCTTCTGTCCCTCTCAGTCAGAGGCACCTGGAACACCTGGAAGGGGCCAGATCCGGTCTCAAGAAGGAGCTCGTCCTGGCGAAGGAGGCTCTGAGCACAGCCATCCTGGAGAAGGAGGTCCTAGAGAACGAGAAGGCCGAGGCAGCAGCAGCCCTAGCAAAGGCAAGACGTGGTGGGATTACGTGGGGTTCCCTTCAACATTCTCTTCAAACAGAAAGAGACCAGCTTCTAATTTTAGGTTATGTGTATAATTCAGATTGCTTACTATATTACATATGTATGTTTTGGTATGCAGCTTCCTTAACTCTGTGTTTTTTTGAGATTGTGGAAAGGGCTGCAGACCATGTTATCAGACTGGGGCTCCATTTTAGAAGTCAGTAGCGTATTGTGTTGTTTATTTATTTATTTATTTGCGACATTTATATGCTGCCCTTCTCATCCCGAAGGGGACTCAGAGCGGCTTACAATATATATACTCTATATACTATGAGGCTGAGAGAGAGAGTGACCCCTTTGCTTCCCGATGCATCCACACTATTATTATTATTATTATTATTATTATTATTATTATGCAAGGTGAAAGGACAAAAGTAAACAAGTGGGCAGATATAAGGCTCTCTTAAATAATAATAATAATAATAATAATAATAATAATAATAATGTATATACTCGAGTATAAACCTAGTTTTTCAGCCCCTTTTTTAGGCTGAAAAAGTTGCCCTCGGCTTATACTCGAGTCAAAGTTATTTATTATTTTGCTCTGTTATTACTATTATTTTTATTACATTTATTATTTTCCTCTATTATTGGTATTATTACATTTGCATTATTTTATTCTAGTATTATTTTATTACATTTATTTTTACTCTGTTATTATTGTCGAAGGCTTTCATGGCTGGAATCACTAGGTTCTTGTGGGTTTTTTCGGGCTATATGGCCATGTTCTAGAGGCAATTTCTCCTGACGTTTCGCCTGCATCTATGGCAAGCATCCTCAGAGGTAGTGAGGTCTGTTGGAAGTAGGAAAATGGGTTTATATATCTGTGGAATGGCTGGGGTGGGGCAAAGAGCTCTTCCTGCTGGAGCTAGGTGTGAATGTTTCAACTGACCACCTTCATTAGCATTTGAAGGCCTGCCTGAGCCTGGGAAAATCTGTTGCTGGGAGGTGTTAATCTGTGCCTGGTTTTTTCCTCTCTGTTTTTTAGCTGTTATATTTTAGAGTTTTTTAATACTGGTAGCCAGATTTTGTTCATTTTCATGGTCTCTTCCTTTCTGTTGAAATTGTCCACATGCTTGTGGATTTCAATGGCTTCTCTGTGTAGTCTGACATGGTGGTTGTTGGTGTGGTCCAGCATTTCTGTGTTCTCAAATAATATGTTGTGTCCAGGCTGGTTCATCAGGTGCTCTGCTATGGCTGACTTCTCTGGTTGAAGTAGTCTGCATGCCTTTCATGTTCCTCACCACCAAGACATCACGGCTCTGTTTCACCATTGCCTCACCACCAGTTACTTTCAGTGGGACAATGAATTCTACGAACAGAAAGATGGAGTAGCTATGGGGAGCCCTCTCAGCCCGGTCATAGCTAACTTCTACATGGAACACTTTGAAAAACAAGCCCTGGAGACAGCAACCAAAAAGCCCACGATATGGTTCAGATATGTGGATGACACCTTCACCATTTGGAGCCATGGAGAAGAAGAACTCAACAGGTTCCTGGACTATCTTAACAGCATCCACCCAAACATCCAGTTCACCATGGAAAAAGAAAATGAAGGAAGACTGCCTTTTCTAGATGTCCTAGTCATCCGCAAACCAGATCAACAATTGGGTCACACCGTCTACAGAAAACCCACACACACAGATAGATATCTACATAAAAACTCCAACCATCACCCAAGTCAAAAAAGAAGCACCATTAAAGCCTTGGCAGACCGTGCAAAAAGAATCTGCGAAGCCCACCTCCTCCAAGATGAACTGAACCACCTCAACTGGGCTCTACAGGCCAATGGAGACTCCACCTCGGACATCAGAAGAGCTGCAAGACCAAGAACAAGCCACGAGAGTCAAGATGAAGATCCACCCAGAGGAAAAGTGTTCCTGCCATACATCAAGGGAACCACTGATCGCATAGGGAAGCTGATGAGGAAACACAACATACAAACAATCTACAAACCCACCAAGAAAAGCCAACAAATGCTACGTTCAGCAAAGGACAAGAGGGATCCTCTCACCTCTGCAGGAGTCTACCGTATACCATGCAGCTGTGGACAAGTCTACATAGGGACCACCAAACGCAGCGCCCAGACACGCATCAAGGAACATGAAAGGCACTGCAGACTACTTCAACCAGAGAAGTCAGCCATAGCAGAGCACCTGATGAACCAACCTGGACACAGCATATTATTGAGAACACAGAAATGCTGGACCACTCCAACAACCACCATGTCAGACTACACAGAGAAGCCATTGAAATCCACAAGCATGTGGACGATTTCAACAGAAAGGAGAAAACCATGAAAATGAACAAAATCTGGCTACCAGTATTAAAAAACTCTAAAATTATAACAGCAAAACAACAGAGAGGAAAAAACCAGGCACAGATTAACACCTCCCAGCAAGAGATTTTCCCAGGCTCAGGCAGGCCTTCAAATGCTAATGAAGGTGATCAGCTAAACATTCACACCTAACTGCAGCAGGGAAGAGCTCCTTGCCCCACCCCAGCCATTCCACAGATATATAAACCCATTGTCCTAATTCCAACAGACCTCTACCTCTGAGGATGCTTGCCATAGATGCAGGCGAAACGTCAGGAGAAATTCCTCTAGAACATGGCTCTATAGCCCGAAAAAACCCACAAGAACCTTCTGTTATTATTATTATATTTATTATTTTACTTTAGTATTGTTATTACATTTATTATTTTTCTTTAGTATTATTATTACATTTATTATTTTACTCTATTATTGGCATTATTACATTTGCATTATTTTACTCTATTATTATTTTATTATATTTATTTTACTCTGTTTATTATTATTATTATTACATTTATTATTTAACATTATTATTGTTGTTATTACATTTATTATTTTACTTTCTTTATTATTATTGGAAGGATAGGTAAGCACATTGACACTGAAAAAGGTTAGAATAATGATTTAATCAAAGTTGGTCAGTCTTATTTTAAATTACAGTTTTATGTAAACATTGAAAAACATTTAACCTACTGTTTCCTCAATTAATGTAATTTTATTGGTATCTATATTTATTTTTTATTACCAGTAGCTGCTGCATTTCCCAATTTCGACTTATATTTGAGACAATATGTTTTCCCATTTTTGGGTGGTAAAATTAGGTGCCTCGGTTTATATTCGGGTTGGCTTATACTCGAGTATAAACAGTGTGTGTGTGTGTGTGTGTGTGTATATATGCATACAATATATAATATTATTAGCATAGTACAATATCAGTATTAAATGTTATATTATATTATAATATTAGTAATATTACATGTAGTATAAATATATAATTATAAAATCATATTATTAGTGTTATATTACATTACATTATAATATTATAAATATATGTAAATACAATATATTATATTACATTATATTATATTATTAGCATAGCACAGGAGACAAGATGGAACTGTCTTCCTGGCCCCCTCTCTCTTCACTCTGGCCCAGAGTGGCATTTGGTGCTGGCGGGAGGGTTCCCCGCCGGCACCACTTAGGACTGGATTATATGGCAGTGTAGACACACGCACACACACACACACACACACACATATGGATGGATGTTGGATCCATGGTTGGTGTGATATACATATATATATATAGAGAGAGAATTATAATACTTTATATATTACTATTATATATATTGCTGTGTAATATATATTATATATTATTGTTATGCATACTATTATATAATATAATGTTACTACTATATATTACTATGTTAAATAGACTCATAGAATAGACTTAGAAGGGACTCTACCATGGTATTGGGGGAGAACAGACAGGAAGGAAGGAGAGAAGAAAGGAGGGAGGGAAAAAGGGAAAGAATGAATGAGGGAAAGGGGGAAGGAAGGAAAGAGAAAAGGAAGGAGGGAAAGAAGGAAAGAGGGAAGGAAGGAGAGAAGAAAGAAGGGAGGGAAAAAGGGAATGAAGGAGGGAAAGGGGGAAGGAAGGAAAGAGAAAAGGAAGGAGGGAAAGAAGGAAAGAGGGAAGGAAGGAGAGAAGAAAGGAGGGAGGGAAAAAGGAAAGGAATGAATGAGGGAAAGGGGGAAGGAAGAAAAGAGAGAAGGAGGGAGGGAGGGAAAGAAGGAAAGAGGGAAGGAAGGAGGGAGGGAAAAAGGGAAGGAATGAAGGAGGGAAAGGGGGAAGGAAGGAAAGAGAGGAGGAGGGAGGGAGGGAAAGAAGGAAAGAGGGAAGGAAGGAGAGAAGGAAGGAAGGAAAAAAAGAGGTACTGAAGGAAGGAAGAAGAGAAAGTAGTAAGGAAAGAAAAAGGGGAGGAAAGGCAGGAAAGAAAGAAGGAAGGAGAAAAGGAAATAAAAAGTGAAAGAAGGATGGAAACAGGGAGGGAAGAACGGAGACAAAGGAAGAAGTAGAGAAAGGGGGAGAGAAGGAAGGAAAGAGAGAAGGAAGGATGAAACCAAAGAGCGAAAGAAGGAATGAAAGATAGAGGCAGAGAAGGAAGAAAGGAGAGAAAGGGGAAGGGGAAGAAAAAGGGGGGAAGGAATAGGTAGGTACCTCCCTTTCATAATAGTCCAGATATCTACCTCTACTTTGAAAATTGTTACTATAGGCCACAGCAACGCATGGCAGAGTACAGCTAGTAATATATAATTTAATTATGCTCCTTCACTCTGTGTCGTGTCTTCTCTCTTGTTTCCTGTCCAGTTAGAGGCAAAGCAGGCCGAGCTCCAACTGGCCCTGAGCCGGACCAGGACGGAGGAAGCCTCCCTGCGCGACTCCCTCTCCAAGATGAGTGCCCTCAACGAGGCTCTGGCACAAGACAAGACAGAGCTCCACCGGGTCGTTGTCCAGGTCAGGACCAGAAGGGGCTATGGGGCTAAGACAGGCATGGGCCAACTTCAGCCCTCCACTTCGAGGGAAGGTCAAAGTTTGCCCGTACCTGGGCTAAGACCTGTCCCGGACTGTCCTTTGTAGCTGGAGGAGGAGAAGGCTTCTCTCTTGGGCAGGAAGGAGGCGGCGGAGCAGGAGAAGGCCACCTTCCGGGAGGAGCTGGTGCGGCTGGAGCAGGAGCGCCTCGACCTGGCCACGCAGCGCCACGGGTTGGGACACTCGCTGCAAGCGGCGGAGCGCAGTCGGGAGGCGCTGGAGCAGGAGCTGGCGGTGCTGCAGGAGGAGCGGGGACGCCTCCAGGAGCAGCTAGGGCAGGTGGGGTCCTTGCAGATGGATGGCAATGGGCCCAGAGGGAGAGAGGGAGGGATCGTATGTTTTATACTTACGACGTGTATCCCGATGCACAAGCGCAGTTTGCACCAAACATTAAGAAATTGAACCTTTTCATTGTTTTGATTCTAAAGTTTCGATTCCATCATAAGTAGCTGTCACAGGAGTCCTATCTTCAGTCTCCAACGTTGCTTCCACTGACCAAAGATTCAGTTGGTCTAGCTAATATAGAGAAAAAAGCGTGCCTTTTCCCTTAGGAAACTGATACAGACTTCCTCGCTAACAAGCAACCAGACCTTCAGACTGTCTCATGTGAAACTCTATGTTGACGAAACCTAAATCTTCTATTTAATTGCCCACTATCATCCTCTGAGCTCAGTTCTGTTGGAATGTGGCCTTCACAAGAGACCACTCATTTCTATTCTCTAGCTGCTCCTTCTGACTTCCAAACTGTGAGGCATTCTCACAGACTAAGGCCTTTCCTCACACTATGAGGTCTTCTCTCACAGACTGCCTCATACTGTGAGGTCTTCTCAAAGACTAAGGCCTACTGCACACTGAAGCTTCTCTCACAGACTCAGGCCTCCCTCACACTGTGAGGGCTTCTCACACTGAGGCCTACCTCACACTGTGAAGTCTTCTCTTACAGACTCAGGCCTACCTCACACTGTGAGGCCTTCTCTCACAAACTAAGGCCTGCCTCACACTGTGAGCCTTCTCTCACAAACTAAGGCCTGCCTCACTCTGTGAAGCCTTCTCTTACAGACTCAGACCTATCTCACACTATGCGGGCTTCTCTTACAGACTCAGGCCTGTCTCACACTATGAGGGCTTCTCTCACAGACTAAGGCCTGCCTCATACTGTGCGGTCTTCTCAAAGACTCAGGCCTACTGCACACTGAAGCTTCTCTCACAGACTCAGGCCTACCTCACACTGAGGCCTACCTCACACTGAAGTCTTCTCTTACAGACTCAGGCCTGTCTCACACTGTGAGGGCTTCTCACAGACTCAGGCCTACTGCAAACTGAAGCTTCTCTTACAGACTCAGGCCTACCTCACACCGAGAGGCCTTCTCACAGACTAAGGCTTACTGCACACTGAAGCTTCTCTCACAGACTCAGGCCTACCTCACACTGTGAGGGCTTCTCACAGACTTAGGCCTACTTCACACTGAAGCTAATCTCACAGTCTAAGGCCTACCTCACACTGTGAGGCCTTTTCAAAGACTAAGGCCTACCTCACACTGAATCCCTTGTGTCAACAGGCTGACTAACAGGCCCAGTATCTTCATAGAGATCAGGTGCAGGCACTATCAAAAGGCTGAATACAATACTCTGGGTGACGGTCACCATTCGGATTTAGGTGGTTGGAAACAATGCAAAACCCAAAGGATCTTAGTGTTGGGGGTAGGCTGTATGGGAGAAGGCAAACTGGACCCAAACCATGTGGGGCTTGTACTTTGCCTGGAAACTAATTAGCAGCTAGTGGAGTGACATTAAGATGGGTGTAGTGTGCTCATTCCTAGATGTTCCTGTAACCCATCTTCTTCTCTGCAGGCAACCCGCCAGAGGAATGCGGCCACAGAGGAGCTCTCGGTGTTGCGCCGAGAGTTGGAGCGTCACAGCGAGGCCGTCCTCCGTGCAGCCAAGGAAAAGGAGGCTCTGGCCAAGGAGAAGGCTGGCCTGGCGGTGCAGCTGGACGCCTCCGAGCGGGAGAACCGGGGCCTGGCCCAGGAGATGGCTGGACTCAGGTGGGCTGTGTGTCCTGAGATGTCTGCCCTGTTTACCTGAGCACCAGGTGCTTTCCATGGCCACTTCCAGAACCAGGAGGGTAACCAAGGTGCCACAGCCTTGTTTACAAACAGATCGCAGGGCCATGTTTGCTAGGAGTGGCAGGGCTTGGCTCCTGGGTTCGATTCTCTTGGAATCTCTTTCCTCTAAAACCTTTGTTCCAAGCAGGTAGAGAGTCTAGACTCAGGGCAAAGGAGGTCCAGCTGCACAACGTACCACAAATATATGATGTGCTCTTCCTCCCGCTGTCCAGATCTGAGAAGGACTCCCTGGAGGCCTCCCTCTTCGAGGCCCAGCGGCGCCTGGCCCTGATGGAGACCCAGAAGGAGCGGCTGGAGGCCGAAGGACGGGCCTGGCTCCTGGCCAAGGAGGCCTTGCAAGGTGAAAGGGGCTGGGTGGACAGCCCTTGGGACCGTTATGCTCTGGCCATCCTACCAACTGACCAAAATGGGGTGGCTCTCCCACTTTCCCAGCTGCCCCTTCCCTCCCTTTGCTCTGACACCCACCTCTCTGTTCACCGCAGTGGAGCTCCTAAGTGTCCGCCAGCAGAAGGAGTCCGATATTTCCCTCCTGGAGTGGGAGAGAGATCAGGCGGTTCAGAAGGTGGCTCAGGTTGAACAGGAAGCGCAGGCGGCCCTGAGGAGTGCGCAGGCGGCGCATGAGGAGCACCTGGATCGCCTCCAGCGGGAGAAGGTACAATTGGGGCAAGGCTTGCAATGCTGGGGTGCAGGGCCGATCGTGGGGGCCGCTCTGACCCCGATCATCGGGGCCACTCTGACCCCGGTAAATTTTTAGCAGAGTAACTTATCAGAAGCAGCGTGACCCAGCACTAATAGCCCAAAGTGATAGAAAGAACAAAAACACAGAGACCAACGTTATCTCTCCCATAGAAGGCTTTTCTCAATAGCAAAATAGTATGGTTGCGCTATTTACAAGGTTTCTATAACACACATAAAGTTCTTTATACTTCCTTCTTTGCTTCCGCCCTGGGCTTCTTTCTCATGAAAATAAACAGCTTCACTCTCACAGAGCCTCTTCTCACACTAATATTACACAGGAGCTTCACATAGGACCCTTTTACACACAACAGCCTTCACACCGGAGGTTCACTTGCGAGGCCTTCTTATACCAAGGCTTACCTCACACACAGGCTTCTCTCACAGACTAAAGCCTACCTCACACTGAAGCTTCTCTCACAGACTAAGGCCTACCTCACACTGTGAGGCCTTCTCACAGACTAAGGCCTACCTCACACTGTGAGGCCTCTCACAGACAAAGACCTGCCTTTATTATACTATGCTAATAATAGTATTGTGCTATGCTAATAATATAATATATTGTATGTATATATAACTTGTAAGCCGTCTTTCACAGACTATTTCACAGTATGTAGCCTTCTCTCACAGACTAAGGCCTACCTCACACAGAATGAGAATTATTCTCCCACTGAGGTGTTATCTCACACAGAGAGGCTTCCCTCACGTACTACCTCACACAGAGGCTTTTCTCACAGACTAAGGCCTCCCTCACACTTTGAGGCATTCTCACAGACTATTCTCCCACTGAGGTGTTATCTCACACAGAGAGGCTTCCCTCACATACTACCTCACACAGAGGCTTTTCTCACACACTTTGAGGCATTCTCACAGACAGACCTATTCTCCCACTGAGGTGTTCTCTCACACAGAAAGGCTTCTCTCACATACTACCTCACACGGAGGCTTTTCTCACAGACTAAGGCCTACCTCACACTGTGAGGCATTCTCACAGACTGAGACCTATTCTCCCACTGAGGCGTTCTCTCACATGGAGAGGCTTCTCTCACATGCTACCTCACACAGAGGCTTTTCTCACAGAGTAATGCCTATCTCACATTGTGACAAACTTACACTGAGGCCTACTAAGCTACAGGCACACCTGCCCATATAGAACTGCAGCCTTTGCTGACTCAACCCTTTCAGTGCTTGACTCACACCTTTGTAATTAAAAATACCTAATTAATTTTTAATATTTATGACACCCGGGCCCCTTTTGATAGGAGGCTCTGCGCCTGGAGCTGGAGTCCGAGCGCCAGGAACTGCTGCAGCGCGCGACACAGGAGCGGGAGGAGCTGCTGGGGCGGCACGAGGCGGAGAAGGAGGAGCTGGGCGAGGAGGTGGCAGCCTTGCAGCAGGAGAGGGACGAGGGGCTGCTCCTGGCCGAGAACGAGAAGCAGCAGGTGAAGAAGGGGAGGCGAAGGGAGCGGGGAGGGGTCCACAGGTGGGTCTATGTCCTAAAGGAGCCCTGGCAAACACAGAGAATTCCCGGCACCACCAAATAACCTTTTCTTCCTTCCTTGTGCAGGCGCTGTCCCTCAAGGAGTCAGAGAAGGCCATGCTTCTGGAGAAGCTCGCGGCCGCTCAGGAAAGCCTGGCCAGTGCCACCCTGGAGGCGGAGAGGCTGCGGCGGGAAGCCCTCGGGCGCCAGGAGCACGAACGGGTGGGTGCCTCTTAGTCCTCCTTGCCTTGCCTACTTCTTTCTGGGGTTTCTGGGCCAGAGTCATGGAGAGTGCTGGCTTTCTCGCTCCACCGCAGGGCACCATCAACGCCCTGAACTCGGAGCTGCGGGAGCTGCGGGCCCAGTTCGAGGAAGCCATCGCGGGCCACGAGCGGGAGGCCAAAGTGTTGCACGAACAGGCCAGGGAGCTCGCCAAGCAGCGGGAAGCTGCCCTCCGAGGGGTGAGAAGGAAGACGGAGGCCGAACTGTGGTGGAGTAAAGGGATCCTCTTGGGGTGAGGCCACCAAACCCAGGCGCCCTAATCTCTCTTCCTCACCCAGGTGGAGGAGCTGAAGGTGCAGCTGCGGCTGGCGGAAGAGGCCCGTGAAGCCCTGCGCCGGGAACAGGCGGAAGCCCAGCGCAAAGCCCGGGCGGCCCAGGAGGAGCAGGAGTCCCGGCGGAAGGAGGCCGTGGAGCTGCGCAGGAGCCTGGGCGACGAGGGGCGGGAGAAGGAGGCCCTGCAGCGGTCCAATGCTGAGCTGCGTGCCGCCCTGAAGCGGGCCGAGGGAGAGCGCATCAGGTGGGAGAAGGGAAAGGGGTTAAAGGGGTAGAGAGAAGCCAGAGGAAGTGGACGGCTTCCTGAACCCCTCCTCTGACCCTCAGCTTGAAGCGAGCCAACGAGGAAAAGGAGCAGAAGATGGCCGTCCTGGAAGAGGCCCGCGTAGCCGCAGGGAAGGAGGCCGCTGACATCCGCAGTAGTCTCCAAGAGGTGGAACGGTCAAGGCTGGAAGCCCGGCGGGAGCTGCAGGAGCTGCGGAGACAGGTTTGCGGGAGGAGGAGAGGGACATGGCTGCTGGGGGCAGGTTCTGTGCTCGGGTCATCAGGCAGGGCGTCCTCCATGGCTAGGATCCTTGCAGCGCTTCCTCTCCACTTTAGCCATCAATGGAGCGGTGCCATGGTCTGCGTCATGCCACGGCGTTTGGCAGGATTCGTGGCCCAGCGTTGTGTGATGAGATAGCTGGAGTGCACACACTCAGGGGGCCCTCCTATCCGCACAGGTGAAGATGCTGGACAGCGAGAACAGCAAGAAGAGCAAAGAGGTGGTGGAGCTGCAGTCCCGGGTCTCCCTGGAGGAGCAACGTGAGGTGGAGAGCCGCAGAGAGTCCTTCGGCCTCAAGCAGAAGATTGTGGAGAGCGAAGCCGGGCGGGAGTCGGTCCAGAAGGAGGTGAGGGCCGCCCCCTGAAATCCTCTTTGTGTGGAGGGAAGCGGGCAGTCCTCCGGGGCCCTCTGACGCGCCCCCTTCTCCTTCCAGCTCCAGAATCTGCAGCGGAGGCTCTCTGGCTTGGAGCAGGACTTCCGCCTGCGGGAGCGGGAGCTGCGGGGCGGCCTGGAGGAGGCGCGGGGCAACGAGCGGAAGCTGCAGGACGAGGCCCGCAACCTGAGCCTGAAGCTGGAGGCAGCAGAGGCAGCAGCGACGGAGCTGGGCTTGCGGCTGAGCGCGGCCGAGGGGCGGGCGCAGGGTTTGGAGGTGGAGCTGGGCCGGGCGGAGAGCCTCAGGCGGCAGGCGGAAACACGGCTGAGCAGCCTCCACTCAGTTCTCAGGAGGACCCTGGGCCTCGGGCACCGCAAGCGGCGCCCACCCAGTCCGGCCCTCGCAAGCCCCCGCAGGTTGCTTTCCCCCCCAAAAGGTAAGGAGGAGCTCTGACCACTGGGTGAAGGGTCCCGGTCACACTCTGCCTTGGTTAGCCTCCATCTTTGCTGTCCAGGTGAAATGATGGAGGAGGAGCAGGAAGGGAGCCTCTCAGAACAGACCCTTTCCCCAGAGAGGACCCTGTCACCTGGCCAGAGCGAGCAGCCGGTGGCTGATGTCGATCCAGAGGCCGTGAGGAACACGCTCCAGGACTTCCTGCAAGAGATGAGGGAGATGCAGCGGGAGCGGGTGCGAAGGGGACAGGCTCCTGGTTGGGTCTCCAAATCCTGACAGCTCCATTCTCTCCGGCCTCGCTGACCGTCCCTCTTTTCCTGGTACTCAGGATGAAGGCCGCTCCCGCCTGGCAGCCCTGACCCGCCAGTTAGCTGAAACAGAAGCCGATCGAGACGCGGCCAAAGCCCGGGTTCAGCAGTTACAGAAGCAACTGGCCGAGAGCGAGGAAGGTGCGTGACCGACCGGGCCCCTTGACCTTCCGTCTTCCATCCCTCTGTTGGCTTAGCCCTCCTCTCTCCTCCGCAGGGAGGCGCAACCTGGAGGGGAGGCTGAGCGAGGCCCAGTCCGCCATGGCGCTGCAGGAGGAGAGCCTGCGTCAGAGCGAGAGGGAGCGCAAGGCCTTGGCGGAGAAGTTGGCGTCCCTCGACCGGGGCCTGAAGGCGGCGGAGGGGGAGCGCAAGGCCAACCAGGTGAGTGGCATAGCAATGTCTCGGCTGGGCAGGGACTGACCGGACTCCGGTCCTTTGCAGAAGAGAGATCGGTCCTTCTGAGCCCCACTCTTCCTTCTTTGGGTCTAGGAGAGGATGGCCAAGATGAAGGCGGGCGAGGCCCGGCTGGAGGCGGACAAGCGGCGGCTGAAGGAGGTCCTGGACGCCTCGGAGGGCCGGGGCACCAGGCTGGAGCTGCTCCGGCGCTCCCTCGAGGGGGAGCTGCAGAGGGCCAAGCTGGGGCTGAGCGACCGCGAGGCCGAGGTCCAGCTGCTGCGCGACCGCCTTGAACTCTTGCAGAGACAGGTATTTATTTATTTACAGTATTTGCAGGGCCACATCCTTGCATCCTGGCAGGAGGCTCACTTGCAACCCCATGACCTTCCACTCGCACTCTGATCACTCAATGGGGAGGAGTGCAAGCCCTTGAGATTCGCCTTCCGTTCCCAACGACTGACCGCCGCCCTCCAGGTGTCGGAGAGTGAGGCCAAAGCTGGCGCCTTGCAGCTGTCGCTGGACCGCAGCAGCCTCTCTCTGGCAAAAGCAACAGAGGCTGAGAGCTGCCTGAAGGAGAAGATCCAGAGCCTGAGCGCCTCCCTTGCCGAGAGCCACAGTGCGGCCGGATCGGCGCAGGAGAAGGCCCTGCAGCTGCAGAAAGCCCTGGCGGCCAGCGAACATGACCGGAGGGTCCTACAGGTACAACCAAGCTCTATTCTGAAGCAGACTCCATTGTTTTGTCTCTTTCTTCTCTCTTGCATCGTGACTGTGCTAACAAGTAAGTGTTATTGCAATGAATGAAATGTAAACAAAGATAAGAGCCGCTCGTTGAAGCAGAAACGACTGTCTGAAGTCAGTTATAATAAGAAGCAACTGGCCAGCAAATTGCATCAATAGATGCCAGCCACACGCATCTATCTCCTGCTCATTGCTCTCTGCGCTGTTACAGGAGCGGCTGGACATGGCCCGGCAAGCGGCCTCAGAAGCCAAGAAGCAGAACAGGGGCCTTTCGGAGCGGCTGCAGGCGCTGACCAAGGAGGTGGCCGAGCGAGAGATGCAGAAGGAGGAGATGGAGGCCCTGGCCAGGCAGCGGGAGGAGGTAAGTCCAGGAGGGGCACACAGAGGCCAGCCGGATGGTCCCTTGCAGGCAAGGGGGGGGGGGAGTCCAAACCCCAAAAAGCACCCCCTAGTGGCCTTGTGGATTATTTTGCAAGAGGAAGATGGTGATGATAATATTCGGTTTGCTCCCTTTGTGTCGGCAGAGGCTGCTCCAGCGCCAGGAGGGCGAGGCGGTGGCCCTGCGGGGTTTACAACGGGCGCAAGAGGAGCGGCGCTTGCTGCAGGAGCGGATGGGGGCCCTGCAGAGGGCCCTGGCCCAGATGGAGGGCGAGAAGCGCGAGGCCGAGCGCGGAGCCCTGCGCCTGGAGAAGGACCGGGAGGCCCTGCGGAAGACCCTCGACAAGGTCAGCGCCAAGACCGAGGGAGGGACTGAAACCCCCCCCCCCTTGTCCATTCCCTGGGAAAGGGTGGGTCCCACCATGGCTCCTTTTTTCTCTCGGCCCCAAAGGTGGAGCGCGAGAAGCTGCGGAGCCACGAAGAGTCCGTCCGGCTGTCGGCGGAGAAGGTCCACCTGGAGCGCTCCCTGGCCAGCGCGGAGCAAGAGCTAGCGGAAGCGCAGCTGCGGATACGGAGGCTGGAGGTAACCCCGCCCCTCCTTAGAGCCCCTCCCCAGGCAAAATGGAAGCCCAAAGAGGAGCATCCATCCAGGAGCTGGACCTCGTTCTTCTGCAGAAGAGCTGCACCTCTTTTGAGAATTGGAGAACCTCAGAGGTGGAAGGGACACCCAAAGACCAGCATGTCCAACCCAAAGACTTATAGGTGGATCATAGTAGTATCCTAGAGTTGGAAGGGGCCCCCAAAGGCCACCCAGTCTGATGGATAGATGGATCATAGAAGCCTAGAGTTGGAAAGGACCCCAAAGAGCATCCAGTCCAACCCTTAGATAGGTAGGTGAGTAGGTAGGAAGGTGGATAAATAGATGGATCATAGAATCCTAGAGTTGGAAGGGGCCCCAAAGACCACCCAGTCCAACTCTAAAATAAATGGATGGATAGGCATATGGATGGATCATGGAATCCTAGAGTTGGAAGGGGCCCCAAACACCATCCAGTCTGATAGACAGATAAATCATAGACTCCTAGTTAGAAGAGACCCCCAAAGGCACACCAGTCCAACCCATAGAAGATGGGATGAATGGATTATGGAATCCTAGAGATGGAAGGGACCTCCAAAGGCCAGAGAGAGAGAGAGAGAGAGAGAGGATGGGAGGGAGGAAGGAGGGAGGGAGGGAGGGAGGGAGGGAATGAAGATGGATGGATGGAAAGATGGATGGATGGGTGGAGAAATAGGATGGATGCATGGATGGAAGGAAGGAAAGGTAGGTAGGTAGGTAGGATCGATGGATAGATAGGATGGATAGATTGGATGGATTGGACAGACGGACGGACAGACAGACAGATAGGTAGGTAGGTAGGTAGGCAGATGGATAGATAGATAGATAGATAGATAGATAGATAGATAGATAGATAGATAGATAGATAGATAGATAGAGGTAGGTAGGTTGGATGGAAGGATAGGATAGGATAGGATAGGACGGATGGATTGGATGGATGGATGGATGGATGGATGGATGGATGGATGGATGGAAGGAAGGAAGGAAGGATAGATAGGTAGGATGGATGGGAGGAAGGAAGGAAGGAAGGAAGGATAGTTAGGATGGGTTGGATGGCTGACTGGCTGGAAGGAAGGAAGGAAGAATAGATAGGATGGGTGGAAGGATAGATGGATGGATAGATAGATGGATAGATAGGATGGGTGGAAGGATGGAATGATGGATAGATAGGATGGGTGGAAGGAAGGAAGAATAGATAGGATGGATGGGTGGATGGATGGATAGGTAGGTAGGTAGGATGGATGGATAGATGATAGAGAGAGAGATAGAATGGATGGAAGGAGGCAAGGAAGAAAAGAAAGAAAGAAAGAAAGAAAGAAAGAAAGAAAGAAAGAAAGAAAGAAAGAAAGAAAGATAGATAGATAGATAGATAGATAGATAGATAAGATGGAAGGATGGATGGGTGGGCGGGCGGACGGACGGACAGACAGACAGACAGATAGATACATATGATGGAAGGATGGGTGGATGGACTGACAGGCAGACAGATAGATAGGATTGATAGATGGATGGATAGATAATCAAATCCTAGTGTTGGATGAAATCCAAGGGCCATCCAGGCCAAACTCCTTTCGACCTTAAAGGAAGACACTGCCTTATCCCTCTCGACAGATGGCCATCCAGCCTTTACTCCCACACCTCCAGAGGAGGGGACTCCAAGGCGTCCACAGACCCTCAAGAAACCCCCCTCGGTGTCGATCCCCCTTGCTGCCCATTGACCTCTGGCTCTTCCTCTCCTTCGCAGGAGTCGTGTCCAGAGCCCGTCCTGGAGGCCAGCGATGGAGGAGGACACCGCCAGCGGGTCAAGGCCCTGGAGGAGCAGGTGAGCCCCCCACCCCTGACTCCCCACCCTGACCCCATGGCCCCATATGCTGAAGGGCTGCCTCTCCCCACAGATCTCTGTCCTGAAGGAGCAGCTCCAGCGGGAGACCAGGAAGGGCTTCTTCCCGCCTTCCGCCACCATCCACTCCGGGAAGTAGTCCTTCTGAAGGCGGGCGGCACCAGAGGTCTTCTGGGGTCTTTCTCGTGACCTTATAGGACCAGAGAAGCCCTGTCCACACTGGTTATAATGTATGGCAGCGTAGACTCGTAACACTAGGATTACGTGAACAACACTAGGTAACACGGTTTCCGTTCCTGGGTTATCAAGGTCATTTCCTAATTGGTTCTATCATAATGGCAAATGCAAACGGCATTCTACGGCAGTGTCAGTGGGGCTGCTGTGATTTTTATATGCTTTTTAATAATGTTTAATAGTTTTAATACTTGTATATTTGTATATTTTGAGTTGTATCGCAATGTTTGTAGTTTTTTTTTAAAAAAAGCAAGATATCAATAAACAATAATAATAATAACAACAACAAATGGTAGCTTTGGGTCCAATGAGAGTCCGGTCTCCTTTGGAAAGGGAATGGGGGTGAAGTGGCCCTTCACCTTTTGGGGTGAAGTGGCCCTTGGTTTTTCAGAAGGGACGTCTTCCTTCAACCGGGCCCTTCCTTGCACTGTTTCCTTCCTCTCCAATGTGACCAAATTTTCTAAACTTGGCAAACTTGGGCCTTCCAGGTGTTTTGGACTTCAACTCCCACAAGTCTTCCAACTGAGAAGGACTAGAGATATTGGAGTCACTGAGCATCCACATGTTTTGGCGCCCGAATAGGGGCTCGAACAAGGATTCGAGAAAATGCTCAGAGCTTTCCTAGCAGTCAATAGGCTTTTAGGAATTGTGGAAGTTGAAGTCCAGATCACCTGGAGGGCCCAAATTGGCCCATGCCTGGTGTAGACACTAATGGTACACGCGTGTGTGATGCATGTACCTCTATATTCCTCTTTTGTTTTGTTTTTATAACGTAACCACTAATTTCCCCATTGTGGTCCCTGTGAATTGCACATATGGTATTTCCTGCGCCTGCGCAGACAGTTCGGAATCTTCTAGAAAACTTATTAGACACTTTTAGGCGGTAGCCCCGCCCACTCTCCCCTTGAGAGGATGGGAATAAAAACCGTTTTGTCCCAGTCGCTTCCTCCTCCTTCCCCCAAAACCTCCCATTGGTCTCCATTGGAATGGTTTGGCTTCACAACAAGAGTGGCGACACTTGTTCCTTTTTAATAGTAGGGGGTGTTGCTCATACAAAAAAGGGGGATCGGCGAGTCGAACCCGCCATTCGGGATTTGCAGGCGGGCCGTAACACGTTTCCGTACGAAAAAGGACAAGTGCCGTGGGATACAAAAGGCGTTGTGGCAGAGGAGGGATGACCCTGTCCCGTTGGGGGGCTGTTGACCGGTCTGGGGGTCTGTTCATTGGCCACTTCATTCAGCACCCACCAAAGGGGTTCAGCACCCGCCGCAGCTCCTGGCGCAAGAGAGGCCCACCGTCTGGCACAGGCCGCTCGTTGCCAGCACCCCGCACTTGGAGAACTTGTCCCGGCAAAGGTCCGCTGCAAAGGGAAGGAGGGAGGAAGCGGTTGGCATTCAACCACACACTGCTCAAGCCTGCAGTCCTCAATGAGAAGCAACTAGATCGCATTAGAAAATAATAACATTGTAATGTAATAATACTAATATATATTGTATAGACATATAATATAACACTAATAATAATGATAATAATATTGTAATGTAATAATACTAATATATATTGTATAGATGTATAATATTGATAATAGTATTGTAATGTAATAATACTAATATATTATATATATCATAGACATATAATATTGATAATATATTGTAATACAATATAACACTAATAATAATAATAATATTGTAATGTAATAATACTAATATACATATATATAGACATATAATATTGATAATAATATTGTAATGTAATGCAATATAACACTAATAATAATGATAATAATATTGTAATGTAATAATACTAATATATATTGTATAGATGTATAATATTGATAATAATATTGTAATGTAATAATACTAATATATATTGTATAGACATAATATAACACTAATAATAATGATAATAATATTGTAATGTAATAATACTAATATATATTGTAAAGATGTGTATAATATTGATAATAATATTGTAATGGAATAATACTAATATATTATATATATTGTATAGACATATAATATTGAAAATAATATATTGTAATACAATATAACACTAATAATAATGATAATAATATTGTAATGGAATAATACTAATATATATTATATAGACATATTGATAATAATATTATAATGTAATACAATATAACACTAATAATAATGATAATAATATTGTAATGTAATAATACTAATATATATTGTATAGATGTATAATATTGATAATAGTATTGTAATGTAATAATACTAATATATTATATATATTATAGACATATAATATTGATAATATATTGTAATACAATATAACACTAATAATGATAATAATATTGTAATGTAATAATACTAATATACATATATATAGACATATAATATTGATAATAATATTGTAATGTAATGCAATATAACACTAATAATAATGATAATAATATTGTAATAATACTAATATATATTGTATAGATGTATAATATTGATAATAATATTGTAATGTAATGCAATATAACACTAATAATAATGATAATATTGTAGTGTAATAATACTAATATATATATTGTATATACATACAAGAATGATAATATAATGTAATACAATATAACACATAATAATATTGTAATGTAATAATACTAATATATATTGTATAGACATAAATATTGCTAATAATATTATATTGTAACACAATATAACACTAATAATGATAATAATATTGTAATGTAATAATACTAATATATATATTGTATATACGTACAAGAATGATAATATTGTAATGTAATACAATATAACACTAATAATAATGATAATAATACTAATATATATATATTGTATAGACATATAATATTGATAATAATATAAAGTAATGTAACACTTATAATAATATATAATAATATTGTGGTATGGTAATACTAATATATTAAATATAATTACTAGTGATAATCTATAATGATATTTTAAGTTGTAATGTTTTTGATTGTGAGCTACTTTGACGGACGGACGGACGGACGGAAGGAAGGAAGGAAGGAAGGAAGGAAGGAAGATGACCACTAGTCCGCTGCTTCAGAGAGAGAGAGAGAGAGATGGCCAGTCCAAAGACTGACCGACTGACTGGTGCCACTCAGGAAGGTGGAAGATCAAGGCTTACCCCTGAGGAGCTCCTCGTGGGCACAGACCGTGCGGACGCAGATCTCCTTGTTGATCACGTAAACCCTGCGGAGACTGGAGGGAGGAAGGCAGCCCCGTGAAGACATAAATAATATGGGAAAGGATGCCGTCAGGAGACCGCCCTGGAGACTAAGACTCAATGGAGCCATAGGTTCAAATACAAGATCCCACCTGAACATTATTAGGAAGGGCTTCTTGATTGTAAGAACTGTTCAGCAGTGGAACTCTCTGCATCGGAGTCTGGTGGAAGCTCCTTCTTTGGAGGCTTTTGAGCAGTAGCTGAGTGGCCATCTGTCAGGGGTGCTTTGATTGTGCTTTTCCTTCATGGCATCGTCAGGTTGGATTGGATGGCCCATGCAATGTATTCCAACACTAGGATTCTATTGTTATTGCTGTTGTTATATAAGGACTGGATGGCCATCTGTCCAGAGGGATCGGATTGTACTTTTCCAACCTGGCATCATGGGGTTGGACTAGATGGCCCTCTTTAGGTCCCTTCCAAGACTAGGATTCTATTATTATTATTATTATTATTATTAAGCAAGGGTTTGATGGCCATCTGTTGGGAGGGATCGGGTTTTGGACGGCCTTTGGGGGTCTCTCCCAACCCTGTGACTGCGATGGAGGCCAACCCACCTGTAGAAGCAGATCTCGTTCAGGCACTGCTTGCAGGGTTTGTGGACCGAGTAGAGCCGAGTGCAAGGGTACTGCTCCTCTTGACAGTCTGGAAGGGAAAGGCGGTGGTCGGGGTCCAACAAGGGCGTCCCTTTGCCCCTCCCGGAGACCCCCAAGCCCCCCAAAGATGGCTCCTGGCATCCTCTAGGGATGAAGAGCAAGGTGTTCCTTGCCGCCATTGGTACCTACCTAGGGGTCCCGGCTCGGTTGGCTCTGTCTCAGCAGCATCTGGCAAAAAAAGGAAAAATAGGAAAGAACAATAAGAGAATGAGGGGTCTTCCCAAAGGAGAAGGACTATAGAAGGAAGGAGAGAAAGGGAAGAAGAAAGGGGAGGAATGAAAGAGGGAAGGGGAGAAGAAAGGAAAGGAGAAAGGAAGGAAAATAGGATGGAAGGTGAGAAGGGGAAGATAGGGAAGGAAAGAAGGAAAGGATAAGGGAAGAGAAGAAGAAAGGAGAGGAATGAAAGGGGAAAAGGAAGAAGGAGGGAAAGAGGGAGGGGAGAAAGGAAAGGTAAGAGGAGAAAGAAGGGGGGGGAATGAAAGAATGAAGGGAAGGAGAAAGGAAAGAAGGGAAGAGAAGAAGGATGGAAGGTGGAAAGGGAAGAAGAAAGAAGGGGAGGAATGATGGAAAGAGGGAAGGGGAGGAAGGAGAGGAAGGGAAGGGAAGAAGGGGAGGAATAAAGGGAGGAAGGAAAGAAAAGGAAAGGGAAGAATAATGGAAGATGAGAATGGAAGAAGGAAAGAGAAAAGAAGGAAGGGGAGGAATGAAAGAATGAAGGAAAGAGAAGAAGGATGGAAGGTGGGAAGGGAAGAAGAAAGAAGGGGAGGAATGAAGGAAAGAGGGAAGGGAAGAGGGAAGGGGAGGAAAAAAGGAAGGAAGAGAAGAAGGGAAGGGAAGAAGGGGAGGAATAAAAGAAGGAAGGGAAGGGAAGAGAAGGATGGAAGGTGGGAAGGGAAGAAGAAAGAAGGGGAAGAATGAAGGAAAGGGAAGCAAAGACGGAAAAGAAGGAGAATGGAAGGGGAAGAAGAAAAGAAAGGAAGGAAGGGAAGAACCATGGTAGGTAGGAAGGGGAAGGTGGGAAGGAAGGGACGAAAGAAGGGGAGGAAGGAAAGAAAAGGGAAGACGGATGGAAGGAAGCAAGAGGAAGAGGAGAAGGTAGGAAAGAGGGAAGGGAAGGCAGAAGGGGAGGAATGAAAGAATGAAGGAAAAGAAAACAGGAGATTGTACTGACCATGAGTGGGGGCAGGGATGACCTCCTGCTGGTTCTGCTGCTGAGACTGGAACTGGTACTGCTCCTCGGGGGTCTGTGGGGAGAGGTCTGCAAGGCAAAACGGTGTCGTTCAGCTCCGCGCGGTCCTTCCCACTCCAAGGGGGACGGACGGACAGATAGGTGGACGTCCAAGAGGTCAAGGAAGAGGCTACTCACCGTTGCCGGCGGCGTAGTCGTAGTAGTCCTGGCTCTCTAGAAAAAGAAGGGGAGGAAAGGGGAACCGTCAGATCCACCCCAATTTCAAGCAGGCCTGGTCCAACTTTGGCCCTCCCTCCAAGTGTTTTGGACTTCCTTTCCCCCCTCATCTGTTTAATTTGAAAAACTCCGAAACACCTGGAGGGAGGGCCAAAGTTGGCCCATGATGATGATGATGATGATGATGGTCTGCTCTAAAACCTTTCACTTCGCCACGACTGTTGCATGCGCACACTGCTTTCCCAGAACTTCTAGCTCTACTTTTTGCTGAGCAATGTTAGCTTCAATCACAGCCTTCTGTTGTGCAGACGCCGCCTGAACCTTCGAAACGGCCTGAGGCTGTTAGGGAGCCCAAAACACCCGGAAGGAAGGCCAGAGTCGGCTCTTCCAGTCCATTTGGAGGCTTACCTATTTCGTAGGGGACGTAGGGCGTGTCATGGTAGGCCGGGTCCTCGATGTCGTACTGTCCTTGGGCCAGGAGGGCTGCGTGGAGACACAGAGAGAGAGACAGAGAAGGAGTCTTTGGGGGACCCCGCCTCTCCCTACCCTGCCCACTTCACCTGGAAGGCAGGACTCACCTGGGAGGCAGAGCAGAAAGAGCGACACGGCCTTCATTCTCAGGAGCAGGAAAGCAGGTGCAGGTACGTCACCTGGGGCAGAAGGCACGAGAGAGCCATTGGCGGCGGGGAAGGAAAGAGCCCACCTTTCACAGAGATCCTAGCCTTGGAAGAGAGAGACCCCCAAAGAGGGCCATCCAGCCCAAACCCCCTCCCTTCTTCCATCCAGGCAGGTAGCCATCCAGTCTCTCCTTCACCTTCACCATCATCATGGTTTCGTTCCTGCCTCGTTGGACTAGATTCCCTTTTGAGAGTCTCCTTCTCTGGAGGTTTCAGAACTAAGGCTGGATGGCTATCTGTCAGGAGGGATCGTATTGTGTCCTCCATTGGTCAAAGGAGGTCTATTCCAGTGGAGTCTCCTCTGGAGGTTTCTGAATTGAGGCTGGATGGCCATCTCTCAGGAAGGATTGGATTGTATCCTCTTCCATTGGCAGAAAGGGGTTGGACTAGATGCCCTTTCAGCAGAATCTCCTTCGCTGGAAGTTTCTGAACAGAGGCTGAATGGCCATCTGCTGGGAGGGATCAGATTGCGTTTTCCACAGCAGAAGGGGGTTGGACTGGATGACCTTTGAGGACCCCTTCCAGTGGGGTCTCTTTCCTCTGTAAGGCTAAGATGGCCATCTGCTGGGAGGGATCAGATTGTGTCGTCCATGACAGAAGGGTTGGACTAGATGCCCTTTGGGGACCCCTTTCAGCAGAATTTCTTTCTCTGGACCGGCAGCCTTTGTTTGTGGGCATGATCTCATCCGCTGTCTGTGTGACTGAAGCAACACAGGGTATGCGTGTGTGTGTGTCCGTGCCCCCAGGGCTCTGTCTGGGCAGAGAGCCACCCAAGGCTTGATGGGAAAGAAGGCACTGGCATGGAGCTGCAGACAGGCTGGATGGCCATCTGTTGGGAGGGGTTGGATTGTGCATTTCCTACATGAAGAAGGGCTGGATGGCCTTTGGAGTTCCCTTCTGACTCTACGCTTCTAGGCTTCCATGACAGGTTGGAAGGCCACCTGTTGGGAGGGTTTAGCTTGTGCATTTAGAGGCCCCTTGTGCATTTAGAGTATGGGTCCTTGACAGGCTGGAAGTCCATCTCTTGGGAGGGATTGGCTTGAGCATTTCCTGTATGAAGAAGGGCTGGATGGCTATCTGTTGGGAAGGATTGTATTGTGCATTCCCTGCATGAAGGCAGAAGGGGTTGGACTGGATGGCCTTCCGACTCTAGGCTTCCATGACAGGCTGGAAGGCCATCTGTTGGGAGGGGTTAGCTTGTGCATTTAGAGGTCCCTTTTGACTCTAGAGTTCTATGAGTACTTGGACAGGCTGGATGGCCATCTTCCAGGAAGGGTTGAATTGTGCATTTCCTGTATGAAGAAGGGCTGGATGGCCTTTAGAGTTCCCTTCCGACTCTAGGCTTCCACGACAGGCTGGATGGCCGTCTGTTGGGAGGGGTTAGCTTGTGCGGTTAGAGGTTCCTTCTGAATCTAGAGTACTATGAGTACTTGACAGGCTGGATGGCCATCTGTTGGGAGGGATTGGCTTGTGCATTTCCTGTATGAAGAAGGGCTGGATGGCCTTTAGAGTTCCCTTCCGAATCTAGGCTTCCATGACAGGCTGGAAGGCCATCTGTTGGGAAGGGTTGGCTTGTGCATTTAGAGGTCCCCTCTGAATCTAGAGTTCTATGAGTATTTGACTGGCTGGATGTCCATCTGTTGAGAGGGATTGGCTTGTGCATTTCCTGTATGAAGAAGGGCTGGATGGCCATCTGTTAGGAGGGATTGGCTTGTGCATTTCCTATATGAAGGGCTGGATGGCCATCTGTTGGGAAGGGTTGGCTTGTGCATTTAGAGGTCCCCTCTGAATCTAGAGTTCTATGAGTACTTGACAGGCTGGATGGCAATCTGTTGGGAGGGATTGGCTTGTGCATTTTCTGTATGAAGGGCTGGATGGCTATCTGTCGGGAAGGGTTGTATTGTGCATTTCCTGCATGAAGGCAGAAAAGGTTGGACTGGATGGCCTTTAGAGTTCCCTTCCGACTCTAGGCTTCCATGACAGGCTGGAAGGCCATCTGTTGGGAAGGGTTGGCTTGTGCATTTAGAGGTCCCTTCTGAAACTAGAGTTCTATGAGCACTTAATAGGCTGGATGGCCATCTGTTGGGAGGGATTGGCTTGTGTATTTCCTGTATGAAGAAGGGCTGGATGGCCATCTGAATCTATAGTTCTATGACTATTTGACAGGCTGGATGGCCATCTGTTAGGAGGGATTGGATTGTGCATTTCCTATATGAAGGGCTGGATGGCCATCTATTGGGAAGGGTTGGCTTGTGCATTTAGAGGTCCCCTCTGAATCTAGAGTTCTAGGAGTACTTGACAGGCTGGATGGCAATCTGTTGGGAGGGATTGGCTTGTGCATTTCCTGTATGAAGGGCTGGATGGCCATCTGTTGGGAAGGGTTGTATTGTGCATTTCCTGCATGACGGCAGAAGGGGTTGGACTGGATGGCCTTTAGAGTTCCCTTCTGACTCTAGGCTTCCAGATGGCCATCTATCAGGAGGGGTTGGAAGGTGCCTTTGATGCCTGGAAAGTGGAGGGAGGTTGGACTGGATGGCTTTTAGAGGTCCCTCCTGACTCTTCTTGAGTGGGGTCTGTGAGGAGATGCCTTGGCCCGACCCACAGAGGAGAGGGGCCTTGAGGAGGAGGAGGAGGAGTGAAGGCTTTAGAGGATCCAGATGTTGGGGCCAGGCGGGCACATCTGGGAGCAATCAGGCCATGGGAGAGAACAAAAGGCAGCCCCCACCCCTTTGCCCCAAACCCAACCCCACCAATGGCAGCCTCTCCTCCTCCCCCCCTCCCCCCTTAATGGCTTCCACAGAGTCAACTTCCCCCAAATTCCAGGAAAAGCAGAAAGAGGGGAGGTGGGGGGGGGGGGCTTAGGAAAACCCACCCTGCAAAAGCAAGGGGGCAGCTGCTGCTCGGTTGAGGAATGTGCCTGGGCACAAAGGGAGGCAGGCAAGCGGGCATCCCATGGACACGCAGGAGTCTTCKCAGGAGTTGCAGGTCATTGCTCCTCAAGCTTTGGGATGGGGGCACACCTAGGAGACCCCCTCCCACAGGTTGCCCCCTCCCCTCCCTTCCTGGGACTTTTCTTATTATGATAGACAGCCCCCCCCCCTCATGCCCCCTCTCTCCATTGTTACTGACCAGTCAAGAGGCCTCTCTCTCGGCTCCTCTGCTCTGTGCCCAAAGCCGGCTGGACCTCTTCTGCCTGGCTTGCAAAGAGGGGAGGGGAGCCCGGATGGGGGTTAGAGGAAGGGGGGAGCAAGGGGGAGGGAGAGAGGGAGGGAGGGGCAATGCCTGGGTCCTAACGCCTCCCTTCCGCTCCTCAAGCGGGCAGAGCAAACCCATGGTCATTGCAAACCAATGGTCATTACAATCTCATTGTCATTGCATACCAACGGTCATTGCAATCTGGTGGTCGTTGCAATCTCATGGTCATTGCAATCTCATGGTCATTGCAATCTGGTGCTCGTTGCAATCTCATGGTCATTGCAATCTGGTGGTCGTTGCAATCTCATGGTCATTGCAATCTCATGGTCATTGCAATCTGGTGGTCGTTGCAATCTCATGGTCATTGCATACCAACGGTCATTGCAATCTGGTGGTCGTTGCAATCTCATGGTCATTGCAATCTCATGGTCATTGCAATCTGGTGGTCATTGCAATCTCATGGTTATTGCAAACCAATGGTCATTGCATACCAATGGTCATTGCAATCTGGTGGTCATTGCAATCTGGTGGTCATTGCAATTCGGTGGTGATTGCAATCTCATGCTCATTGCAATCTCATGGTTGTTGCAAACCAGTGGTCATTGCAATCCGGTGGTCATTGAAATCTCATGCTCATTGCAATCCGGTGGTCATTGCAATCTCATGGTCATTTCAAACCAATGGTCATTGCAATCCGGTGGTTGTTACAAACCAATGGTCATTGCAATCTAGTGGTCATTGCAATCCGGTGGTCATTGCAACCCAGTGGTCATCATATTCTGATAGTCATTACCATCTGGTGGTCATCCTGACCCAAGGGTTGTCACAATCTAGTGGTGGTTGCAATCAGCCATTGCAATCTCATGGTCATCGTAATCCGATGGTCATCACAATCTGATGGTCATTGCAGTCCTGTGATCATTGCAAATCCGGTGGTTGTTGCAATGTGATGGTCATTGCAAATTGAATGGCATTGCAATCCGATGGTCATTGCAATTCAGTGGTCATTGCAATCCGGTGATCGTCACAATCGGATGGTCATTGCAATCTGATGATCATTGTAATTGCAATCCAGTGGTCATTGCAATCTAATAGTCATTGCAATTTGATGGTCATTGCAATCAGATGGTCATTGCAGTCTGATGGTCATCACAATCTGCAATCCTGTGGTCGCTGCCATTGGGTGGTCGTCACAATCTGGTGGTTGCAATCCTGCGGTCCTTGCAATTCGGTGATCATCGCAATCTGATGGTCATCGCAATCTTAAATCCAATGGTCATTGCAATCGGATGGTCATTGGTCAAAGGAGGGAGGGTTCCCCCAACACCCGTTCCCGTTGGCTGCCATCATGGGAGAGGAGGAGGAAAACAGGAAGGGGAGCCCTTGGGCCCCCAAAGGCCCCTGAAAGAGGGCGCAAACCGCTCGTGAGGAAATAAGGACGACGTCCGGAGGAAAATAGAATCTCTTTAATCACACAACTCTAAAATCACATTGACCGGGACGTATCACACGCGCAGGAGGGTTCTTTGGCAAAGAAAGGAAGAAGGAAAGATTGGAGGAAGGTCTCCCTGCAGAACCCGACTCCTCACAGTGCAAATCTCAGGCTTGGGAGGAAGGGTCAAGGGTGGCCCCTGGGCAAGGAAGGGCCGGACTGCTCCTCAGGGTCTGCCCGCAGGCTGAGGGTCAGCTGGCCCACCGGGAGCAGGGAATAAGTTAGGGGCCACGTCCAAAGGGCCGGCAGGGTCATCTGCCCGTGATGGAGACCCTGCTGCTGCTCGTACTCTTGGCGATGAGGGTCTGGTCCAGCGGGGGCCACGGGGCCCCCTCCCGGCGCATCTCCTTCTCCAGCCGCTTGAAGAGCTTCCTGGGCGCCTTCTTGGGACGCAGCAGGGACCGCAGGCCGTCCAGTAGGCCGTAGTCCAAGCCGGTCTGGAAGAGAGAGAACCATAGGGTCTTAGAGCTGGAACAGCCCCATCAAAGCCTTCCTGACAGGTGGCCCTCCAGCCTCTGCTTAACAACAACAATAGAATGATGATGATAATAGAATCCTAGAGTTGGAAGAGACCTCCAAAGGCCATCCAGTCCAGCCCCATTCTTCCAGACAGGAAAAGCACAATCAAATCTGGGTTATTGTAGGTTTTTTCAGGCTATATGGCCATGTTCCAGAGGCATTTTCTCCTGACGTTTCGCCTGCATCTATGGCAAGCATCCTCAGAGGTAGTGAGGTCTGTTGGGAGTAGGAAAATGGGTTTATATATCTGTGGAATGACCAGGGTGGGACAAAGGACTTTTGTCTGCTGGAGCTAGGTATATATATTGTCGTGTCAGGAGTGTCCTGTTGTGAGAGAATTGGCCATCTGCAAGGACGTTGCCCAGGGGACGCCCGGATGATTTTGATGTTTTATCATCCTTGTGGGAGGCTTCTCTCATGTCCCCGCATGAGGAGCTGGAGCTGATAGAGGGAGCTCATCCGCCTCTCCCCAGATTCGAACCTGCGACCTGTCGGTCTTCAGTCCTGCCGGCACAGAGCTTTAACCCACTGCGCCACCGGGGGCTCTAGGTGGAGCTAGGTGTGAATGTTTCAACTGATCACCTTGATTTGCATTTAATGGCTTGGAAGTGCCTGGGGGAATCTTTTGTTGAGAGGCGATTTGATGTGCCTGATTGTTGACTCTCTGTTGTTTTGCTGTTGTAATTTTTGAGTTTTTTAATATTAAAGATTTTAATTAAAAAGATTTAGTATTAAAAAAGCTCAAAAATTACAGAGTAAACAATCAGGCACATCTAATCACCTCTCAACAAAAGATTCCCCCAGGCACTTCCAAGCCATTAAATGCAAATCAAGGTGGCCAGTTGAAACAGTCACACCTAGCTCCAGCAGACAAAAGTCCTTTGTCCCACCCTGGTCATTCCAAAGATATAGAAAAATGCCTCTAGGCCATGGCCATATAGCCCGAAAAAAACCTACAACAACCCAGTGATTCCGGCCATGAAAACCTTCGACAATACACAATCAAATCCCTCCCAACAGATGGCCCTCGAGCCTCAAAGCCGCCAAAGAAGGAGCTTCCACCAGACTCCGAGGAGGTAGAGAGTTCCATGGTTGAAGGTCTTTCTAATGAAGTTCTCCTTCCCTGTCATGTGGACCTATGGCACCATAGAGGCCAAATCCTGCTCCCTCTTCCTTAGGACGTCCTTTCTGATAAGTAAACACAGCTCAGCTTTGGCATATGCAAAAGTGGCAATCACTTCTGCCCTGGTGATTCGATTCCAATGGGAATCTGATGATTCAGGTGGACGTACCTCCAGGACGAAGGCGGCGAAGAAGTGGAGGGTGGCCATGCCCAGGAGGACGGCCTTGAAGCGGAGGTCCCCGATGCTCTTGAGCTGCAGCCAGCGCCGCATGAAGGGCAGCGGGGAGAGGGTCAGCCAAGCCATGAGGCCAAAGAGGAGGACCAGCGCCACCAGGAACAGCACTGCAGAGGGAACGAAGACACAGGCACGACTGTGAAAGAAGAGAACGCGCAAGAAGAGGGTGTTGGGCCTTGCCCACTCACTCACCATTGGTGTAGAGAGGCTTCCGGAAAGGGTGCCCTTTGGACATGACCACCGCCAGGGTCAGGTATTGGAAGCCCGAGATGCAGAAGACCACCGTGTTCTCGTAGTTGGGCAGATTCTGCGGGGCCGGGACGCTGCTGTTCAAAGGGACGAACCTGCACGGGAGGAGGAGGAGGCATTCGTAAATGGTAAAGCAGCAACAAAAGCAGGAGCAGCAGCAGTTTAGCAGGCAGGAAGCTTCTCGTGCCAGCAGTAGAGCACTTGAAGCTTCAGCCCTCCTTCAAGAGCAAAGCCAAGCTTTGAAACCTATCTGTCCATCCGATCCCTGAGTGGGGATAGGAGGAGAGCAGGGTGAAAGGCTTTTTCCTTGATGAGGACTACACGCTTGTCCTGGATCCCACCCCCTTGGAGTGGGGCTCACCAGGGCTGGGCGGTGGTCACGAAGTACCCGGTGACCTGGATGGCGATGAGGAGGGCGGTCTGGAGGGAGAGGCTGCCCAGGACCAGGACGCTGAGGAGGGCCCCTTGCGGGCGGCGGGGGGCCAGGTCCGGGGAGGGGGCCGTGCGGCCCATCAGGGCGGCCACCGTGGTGGTGATGACCAGGTCGAAGAAGAGGAACTGCAGGTCGCCCAGGTTGGTGTCGATCTGGAGGACAGCAGGGCAGGACAGAGCTCAACACAATTGGGAACGCTCTCTGCCTCCTCCGAGTCCAACAGAGGCTCCTTCCCTTTTCAGCAGAAGGAGCTAAGTGGCCATCTGTTGGGAGGGTTCAGATGGTACTTTGCCTGCGTAGAAGAAGGGGCTGGACTGGATGGCCTCTGAAGGCCCTTTCTAACTCAAAGATTAATATTATTCTATTTACATATCTATCAGTCATCTATCCTATCTTATCTATCCATCATATATCTGACCTACCTATCCATCTTATCTATCCATCCATTCAACTTTTTGTCTTTCTACCCATCCATCTTTCCATCATATATCCTACCTACCTACCTACCCTAGCCATCCATCTATCTGTCTGTCTGTCTTCCTACCTACCTACTCCCTCCATCCATCCATCCATCCATCCATCCATCCATCCATCCATCCATCCATCCATCCATCCATCCATCCATCCATCCATCCATCTATTTATCTTCCTACTCTATCTATCTATCTATCTATCTATCTATCTATCTATCTATCTATCTATCTATCTATCTATCTATCTACCTACCTACCTACCTACCTACCTACCTACCCTATCCATCCATCTATCTACCTACCTACCTACCTACCTACTCCATCCATCCATCCATCCATCCATCCATCCATCCATCCATCTATCTACCTACCCATCCATCCATAATCTACCTATCTATCTAATCAACCTAACCATCCTTCTATCCATTCATTCACCTACCCACCGTATCTATCTATCCATCCATCATTTATCCTATCATCCATGTATCTATACATACAATCTATTTATCATTCTATCTATCCACCCATCCATCATCTATCCTATCCATCTATAATTTATCTGTCTATCTGTCTGTCCATCCATCCACCCTATCTACCCATCCCTTATCCATCCATCCATCCATCCATCCATCCATCCATCCATCCATCCATCCATCCATCTATCTATCTATCTATCTATCTATCTATCTATCTATCCCATTCAACAGTGGAACTCTCTGCCATGGAATCTGGTGGAGGCTCCCTTTTTGGAGGCTACTAACTAAGCAGAGGCTGGGTTGCCACCTGTCCTGCTTTGTGGCAGAATGGGATGGTACTGGATGGCCTTTGGGCTCATCTTCCAGCACTAGGATTCTAAGCCAAGATGTGCCCCAGGGGAAACAGCAGAGATGAGGGGTCTTCTCACCGTGTAGAGCAGAAGTACCGAGACGAACTGGACCAGGCTGTAGAGGGCCATGTACTTGAAGACCCCGAAGGAGGTGACCAGGGAGCACCGGCCTTCCCTGCAGGAGAAAGGGACAGAGTCATTGAAAGGGTTGCTTTGCTCACAGACTGCCCTCTGCGGCCCTCGACCTACCGGATGACGATGGGAACACACTCGATGTTGGGGGTCCGGGACGTGAAGGGCGAGGCCACAGAGGCCTCTGCGTCTGAGAGGGAGATGCCCACATCAGCAGCCTTCAGGGCTCCGCAGTCATTGGCCCCATCACCACACATGGCCACACAGTAGCTGCAAAGGGGGGCGGGAGAGAGAAGAAAGTGTTGACAGACATGAGAAAGCTCCCCCCCCCCCCCATTCCCAATTTTATAGCATCCCCATAGACTCACTTCAAGGCTTGGAAGCTCTGGATCAGGAGTGTTTTCTGGTCGGGAAGCATGCGGGCAAAAATGGTGGCATGGATCAGGATCTGCAGAGGGATGAAAGGGGGAAAGGGAAAGCTTAAGTGTAAGGGAAACTCACCCGTATTCCCAAATCTTACCATTCGGGTCCTTGCTGGACCGCTTTGGATCACGAAACGGAGTCCAAACAAGTTAGGGCAAAACACGGTTTATTCATATTGCGCAACAGGAAGGCGGACAGGCAGCATAACACACTGTATGCCAGAACCAGACTGCCCATCCTGATTGGGATGAACGTTGGGCTTATATACCCTTGACAATACATTTAGCAACCACATTCCAGTAACATAACACGCCCCTTGTGCCCTTGTGATCGACCCTGTGGTCAGTTACCAGTAAGTGGTGACAGAAGTACTAGGTGGTGAGTTCACAGGTGTTGAGAAGGAGGAATAGTTCCGTTTGTTGTTATTGCTGTATTTTGTTTGTTTTCTCTTGTATTTGTTGTCATTGTTATATAAATAAATGTTCTGCAGTACACTGCATCCTTCCCACGCCCCGTCCCCCCGTCCCCAATGCCTGACCTTTGGCAGGAGGTCCGGGAAGTGTTCACAAGCCACAGCGAAGGACTTCCCATTGAGGGCCAGGTGGCAGCGGGGCTCCTCCGGGAAACAGGCACTGCCGCTGCCCTCATTCTGGTAGGAGCCCTGGAATGACAGAGTCGAGCCTCGTTCCTCCAGTCGTGCCCTTCGCACACCCCTCTCTTTCTGCAGAAGTGGGACAACTGCCCCTAACACCCTCCGGAGGGGTCGGGACCCAGAGGAAGGAGCTGACCTGAGGGGTAGAAGCAGGGCGACCCCAGTCCTACCCCTATCACCCTCCGTAGGAGTCGAGACTCAGAGGAAGCGGCTGACCTGGGGGTGCTGCTCAGAAGGCAGGAAGCGCAGGGTAGCTGGTTTCCCACGGCCGGGGGCCACAGCATTCACAAAGACCACCTTCTCCCGGGGCTCCACCATCCGGCTGCTCTTGGCCACATTCACCGCAGTCAGCATGTTGTCCCCTGTGACAGACACAGGGAATGGCATGGAGGCGCCCAACGGCCCTCTATCTGGGGTCCCCCTCCAGTCACAAAAACCAGTCACAAAAACCACAAAAACCAGTCACAAAAACCACAAAAAATCCATCCATCTATCCATCCATCATCTACCTATCCATCCAGTCAATCAATCAATCAATTCATCCATCCATTATCTACCCATCCATCCATCCATCCATCCATCCTATCTATCTATCTATCTATCTATCTATCTATCTATCTATCTATCTATCTATCTATCTATCTATCTCTTTCAATCCACCCACCCTATCCATCCATCTATCCATCCATTATCTACCTACCTATCCATCCATCCATCCATCCATTATCTACCCATCCATCCACCAAACCTATCTATCTATCTATCTACCTATCCATCCATTATCTACCTACTTATCCATTCATCTATACATCCGTCCACCAACCCATTCTATCCATCCATCCATCTATCCATCGATCCATTATCTACCTATCCATCCATCCATTCAATCAATCTATGTATCAATCCATCCATCTACCAACGCTATCTATCTATCTATCTATCTATCTATCTATCTATCTATCTATCTACTATCTATCATCCATCCATCCATCCATCCATCCATCCACCAACCCATTCTATCCATCCATCTATCCACCCATCCATCCTCCAACCCTATCTATCTATCCATCCATCCATCCATTATCTACCTACCCTACCTACCTACCTACCTACCTACCTACCTACCTACCTACCTGTTCGTCCATTCAGTCTATCAACCCTTCTATCCACCTATCCATCCATTCTTCATCCATTCATCCACCAACCCATCCTATCTATCCATCCATCCATCGTTCCATCCCTCCGTCCACCTATTTATCTATTTGTTTATCTATCCATCCATTATGTATCTAGTCTATCTAGCTATCCATCTTTCCATCCACCCTTCCATCCATCCATTCACCTACCCACCCTATCTTATCTATCTATCTATATCCATCCATCCATCTATTATCTATCTATCTGTCTATTCAGTCTATCTATCCATCCTTCATTTATCCACCCTATTTATCCATTCAGCCATCGTTCCATCCCTCCGTCCACCTATCTGTTTATCTATTTGTCTATCTACCTATCCATCCATCACCTATCTGTCTATTCAGTCTATCTAGCTATCCATCTTTCCATCCATCCTTCCTTCCATCCATTCACCGACCCACCCACCCTATTTATCTATCTATGTTCTAAGAACCCCTTCCTCTTCTGTCCATCTACAGATTGCCCTCTTGGGTGCCATTGGAAGGTAGCCCCCCTTTTCCATCCTTCCTTCCTTCCTTCCTTCCTTCCTTCCTTCCTCACCAGTGACCATGACGGTCCGGATCTCAGCTCTGCGGAGCAAGTGGATGACGGGTGCCGTCTCCGGCTTGAGAACGTTCTTCATCACCAGGAGCCCCAAGAAGACCATGCCGCTCTCCACCGACTCCCTGCCGAGAGGAGAAAGCTGTGGCTTGCAAGGCCTCCAAGGAGGAGAAAGGGAAGGAAAGAAAGGAGAGAGGGAAGGAAGAAAGGGCCACCAAGAACCACCGGTCACCTGGTCACCTCCTGGGCCTCTTCGAAGGTCTGGACGGCCACCATGGGCTTGTACGCCAGGCCCAGCACGCGGAAGCCGTCGCTGGCATAATGGTGCAGCATCTGGGAGAAATCGGCCGGGACTGCAGAGCAAGAAGGAAAAGAAAGAAGGGAAGGAAGTACGCTGTCAGAAGGAGGAAAGCGAAACTGACCCTCAGCTCTTGTCCCTCCATTCGGGAAAGAGGACGGGAACGGGATTGCCCATTTGCCCACCAAATGCCCAAAGATGTGGGTCAATGGGACATGAAGTTCAGGTTTATTTGGGGAGGGAGTCCTCGGGTCATGGAACCCCATAAATGCCATCCAGTCCAGCCCCCTTCCTGCCAGGAAGGAAGGCACAATCAAAGCCCTCCTGACAGATGGCCAGCCAGCCTCTGCTTAATAATAATAATAATAATAATAATAATAATAATAATAATATGATTATTACTATTATTATTATTATAGAATAATATTACAATACAGCAATAACAATAAATAATAACAATAACAATAATCCTAGCATTGGAAGGGACCCCTAAAGGTCATCCAGCCCAGCCACCTTCCTGCCAGGAAGGGAGGCACAATCAAAGCCCTCCTGACAGATGCCAGACAGCCTCTGCTTAATAATAATAATAATAATAATAATAATAATAATAATAATATGATTATTACTATTACTATCACTATTATTATTATTATTATAATTATTATATATTACAATACAGCAATAACAATAAATAATAATAATAATACAATCCTAGCATTGGAAGGGACCCCTAAAGGTCATCCAACCCAGCCCCCTTCCTGCCAGGAAAGAAGGCACAATCAAAGCCCTCCTGACAGATGGCTAGCCAGCCTCTGCTTAATAATAATAATAATAATAATAATAATAATAATAATAATACTATTATTATTAGTATTATTATTACTATTATAATTATCGAATCATATTACAATTCAGCAATAACAAATAATAATAATAATACAATCCTAGCATTGGAAGGGACCCCTAAAGGTCATCCAGCCCAGCCCCCTTCCTGCCAGGAAGGAAGGCACAATCAAATCCCTCCTGACAGATGCCAGCCAGCCTCTGCTTAATAATAATAATAATAATAATAATAATAATAATATGATGATGATGATGATGATGATGATTATAGAATAATATTACAATACAGCAATAACAATAAATAATAATAATAATACAATCCTAGCATTGGAAGGGACCCCTAAAGGTCATCCAGCCCAGCCCCCTTCCTGCCAGGAAGGGAGGCACAATCAAAGCCCTCCCAACAGATGGCCAGCCAGCCTCTGCTTAATAATAATAATAATAATATTGTAGAATAATATTACTATACAGCAATAACAATAAATATTAACAACAATAATAATACAATCCTAGCATTGGAAGGGACCCCTAAAGGCCATCCAGCCCACCTCCCCTTACTGCCAGGAAGGGAGGCATAATCAAATCCCTCCCAACAGATGGCCACCCATCCTCCTGACCTGACTCCGGGAGGCAGAGGCTGGCCACGGTCTCGGGGGCGCCCTTCATGTAGGCCTGCGCAGGGCCCTCCTCCTCGGCTGGGCGCTTGACCAGAACGCTCATTCTCTGCAACGCGGAAGAGAAGGGGAAGCGGCGCAGTAGGGCCAGCGGTGGGGAGCGGCGCTTCTGGGGAGAGAAGGGGAAATGCAAGGGGGGGTCAGGCTCAGTGCCCTATTCATCTCTAGTGTTTATATTCCAATCTAGAGACGAGGAATGCAATCGTTTAATCTGCAGAGTGCAGAAGGAGGGGTGCTTTGGGGGGTCTGACCTTGCCGAGCACCTCCTCCGTCTCCTCCTGCGCTTTCGGGGGGCTCATCACCGCCAGGGCTTTGGTGCGGAAAAGGAGGGATACCTGGGCCTCCGCTTCTGGCCCTTCTGCTTCTTCCTGGGTCTGGAAGGAAGGAAACAACAATAGCAACAGGAGAAGTTCATGATACAAAACAGATGTACATGACTCCAGGTAATGCCTCAGTCTCGCCGGTCTCCTCCAAGAGAGGTGTTTCTTTTGGAAGGGCAGTCCTCTTCTCTGCGGTGGCATGATGCCCACCAGCCAGGATTTATAGCACGCTAGTCTACCATATGTGCGTATTCACAGTTGACTACGACAGGAAATTATAGGTTGCTTACCTGCAGGCCTGTAGCGAGGGGGGGGGGGGGGGGTTAGGGGTTCAACCCCCCCCCCCAGAAATGTTTCAGATTTTTTTTAAAAAAAACTGGTTTACTCATGAATTTTAACTGGTGAACCAAATCCCCATGCTAAGTCTATGAGATGCAAAAAATCAAGAGTCCCTCCAGAACTGCAAGCACTATCTCAAGCAAATATTGGCAATTTATTCACACTGTCATTACTTGCAGCAATAGCCGATGTAGTTGTTCTGGTACAGCTGAACCAGGAGCTCCAACTTTATTTGCTTTGTATTAAATGTTTGCTTGCAGTCCTAGGTTTCAGGGACTCTGCAGATAGGTGGCTTCCTTTGGTTGCAGTCATAGGGCAAGTCACCTGCCCATCATTGTTAAGTTTTGGTCCCACCCCTTGCTCAGGGCAATTGAGAAGGGAAGGGAGCCATTTTTAGTTAGTCTCAGCAAGGTAAGCTTATGTATAGGATGTGTGCAAGCTTCCCCTGTACAAAAGCGTCAACCCTTAAGACCTTCCGGGGGAGAAAGGTCTTAAGAGTCTCCAAAGAATTTCCAGGAAAACAGCCCTAAAGACCAAAGAACTCCAGCTGGAGAACATCTACTGCCTTGCTGGTAGGTCCACTCGACGTTCGAGACGCAGTTCGACCTGGTAGCGGAGTCCACATCAGTAAGGGTTAGATTACAGTCAGCCTGGGAGAAGTTAAAAAGGGGATTTTCCTTTAAAGAAGAAGTTATTGAAGACAGTTGCCTGTCCTTCGTGGGCAAGATTAGGAATACACCAGTTGCCTAAAAGCTTGGAATCATTTGCTTAACTTTACTGAAGACAAGAGAAGTTTAATAAAAGACTTTGTTGTACTTTTCAAGCCATCTAAAGACTGTTTGTGGTGGAAACCTCTGAGAACTTCTCTTTAGGCCCCCTGGCTTCCTGCTGGGCAAAGGTTGCACATCCTGTCCTAAAGACAATTATTTACAGGCCCAGCGCGCGACAGAACAGTAGTGATGCAACCAAGTTGGGGGGGGGGGATGTTGAATGCTCTCATTCAGGAGGCCAGACTGCAGGCTATTGAAGGCTGCTCTGCCCCCTGATGTGCTCTTTGCTTTAGCGTGAGCTAGGAGGCAGGTTTCAACCCCCCCCCTCGTGAAATTTTCAAACCCCCCCCTGAAAATTTCAACCCCTCCCGAATTTTTTTTCTGGCTACGGCCCTGCTTACCTGTAACTGTAGTTTCCTGGGTAGTCACCTGTGAATTCACACATTCCTGCCTGACCTCCCCTCGAGTGTCATGCCCCGCCTTCTGGCTGCTTTGCGGCGGAAGAGAACTGGTGGCTAGCCCCGCCTATGGGCTATATATACTCGAGGGGGTGGGCGGGGCTAGCCGGGGACTAAAATGTCTATTTTATCTTCTAGAAGGTTCTGAAAGCTGTACTGTCACCCTGTGGCACTTGTCCTCTAAGAGATATCTCGCAATCCACTGCAGGGGATGGCTGGCCATCCATATAAAAGTTGGCTACATTGCACTGAATAGTAGCGGCACTGCAATAGAATGTGTCCTATTGTTTCGACTTCATCAGCTTCACAGGGGCATAGTCTTTGGAATCAGGGATTCTGGACAATCTGACTCTTAGCAGCTCTGAGGGAAATGCATTTAGTAAACACTCTGCAATATTTAAGGATTTCTTTAGATATTTGCATGTCTTCAAAGACTCTCTATAAGGTAAACTTAAGGATCTAGGACAGCGTGATGAGTTTGAGCAAGCTCTGAGCTCTCCCAGGGCAATATCCCAGGAAGGAAAGAAGGAGATGTCGCACCCTGTACGTATTTTATAGATCGACAGATCAGGCCAGGGCCAACTTCAGCCCTCCCTCCAGGTGTTTTGGACTTCACCTCAAGTCTTCAACTGGGAAGTAAGAAGGACTAGAGATATTGGAGGCACTGTGCGTCAACATCTTTTGGCGCCTGAACAGAGACGTAAGAAAATGCTCTGGGGTTGCTTTAAGGCAGGCACGGGCCAACTTGGACCCTCCAGGAGTTTTGGACTCCAACTCCCACAATTCTTAACAGCCGAAAACACCTAGAGGAAGGGCCAAAGTTGGCCCATGCCTGCTACAGAATCACGGAAAGAGCTCAAGTTGGGGAGCTCACCCATCCGGTGGACTCGAGCATGCGGAGGTCGACGGGGTCCCCGACAGGCTGCCCGCCGAGCAGAGCGAGGGCATGGCAGGAAGTCAGGCAGTGGAGCAGGAGTCCTGGGGGCAGGCGGCGCAGGTCTGGCTCCAGCGGCAAGAAGGATGCCTCCTCCACTGGGACCACCCCCCAGACGTCCAGTCCATCCTCCGTCAAGGTCCCTGTCTGGAAGGAAGGAGAGGGCATAATGGAAGCACACAGAGCTTAACAATCTCACACGCTCACTCACTCATAGCAGACACCTTGCCTCTCTCCATGCTCACAGGTGCAGCAGAAGAGCTGTTCAGCTTCAGCAATTACAGCAGCTGAGTCGAGCTTTAAAAATTATATTCAAATAACTGTATTTTTAGAAAGGAAAGGGTCTATCTATCGACCTACTTATCTCTCAGGAGACACCTTGCCTCTCTCCATGCTCACAGGTGCAGCAGAAGAGCCGTTCAGCTTCAGCAATTACAGCAGCAGAGTTGAGCTTTTAAAAGTTATATTCAAATAACTGCACATCTATGCACCTATCTCTCGGGAGACACCTTGCCTCTCTCCATACTCCATGCTCAGAGAAGAACAAAAGAGGCCCAGACCAGAAGCTTTTTGCGCCAGAAGTATATCCATTGAGCTTTAGCAATTACAGCAGCAAAGTCAAGCGTTAAAAGGTTATATTCAAAGAACTACATACCTAGACTGGGAAGTAAACACAGAGGGCCTAGCTATCTAATTTGCTAACTCAGAGCAGGCATCTTGTCTCTCTCCATGCTCAGAGGAGGGCGGAAGGACTTGCCATGGATAGGAGAGAATGGATTGACAGGTGTTGGGCTCAGCAGCAAGATGCTGGGGATTTCTCAGAGGACTGTGTGTGACCAGGGTGAATTGCAGGCCTTCGATCAGAGTGACACAGAGGTTGTTTTGGATTTCAATGGTTGTTCCTTAACAGCAGGGGAAAAGTCTGTTTCTCTTGGGAATCGGCCTTCACCAGAGGGGGAGTTTTCCCATGATATCAGATTAGGCCTCTGCACAGAGGGAGTGAAGAATAGATTAATTAGACAGTCAAAAAGACTTTGTAAGAAGTCCTTGACACCCAGGTATCAGAGGCATGATCTCATGGCTTCTTGGTCAGGCAGGCTTGGATTTAAATTAAGTGATGTTTACTTGGTGTCTTCAGAGCAGACAACTTTGCCATAGATTCAAGTTCCCGTTTCAGCTTCCAGCTCATGATTCAAAAATCTCCTGTGTTTACCTATATCCCTGAAAGAGTTTTGCCTTGGAAAAAGTTCCTGCTTATGGATTGACTTCCTTGATTTCATGTACCTTGCTATTTTGGACTACTGATCTTTTATATATGGACTACTGCTATTTTATAGTTCCTTTTAACCTGCTTTTTGGGAAATGCTTTGTGCTCACCTTGTCGAAGCAGACCAGGCGCACCTTCCCAGAGAGGTTGATGCGTGGTGGGCTGACGCAGAAGACTCCGCGGCGTTGGAGGCGGCTCTGGGCATAGATGGTGCCCACCGTCATGGCTGCCGGGAGAGCCGGGGGCACCACCACCGTCACCACGTCCAGTGCGTGCGTCACAATCTGCCTCACCGGGACCTGCCGTCAAAAGAGACGAGTCAACGCTCAAAGCAAACAAGAAAAGGACCCGCAACAGAGGAGGAAACCCTGCTCATTCAGCTCACCTTGTTCCGAATTAGGATGAAAATGCTGTAACTCGTTCCCAACCCGGCTGGAAGAAGACAGAGAAAGCAGATGAGATCTGAGCCGTCAAAGCGAGAATACGAGTGAAGACAACACTGCAGCACTTTGGTGTTGTTGTACGAAGCGGGTCTTACAAAGCCCTCCTCTACTTTGCAGGCTAAGATCAGCAGGACAGGCAGGCCCTCTGTAGAGATGGTTCGAAAGTGCCCTCGACTCACTCACCCAGAACTGCCAGGAAGCCCACAAACTTTGCCGCGTCCTTATAGAACTTGAAGTAGACCGGCTTCGGGAAGAGAATGGAGCTGATGAGGTCACCTTTGGCTGTGCAGAAGCCTGGCCAGAAAGAGGGAGGCACGTCTATTATTATTATTATTATTATTATTATTATTATTATTATTGGGAAGCACAGGCTCGATGGCCACCTGTCGGGAGGGATCAGGTTCTGTCTTCCTTCATGGCAGAAGGAAGTTGGACTCTATGGTCCTTAGGGAGTCCCTTCCAACTCTAGAATACTATTATCATTATTATTGTTACTATAAAGAAGGGGCTGGATGGCCATCTGTCAGGAGGGTACAGGGAGGGGTCTCACCTGTCCTTGTGACCAGGGCCAGGACGTGTGGCCCGGCGTAGGAGCGGGCCTGGAGCACGTGTGTCCCGCAGAAGAGCGTGTGGCGCTTGTGCTCCTCGGGGGAGTAGGTGGCGCAGGCCGGGCCGCCCCTGGGCAAAGGGGTCTTCATGGCGGGGACACTCTCCCCTGCGGAGACAAAACACCTTTGTATGGGGAGTCAACCATGTCCCACACATGTTTGTAGCCCTCACTGAGGACACTGATCGGCAGCAGATAAGTTGGTTGGCCTACCTGCCTGCCTCTCTTTCTCTGACTAAGAATCCTCAGGGACTAATTCCATTTTGTTCTCCTCCTGTGAGCATGGAGAGAGGCAAGATGTCTCCAGGTAGTTGGAGAGTTGGCCCTAACATTCCTATTTGGACATGCTGAAAGCTTGACTCTGCTCCTGTATTGGCTCTACTGCTGGCACTCAAGAAGCTTCCTGCTGCTTTGTTCTCCTCCTGTGAGCATGTAGAGAGGCAAGATGTCTCCAGATAGTTGGATAGTTGACTCTAACATTCCTACATAGTAATGTAGTTCTTCCAATAACTTTTAAAGCTTGAGTCTGTTCCTGTATTTTGCTGAAGCTCATTCGCTCTACTGCTAAACTGCTGCTACTTTGTTCTTGCCCTGTGAGCATGGAGAGAAGCAAGATGTCTTCAGATAGCTGACCCTGACATCCCTATCTAGTAATGGCGTTCTTCCAATAGCTTTTAAACCTGGAATCTGTTCCTGCAATGGGTGAAGTTCATTGGCTCTACTGCTAACACTCAAGGAGCTTCCAATCTGCTAAACTACTGCTACTTTGCTCTTCCCCTGTGAGCATGCAGAGTGACAAGATATTTCCAAAGGGACAGATAGTTCCATAGATAGCCACTAATTTTATATACAAAAATGCAGTTCTTTCTATAAGTTTCAAAGCATGACTCTGCCCCTGTAAATTGCTCTGGCCATGCAAAGCTTCTCATCTGCTAAACTACGGCTGTTGCTGTTAAACCTGTTGCAAATGCTTTTTCCTTTCCTTTTTTTTTTTAAACAGCTTCTTACCAGTTAACATGCTTTCGTTGACCATGCACTCCCCGGTCAGCAGGACGGCGTCGCAAGGGACCAGCATCCCGTCCGGAGGGACCACCAGGCAGTCGCCGGGCACCAGGTCCGAGGAGCCCACCGTCACTTCCTCTGTGGACCGAGAGAAGGGCGTGAGAGGGACCCTCCTTCCCCAGGAACCCCAGAATCCTGGAGTTGGAAGGGACCCCCAAAGCCAACCATCCTCTGCTTCATAATAATCTATATAAATAAAAATGTAATGTTCGTTTGTGGGATTAATATAAGTCAAAAACCTCTGGATGAATTGACACCAAATTTGGACACAAGACACCTATCAGGCCAATGAGTGTCCATCACCCCTAAAACACACGCAGAACAGACTTAAAACCCCCCAAAATAAACTATATATACATATATATACATATACACATACACTCATATACATATACACATGCACACATACATACATACAGACACACACATATATACACAAGCACACACAAATATACACATGCACACATGCACATATATTTACATATACACAAGCACACACATATACACAATATACATATGCACATATAAACAAAGAAGTACATAAATATATACACATGTATAAACACATAAATACACATATGAACACACAATACATCTATATATATATTTTTGTATATATGTGTGTTTGCATATATAGATATATACGTGTGTGTGTGTGTCTGTCTGTATGCACATGTGCATGTGTATATGTATATGAGTATATGTGTAGTAAAGGTAAAGGTAGTCCCCTGACATTAAGTCCAGTCATGTCTGACTCTGGGGTGTGGTGCTCATCTCCATTTCTAAGCCGAAGAGCCAGCGTTGTCCGTAGACACCTCCAAGGTCATGTGGCCGGCATGATTGCATGGAGCACCGTTACCTTCCCGCCGGAGCGGTACCTATTGATCTACTCACATTTGCATGTTTTCGAACTGCTAGGTTGGCAGAAGCTAGGGCTGACAGCGGAAGCTCATGCCGCTCCCCAGAATCGAACCTGCGACCTTTCGATCAACAAACTCAGCAGCTCAGTGCTTTAACCCACTGCGCCACCGGGGGCTCTGAGTGTATGTGTATATGTATATACATTGTGTATATGTGTGTATGTATGTGTATATTTGTGTGCTTGCGTATATATATATATGTGTGTGTTTTTGTAAGTGTGTGCATGTGTATATATATATATATTTCTGTGTTTATATGTGTATATGTATATTGTGTATATGTGTGTGCTTGTGTATATGCATATATGTGTGTTTATATGTGTATGTATGTGTATATGTATATAGGTGTATATGTATATGTGTATATTTGTGTGTGCTTGTGTATATATGTGTGTGTGTCTGTATGTATGTGTGCATGTGTATATGTATATGAGTGTATGTGTATATCTATATATAGTTTATTTTGGGGGGTTTTCAGTCCGTTCTGCTGTGTTTTTTGTGTGTTTTTAGGGGTGTTGGAAACTCATTGGCCTGATAGGTGTGTTGTGTCCAAATTTGGTGTCAATTTGTCCAGTGGTTTTTAAGTTATGTTAATCCCACAAACGAACATTACATTTCTATCTATCTATCTATCTATCTATCTATCTATCTACCTACCTACCTACCTACCTACCTACCTACCTACCTATCTATCTATCTATCTATCTATCTATCTATCTATGTAAACACACATATATACACATATACACACACACAAAACATATATACAGACTGGGCCACAGCAACACGTGGCAGGGGACGGCTAATAATAATAATAATAATAATAATAATAATAGAATCCTAGAGTTGGAAGGAACCTCCAGAGTCCATCCATCCTCTGCTTCATAATAATAATAATAATAATAATAATAATAATAATAATAGAATCCTGGAGTTGGAAGGGACCGCCAAAGGCCATCCATCCTCTGCTTCATAATAATAATAATAATAATAATAATAATAATAATAATAATAATAATAATAATAATAGAATCCTAGAGTTAGAAAGGCCATCCATCCTCTGCTTCATACTAATAATAATAATAATAATAATAATAATAATAATAGAATCCTAGAGTTGGAAGGAACCCCCAAAGGCCATCCAGTCCAACCCCCTTCTGTTTATTCTGCAGAGTAAATTATTGAATTTGAATCTCCTTGATATCGAGTCTTTGACTGGGAAGACTAGTCTGTTTCTCTTGGGAATCGGCCTTCACCAGAGGGGGAGTTTTCCCATGATATCAGATTAGGCCTCTGCACAGAGGGAGTAAAGAATATATTAATTAGACATCCAGAAAGACTTTGTAAGAAGTCCTTGACACCCAGGTATCAGAGGCATGATCTTATGGCTTCTTGGTCAGCCATTAAATTTAAGTGGAAGACGAGGGCACTGTGCGTCAACATGTTTTGGCGCCCGAACAGGGACTTGGCAAAATGCTCGGTGCTTCCCTTTAAAGCAAGCATGGTCCAACTTCGTCCTTCCTTCAAGTGTTTTGGACATCAACATGCCACTATTTCCCCTGTTCCATGCCTTGGCTAAGAAATAAATCTATTGCATTTCGATTTCCTTGTCGAGATAGAGATTGTTGTGAAAGTCAACAAGTGCCGTCTTTCTCTGGCACTTACCTTTGGGTCCTCTGCGTATCCTGACGCTGACGGAGAGCCTGGCCATGTTCCTCAGGGTGACGCTTTGCTGTGGGAGATAAAGGCATGAGGTGTAACAAACCGCACTCTGCACATGCCCTGGTGCACCCTCTCCCTCCCTTTCCCCTTCAGGACACCGGTGAGGGCCCACCTTCCTGGTCTGGTAGAGGGAGACGCCGATAGAGAGGGCAGAGATGACGAAGATGCAGGCGGCGTAGGAGTAGTACTCCTCACAGAGCCATAAGGTGATGCTGAAGATCTGGAAGATGTAGAAGGGGTTCAGGATCTGGGGAGGAAGGAAAGATGAGGCAGGGAAGTCATCAGAAGGCAGGAGGAGAGCGGTCGTTGGAACTCAGCCACCATCCTGCACAAGGCTGTAGTCCTCATTGAGGATTGAGATGAGCAGATGAGTTCATCAACAGGAAAAGCCCTTCCCCATTGGCCCCTCTGCCTGCCTATCAGTCTATTCTCTCCTATCCCCTTCCTTATTAGAATCATTAAGAACACCTCTCTTTCAACTCTCCTGTGAGCATGGAGAGAGGCAAGATGTCTGCTTCGAGTGAGTGACTGAGTTAGATAGCTAGGTCCTGTGTGCTAACTTTCCTATCCAGAAATATATCGTTCTTTGAACTTAAAGCTTGACTCCGCTCCTGTACTTGCTGAAGCTCAATAGCTCTACTGCTGTGCTCAAGAAGCTTCTCCTGTGAGCATGGAGAGAGGCAAGATGTCTGCTTCGAGTGAGTGACTAAGTTGGATAGCTAGGTCCTGTGTGCTAACTTTCCTATCCAGAAATATATCGTTCTTTGAACTTAAAGCTTGACTCCGCTCCTGTACTTGCTGGAGCTCAATAGCTCTACTGCTGTGCTCAAGAAGCTTCTCGTGGGCATGGAGAGAGACAAGATGTCTGCTTCAAGTGAGTGAGAGAGTTAGATAGCTAGGTCCTGTGTGCTAACTTTCCTATCCAGAAATATATCGTTCTTTGAACTTAAAGCTTGACTCCGCTGCTGTACTTGCTGGAGCTCAATAGCTCTACTGCTGTGCTCAAGAAGCTTCTCCTGTGAGCATGGAGAGAGGCAAGATGTCTCCCGAGAGATAGGTAGAGATGTGTATGTATGTAGATACATACATACATAGACAGGCCCTTTACTTTCTTGTCTCTATATATAGTTCTTTGAATATAACCTTTTAAAGCTTGACTCTGCTGCTGTAATTGCTGAAGCTCAATGGCTCTTCTGCTGCGCCTATGAGCACGGAGAGAGGCAAGATTTCTGCTGCGAGTGAGTGAGATAGCTAGGCTCTGTGTGTTAAGTTTCCTATCTAGAAATGCAGTTCTTAACTTTACACAGCTTGACTCTGCTGCTGTAAACTGCTAGAGCTCAATGGCTCTACTGTTAGCACTCAAGAAGCTTCGATCTGCTGTTGCTGCTACTTTACCGTTTTTGAAGGCTTTACTCCCTTTATTGGGGGGACATTATCTCCCTAAAATTCAACCAAAGGAAAGACTCCCTTGTTTCGGGCCCCAATTCACTCACTTCGTCCTTCAGGAGCCGCAAGTACGGTTTCACCGGGACGTCGATGAGGTTGGGTCCGTAGAGCTTCCTCCTGAAGAAAGCATTGAAGAAGGTAGAAGAGCAGTGAGCAAGGTGTTAAGGTTGCAGAAGAGAGCCTTATTTATGGATCATTTGAGAGGTGGATTCATAAGATTGTTCTCACCTGGCGGCCTGCTCCTTGGCGCTCAGCCCTAGATGCCCGTCGTGAAGGTCGGAACAAGACAAGCCCTCGTCCAAAACACTGCAATGTAAATATCAATTTGAGACTACAAAACCCATGATTCAGAAACAGTCAAAATTGAGTTGATACTTTTCTTGATTATTCAATAGTCAAGAAGGAGCTGGAGCAGAAAGGAAAGCTGAGCGAGGGGGAAATTATAGGCAGATGTAAGGGGAAAAGAATGATTTCATGTGTGTTTCCGTCAATTTGAGACTACAAAACCCATGATTCAGTAGCAGTCAAAAGTGACATTTTTCTTGATACTTTTCTTGATTATCCAATAGTCAAAAAGGCGTTGGAGCTGAAGGGTAAGTTGAGAGGAGAAAATTATAGGCAGAAAGGGGAAAAGAATGATTTCATGTGTGTTCACGTCAATTTGAGACTATAAAACCCATGATTCGGAAACAAAGGTGGCACTTTTCTTGATGCTTTTCTTGATTATTCAATAGTTTATACTGCAGAATAAATGATTGAATTCGAATCTACTCAATTTCTAGTCTTCAGCTTGGAAGTAAGAACATGTGCGTCAACATGTTTTGGCGCCCAAACAGGGACTCGACAAAATGCTTGGAGCTTCGGTTTAAAGCATTCACGGGCAAACTTTGGCCTTCCTCTAAGTGTTTTGGATTTCAACATTTTGACTGCTTCCGAATCATGGTTTTTCTAGTCTCAAATTGACGCAGGCACACATGAAATCATTCTTTTCCCCTTTCTACCTATAATTTTGCCCTCTGCTCCAGCGCCTTCTTGACTATTGAATAAGCAAGAAAACCTTGCCTTGGCCAAGAAATAAATCTATTGCATTTTGATCTCCTCGCCTCTAGTGTTGAGACAGAGATGCTAGAGCAGCGGTTCTCAACCTGGGGGTCGCGACCACCAGGGGGGTCATTGGGCCATTTTGGGGGGTCGCGAAGCTGCCTTGATTGGCCCCGCCCCCGCCAAAATGGCTGCCGACCCTTGCTGTATGGGCAAGGGAGGGCTGCCCACCCCCCGTGCCTTTCTGAGTGAGGAAGGGTGTGGGGGGTGAGACCTTGCCATGAGCGCAGGCTTTCTCCCCCCCTCCGCGTACCCTTCCGAGCTCTTTGATGGCAGGGGAACTATACATCTCGGTAGCTCCCAAATGCCAAGGTCTGTTTTCCCCAAACTCCTCCAGTGTTGACATTGGGGCATATTGAGTATCCGTGCCAACTTTGGTCCAAGATCCATCATTGTTTGAGTCCTCAGTGCATTCTGGATGTAGGTGAACTACAACTCCAAAACTCAAGGTCTATGTTCCTCAAGCCTCTCCAGTATTTTCTGTTGGTCATGGGAGTTCTTTGTGCCAAGTTTGGTCCAATTCCATCATTGGTGGAGTTCAAAATGCTCTTTGATTGTAGGTGAACTATAAATCCCAGCAACTACAACTCCCAAATGACATAATCAATTCTCCCTCCAACCCCACCAGTGTTCAAATTTGGGCATATTGGGTAAGGTAAGGTAAAAGTTTCCCCCTGACATTAAGTCCAGTTGTGTCCAACTCGGGGAGTTGGTGCTCAATTTTGAGGCCAAAGAGCCGGTGTTGTCCATAGACACCTCCAAGGTTATGTGGCGGACATGACAGCATGGAGCGCTGTGGTTGGGTATTTGTGCCAAATTTGGTCCAGTGAATGAAAATACATCCTGCATTTCACATATTTACATTATGATTACAATTACAATCAGGAAGTAGCAATAATAATAATTTTATGGTTGGTGGTGCTGTATTAAGGGGTCACGGCATTAGGAAGGTTGAGAACCGCTGTACTAGAGGGTGTCGGACAAAACTGAATCTCGACATTTGGTATTTGAGAACGAACTCGAAAGCAGCCTGACCTGGCTTTGCAGAAGGCCTGCCGCTTCTCCATCCAGATGTAGCGCAGTCCTTCGAAGACGTAGTAGCGGATGACGGTGGTCTTTTGGAGAGAGAAACAGAAGGGTCAGTCGAGAGGAGAGCACAAGGAAGTTTGGAGGGGAAAACACGAAGGACGAGAGGCAACGGGAATGGAAAGGGGAGACCCACCTCTTCCTCATCCTCCTTCGGCCGGAGCCTGACCGTGTCCCGGCCCTCCTCGTCCTCGCCGTGGACCCCGATGGCGATGCTGCTCCGCCCGTCGTGGTCCCCTCCCCTGGCCTCCAGGCTTCAAAAGAGAGACAAAAGGAGCCTTGCCAAAGAGTCCCGGTGAAGCGGGAAGAGGGCCAGCCCTGTCCCCAAATTGGGACTCACCTGCCTGCCTCCACCTGCTCCTCCTGAACGCGGGCCGTGAAGTCTTGCCCAAACTGATCCTGGGTAATCATAACAACAACAACAGTAATCCCACTGACAAGAGATCTGGATCGAACCCACCAGCACCAGGTTTATGTATTGGGGGAGTTTGGAGGTCAATGACAAAGGGTGATGGGAGTTGCAGTCCAGCCACATCCTCATGCCTTTTCCAATGGGACCATTCCTCAACTCCAACAAGAAAACCATGACGACTTCTAATGTTTATCCTTATAGAGGACCTAATCCAACAGGACAGCTAAACTAATAGGAATAATAATTATTATATATTATATTATATTATATTATATTATATTATATTATATTATATTATATTATATTTATATTATATTATGAAAGTGGAAGGCAAAAGGAAGAGGGGCCGACCAAGGGCAAGATGGATGGATGGCATCCTTGAAGTGACTGGACTGACCTTGAGGGAGCTGGGGGTGGTAACGGCCGACAGGGAGCTCTGGCGTGGGCTGGTCCATGAGGTCACGAAGAGTCGGAGACGACTGAACGAATGAACAACAACATATTATATTATATTATATTATATTATATTATATTATATTATATTATATTATATTATATTATATTATATTATATTATATTTAAGGTAAAGGTTTCTCCTGACATGACTCTGGGGTGCTGGTGTTCGTCTCCATTTCTCAGCTGAAGAGTCGGCGTTGTCCACAGACACCTCCAAGGTCACTGGCAGGACTGCATGGAGCACCATTACCTTCAAACTGGAGCAGTACCTATTGATCTACTCACATTGGCATGTTTTTGAACTGCTAGTTTGGCAGAAGCTGGGGCTAACAGTGGGAGCTTGTCCCGCTCTCGGATTCGAACCTGCAGCATTTTGGTCAGCAAGTTCAACAGGTCAGCAGTTTAACCACTGCACCACCGGGGGCTCCATAACATAATATGTACACGTGTGTGTATGTATGCATGTATGTATATATATATATATATAGTATTTACTGCATTGTAAGTACTGCACATTGTAAGTGTGTGTGTGTGTATGTAAAATATGAAATATAGTATTTACTGCATTGTAAGTAGTGCACATCGTAAGTTGTGTGTGTGTGTGTGTGTATATATATATATATATATAAAATATGGAATATCATAGTATTTACTGCATTGTAAGTGCTGCACATTGTAAGTGTGTGTGTGTGTATAATATGAAATATAGTATTTACTGCATTGTAAGTACTGCACATTGTGTGTGTGTGTATATATATATATAATATGAAATATAGTATTTACTGCATTGTAATTAGTGCACATCGTAAGTGTGTGTGTGTGTATATATATATATATAATATGGAATATCATAGTATTTACTGCATTGTAAGTAGTGCACATCGTAAGTGTGTGTGTGTGTGTGTGTATATATATATATATAATATGGAATATCATAGTATTTACTGCATTGTAATTAGTGCACATCGTAAGTGTGTGTGTGTGTGTGTGTGTATATATATATATATATAATATGGAATATCATAGTATTTACTGCATTGTGCTGCACATTGTAAGTGTGTGTGTGTGTGTGTATAATATGAATATGATTATATAATAATACTACAATAATAAGCAGAATAATCCCAATGCCCTCCTACTCACCCGGATGACCACCCAGTGGGCCTGGCGCAGTGGGCACCGGCTTCCCTTGGCCTGGACCTCCAGGCGGGGCCTCCAGTGGAAGAGCAGCAGTGGGAGCCCCACGGAGAGCGCCGAGGCCGCGTGGCACAGGGCCACCTTCCAGGCCTTCCTCTGGTAGCCAAGGACCTCCTGCAGGCAGGAAGGAAGGGATGGAGGAATGGATGGAAGAAGGAAAGGAAGAAGGGAAGGGAAGAAAGAATGAAGGAATGGAAAGGAGGAAGGAAAGGAAGGAAGGAAGGATGGATGGAAGAAGGAAGGGATGCAAAGAAGGAAGGAAGGAAGGAAGGAAGGAAGAGAGAAGAGGAAGGAAGGAGGGAAAGGAAGGAGGGAGGGATGGAGGAAGGAAGAAGAAGAAAGGAGGGATGGAAGAAAGGAGGAAGGAAGGAAGGAAAGAAGGAAGTAAAGAGGGAAGGAAGGAAGGAAAAAAAGGAAGAAAGGAGGAAAGGAAGGAAGGAAGAGAAGAAGGAAGGAGAGATGGAAGGAAAGAGGGATGGAAGGAAGGAAAGAAGGAAAGGAAGAAGGAAAGAAAGATGGAAGGAAGGAACGGAAGGAAGGAAGGAAGGAGGAAAGGAAGGAAAGGAAGAAAGAAGGAGAGATGGAAAGAAAGAGGGATGGAAGGAAGGAAAAAAGGAAGGAAGGGAAGATGGAAGGAGAGATGGAAGGAAAGAGTGAAAGAAGGAAGGAAAAAAGGAAGGAAGGAAGGAGGAAAGGAAGGAATGGAAGAAGGAAGGAGAGATAGAAAAAAAGGGGGATGGAAGGAAGGAAAAAGGAAGGAAAGAAGGAAGGAAGAAAGAAGAGATGGAAGAAAAGGGGATGGAAGGAATGAAAAAGGAAGACAGGAGGAAAGGAAGAAAGGGAAGAAGGAAGGAGAGATGGAGGGAAGGAGGGAAAGAAGGAAGGAAAAAGGAAAGAAGTAGGAAAAGAAGGAAGGGAAGATGGAAGGAAGAAGGACGGAAGGAAGGATGGAAGGAAAGGAAGAAGGAAGGAGAGATGGAAGGAAAGAAGGAAGGAAGGAAGGAAGGAAGGAAGGAAGGAAGGAAGGAGGGAATGAGTCTGGAAAGAATCCCCAGGTGTGCCCGCAGCCCCCCAAAGCATCCCCTCTGGAGAGTCCACCATCAAGTGCAAGACCCTCGTATGGGTTTTGACCTCAGGAAGCCGCTCAAGCCACGCAAGCCGAGAACCGTGCACTCACCATGGGGCTTCCGGGGGGTTCCTGCGGGAGGGTCATATTGGTGGGCCGGTTGCCGCCCTGGAGAGAGGTGCCGCCTGAGGACAGAAGAGGAAGAGCCAGAAGTCACTTCCCCTTGAAGGACAAACAACAGCCTGAGCCTAGAGCGCCTTAAGCTGCCTGCCCTGCTGTGACCCCGCTTGGGCCTCCTTCTCTGGGTCAGGCAGGTCCTCTGGCCCCTTCCTTCCCGAACTCGGGTGCGTTGAGGAAGTGTTGTCCCATTGGGCAGGAAGACTTCCTCATGCTGCTGCAGCTGATGGGGAGATCCTGTTTGCTCAGGGAAGAGGAACACACTTGCGCTCCATGTCAACACCGGGCAGCAAGGAGCATCCGGGAGGAGAGCCGGCTTCCGGGCCAGACCAGTACAACCAGTACAACCAGTGCAACCAGTCCCCCTCTCCTGCCACCCCTTTGCCCCTCACTCCTACCAGCAAAGCGGGGTTCTTGCAAGGGGCCCCGTTCTGCTCTGGGGCCGATTGCTGCGTTGCCATACGTGGCCCCAAAGGGAGAGGCCCCTGCGCACACGTCCACACCTTCTCCTCAAACACAAGGAAAGAGGGAAGGGAAGAGGGGAGAAGGAGGGAGGGAGGAAAGAGGGGAGAAGGAGGGGAGAATGAAGGAGGGAAGGGAGGGAAGGAAGAAAGAGTAAGAGAGAAGGAGGGAAGGATGAGGGAGAGAAGGAAGGAAGGAGAAGAAGAAGGAAGGAAAGGGAGAAGGGAGGGAGGAGGGAAGGAGGAGGGAGAAAGGAAAGGGGATAGAAAGGAATAAGGAAGGGAGGAATGAAGGAGAGGAGGGAGGGAGGGAGGAAAGGAGGAAATAGTAAGAAAAAAGGGAGGAGGGAAGGATGAGGAAGAGAAAGAGGGGAGGAAGGGAAGGAATGAAGGGAGGAAAGAGAGAAAGGAGGGAGGAAGGAAGATGGAGGAGGGAAGGTGGAAAGGAAGAAAGGGAGGGAGGAAGGGATGAAGGAGAGAGAAAGAAGGAAGGAAGAAAAGAAGGAAGGAGGAGGAGGGAAGGTGGAAGGGAAGAGATAGAAAGAAGGGAGGAATGAAGGAGGGGAGGAGGAAGAGGAGGGAGGGGGAGAGAAGGAGGAAAGAGATGGAAGGGAGGGAGGGGAAAAGATGAGGGAGAGAGGAAGAAGGAGGGAAGGTGGAAAGGAGTGGAGGGAAGGAAGGGGGAGAGGAAGAGGAAGGAAGGAAGGAAGGAAGGAAAAGAAGAAGGAAGGAGGAGGGAAGAAGGAAGGGGAAGGGAGGAAGAGGAGAGAAGGAAGAGGAAGGGAGGAAAAGAGGAAAGGAGGAAGGGAAGGAAGGAAGGAGGAAGGAAGGAAGGAAGGGAAGGAAGGAGAAGGAAGGAGGAAAGGGAAGGAGAAGGAAAGGAGGAAGGAAGGAAGGAGGAGGAGGAAGAAAGGAAGGAAGGAAGGAAGGAAGGAAGGGGGGAGGGAGGGAGGGAGGGAGGGAAAGGAGGAAGAAGAGGAAGGGGGAAGGAAGGAAGGAAGGGAAAGGATGAAGGAGAGAGGAAGAAAGGAAGAAGAGGGAAGGTGGAAGGAGAAGGAAGGGAAAGGAGAGGGAGAGGAAGAAGAAGGAAGGAAGGAAGGAAGGAAGAGGAAGGAAGGAAGGAGGAAGAGGAGGAAGGTGGAAAGGGAAGAAGGAGGAAGAAGAAGGAAGAGAAGGAGAGAAGAAGGGAGGAGAAGGAAGGGGAAAGGAAGGAAGGAAGGGAGGAAGAGGGAGGAAGGAGAGACAGGAAGAAGGAGGAAGGAGGGAGGAGGAAGGGAGGAAGGAAGAGAGAGAAGGGAGGAAAGAAGAAGGGAGGAGGGGAGAAGGGAGGGAGGAAAAGAGGAAAGAAGGGAAGGAAAGAAGAAGGGATAGAGGAGAGGAGGAAGAAAGAGGGAGGAAGGAAGGAGGAAAGAGGGAAGGAAGAGAAAAGGAGAGGAGGGAGGGTAGGAAGGGAAGGGGGGCAGAGAGAAGGGAAGGAAGGGTCAAGAAGAAGGGAGGAAGGAAGGACAGGGAAAAGGAGGTGGAAGGGAAGAAGGAAGGAAGGAGGAAAGAGAAGGAGGAACAGAGGAGAGGTCTATCTATCTATCTATCTATCTATCTATCTATCTATCTATCTATCTAATCTATCTATCTAATCTATCTATCTATCTATCTATCTATCTATCTATCTATCTATCTATCTATCTATCTCAAAGTTCCAGTGGTCTACATCTCACCCAGCCGGCAGAGCAGGTGACCCTCCCTCTCTGCCCACTTCCTGCTGTCTTTGCTTCCCGGCTGCAGAGGCAATGAGAGAGAGAAGCAAGGCCTGCTGGGAGATGTAGTTTCCTCTCCCTACATCTCGCTGGACTCCGAGCTTGCGCCACCTTGTGGCCATCGCAGGGAGAGTGGCGGGGTCACTCCAGGTCAAAGCGCATGTCTCCCTTCTGGAAGGAGGACCAAAAGGAATCCAGGCTACTATGGGGTGGATCTGGGGCTGGTTAAGAGACCAAACCCAAATGTTTCCTCCTGCCCTGGAAACTAAGACTCAATAGAGTTCCCATGACAGGAAAGGAGAGTCCATCGAACATTACGAACAACTTCCTGACTGTCAGAAGAGCTGTTCAGCAGTGGAACTCTCTGCCTCAAAGTCCAATGGAAGCTCCTTCCATCAAACCTAATCTGTCAGGGATGCTTTGATTGTGCTTTTTCTGCCTGGCAGAAGGGGTTGGACTAGATGGCGCATTGTGGTCTCTTCCAACTCTTCTATTATTATTATTATTACTATTATTATTAATTGAGGCTGAATGGCCATCTGTCAGGGATGCTTTTACTGTGTTTTTTTCTGCCTGGCAGAAGGGGTTGGACTAGATGGCGCATTGTGGTCTCTTCCAACTCTTCTATTATTATTATTATTATTATTACTATTATTATTAATTGAGGCTGAATGGCCATCTGTCAGGGATGCTTTTACTGTGTTTTTTTCTGCCTGGCAGAAGGGGTTGGACTAGATGGCGCATTGTGGTCTCTTCCAACTCTTCTATTATTATTATTATTATTATTACTATTATTATTAATTGAGGCTGAATGGCCATCTGTCAGGGATGCTTTTACTGTGTTTTTTTCTGCCTGGCAGAAGGGGTTGGACTAGATGGTGCATTGTGGTGTCTTCCAACTTTATTATTATTATTATTATTACTATTAATTGAGGCTGAATGACCATCAGTCAGGGCTGCTTTGATTGTGCTTTTCCTGCCTGGCAGATTGAGGGTGGATGGCCATCTGTCAGGGCTGCTTTGATTGTGCTTTTCCTGCCCAGCAGAAGGGGTTGGACTAGATGGCGCATTGTGGTCTCTTCCAACTCTATTATTATTATTATTATTATTATTATTATTATTATTATTATTAATTGAGACTGAATGGCCATCTGTTAGGGATGCTTTGATTGTGTTTTTCCTGCTTGGCAGAAGGGGGTTGGACTAGATGGCACATTGTGGTCTCTACCAGCATTATTATTATTATTACTATTATTATTTCTCCTCCCTTCTTAAACTCTATTATTATTATTATTATTATTATTATTATTTGAGGCTGAATGGCCATCTCTCAGGGATGCTTTTATTGTGTTTTTTCTGCCTTCCAGAAGGGGTTGGACTAGATGGCGCATTGTGGTGTCTTCCAACTCTATTATTATTATTATTATTATTATTATTATTATTATTATTATTATTATTTCTTTCTTCCTTTCTTCTCCTTCCTCCCTTCTTAAACTCTATTATTATTATTATTATTATTATTATTATTATTATTATTGATTGAGGTTGAATGGCCATCTGTCAGGGATGCTTTGATTGTGCTTTTCCTGCCTGGCAGAAGGGGTTGGACTAGATGGCACATTGTGGTCTCTTCCAACTCTATTATTATTATTATTATTATTATTATTATTATTATTATTATTATTATTATTATTATTATTTGAGGCTGAATGGCCATCTGTCAGGGATGCTTTGACTGCTGGCAGAAGGGGGTTGGACTAGATGGCGCATTGTGGTCTCTACCAACATCATTATTATTATTATTATTATTATTATTATTATTATTATTATTATTGAGAGTGGATGGCCATCTGTAAGGGCTGCTTTGATTGTGCTTTTCCTGCCTGGAAGAAGGGGGTTGGACTAGATGACCCATGTGGTCTCTTCCAACTTTATTATTATTATTATTATTAGTAGTAGTAGTAGTATTTCTTCTCCTCCCTCCCTTCTTAAACTCTATTATTATTATTATTATTATTATTATTATTATTATTATTATTATTAGAGGCTGAATGGCCATCTGTCAGGGATGCTTTGACTGTGTTTTTTTCTGCTGGCAGAAGGGGGTTGGCCTAGATGGTGCATTGTGGTCTCTACCAACATTATTATTATTATTATTATTATTATTATTATTATTATTATTAATTGAGGGTGGATGGCCATCTGTCAGGGATGCTTTGAATGTGCTTTTTCTGCCTGGCAGAAGGAGGTTGGACTAAATGACCCATGGGATCTCTTCCAACTCTATTCGTCTATGTCTCTGGCCCCAGAGCAGAGTCCCTCGGAGAAACCTTGACTTGGGCCAGGACAATCCTGGAAAGGAGAGAGCGTGATCCAGAGGAGCTTGTGAAGGAGAGCTTTATTAGTCCATTAGATACATATCACCCATCTTATCTACAGAGAGGAGACCCTGGAAAAAGAGTCTCCAGTGCAAAGCCATGCAAAAGGGTCAAGCGCAGGTCTAGGCGGTGGCGGCTCCCTCCTTCTTCTGGTAGGCGGCCATCATCTTCTTGATCTCTGCAATTGCTTTGCCGGGATTCAGGCCCTGAAGACAAGAGATCGAGAGATGGAAGGTGAGGCTTGGTCAAGCGCAGCCCCATAGCCCTACCCTCCTTGGACATATCCAGGACGAGCCCCCATAGAGAGGATCCAGGATGACCCCCACCTTGGGGCAGGTCTGGGTGCAGTTCATGATGGTGTGGCAGCGGTAGAGGGAGAAGGGGTCCTGCAGCTGGGCCAGGCGCTCGGCCGTGAAGTCGTCGCGAGAGTCCACCATCCAGCGGTAGGCCTTGCGGAGGGAGGGGCAGAGCAAAGGGAGCCGTTAATGGAGCCTGCCCACCCTCGCCGGCCCAACCCTTGGCCCCCGAGAGTTGGGAGAGACCTTCAGAGACCATCCAGTCCAACCTGCTTCCACCAGGTGGGAAAAAGAACCGTCCAACTGTTGGGTGGGTGGGCTTACTAACAAAAGACCCTCCACACACTGAGGCTTACTAACTCTGAGGCCTACCTCACACTGAAGCCTACTAAAATCTACTGAGGCGTGCTCATACTGAGGCAAACTAACACTGGAGCCTTCTCGTACTGAGGCCTTCTCATACCGAGGCTTCTCTCATACTGAGGGCAACTAACACTGAGGCATACTAAGCTGCAGGCACACCTACTTATATTGAACTGTAATGACAACAATGACAGTAATTTGTTGGGCGAGTGGGCCTACTAACAAAAGACCCTCCACACACTGAGGCTTACTAACTCTGAGGCCTACCTCACACTGAGGCCTACTAACACCTACTGAGGTGTGCTCATACTGAGGCAAACTAACACTGGAGCCTTCTCATACTGAGGCTTCTCTCCTACTGAGGGCAACTAACACTGAGGCGTACTAAGCTACAGACACACCTACTTATATTGAACTATAGTGACAACGATGATAGTAATTTTTGGGGTGAGTGGGCCTACTAACAAAAGACTCTCCACACACTGAGGCTTACTAACTCTGAGGCCTACCTCACACTGAGGCCTTCTCATACCAAGGTTTCTCTCATACTGAGGGCATCTAACACTGAGGCGTACTAAGCTACAGGCACACCTACTTATATTGAACTATAATGACAACGATGACAGTAATTTGTTGGGTGAGCGGGCCTACTAACAAAAGACCCTCCACACACTGAGGCTTACTAACTCTGAGGCCTACCTCACACTGAGGCCTACTAACACCTACTGAGGTGTGCTCATACTGAGGCAACTAACACTGGACCCTTCTCATACTGAGGCTTCTCTCATACTGAGGGCAACTAACATTGAGGCGTACTAAGCTACAGGCACACTTACTTATATTGAACTATAATGACAACAATGAGAGTTATTTGTTGGGTGAGTGGGCCTACTAATAAAAGACCCTCCACACACTGAGGCTTACTAACTCTGAGGCCTACCTCACACTGAGGCCTACTAACACCTACTGAGGCGAGCTTATACTGAGGTAAACTAACACTGGACCCTTCTCATACTGAGGCTTCTCTCATACTGAAGGCAACTAACACTGAGGCATACTAAGCTGCAAGCACACCTACTTATATTGAACTATAATGACAACAATGGCAGTAATTGGTTGGGTGAGTGGACCTACTAACAAAAGTCCCTCCACACACTGAGGCTTACTAACTCTGAGGCCTACCTCACACTGAGGCCTACTACTGAGGTGTGTTCTGCTTACCTGCATAAGAACAGCGGGGCCTAAGTACTTGTCCCCGTTCCACCAGTAACTGGGGCAACTGGTGCTGCAACAGGCGCAGAGGATGCATTCGTACAGTCCGTCCTGCAGGGAGAAGGGAGAAGGAGAAGAGCTGAGCCTGGGGCCTCCCTTGGCGCAGTGGGGGCTCCGTGTGGGGCCCCAGAAAGGCGTGGGGATGGAGGAGGGAGGAAGGAGCTGACCAGCTTTTCCCGGTCCTCGATGGACTGGAGATACTGCTCCTGGCCTTGGCGGGACTCGTCCTTCTTCTTCAGGAAAGGCTGGATGGCCTTGTACTGGGCATAGAAGTTGCTCAGGTCCTGAGAGGGAGGAAGAGGGGTGCCCGTCAAGGGATGCGCACTGGACCCTGAAGGCCCCGAAAGCGAGCACCTTCCCCTCCGCCCCCGTCCCGACGATTCCTCAGGCCTGCATGCCACTCACGGGAACGAGGTCCTTGACCACAAACATGTGGGGCAGCGGGTAGATCTTGGTGGTGCGTCCGAGGTCGGTGTCGATGCGCTTAGTGCAGGCCAGAGTGTTCCCGCCTCCAATGTTCATGGCGCAGGAGCCGCAGATCCCTGCAGGGAAGGAGGAGAGGGCGCTCAGCCAGGTCGGACCCTTCCTGTCCACACTGCCCAATTGGCCTGAGTTGGGACCTGTTCCATTATTTATTAATTTATTTATTTATATTTTGTATATTTGTACTCTGCCCTTCTCAACCCCCTGGGGTAGGTAGACAAACCAATAATAATAATAATTGGTCTACCTATGATCCATTATTATTATTATTATTATTATTATTATTATTATTATTGGTCTGCCCATGATCATCTATTATTATTATTGTTGTTGTTGTTGTTGTTGTTGTTGTTATTATTATTATTATTATTGGTCTGTCCATGATCCTATAGTATTATTATTGTTGTTGGTCTGTCTATGGTCCTATATTATTATTGGTCTACCTGTGATCCATCATTATTATTATTATTATTATTATTATTATTATTATTATTATTGGTCTGCCCATGACCATATATAATTATTATTGTTGTTGGTCTGTCTATGGTCCTATAGTATTATTATTATTATTATTATTATTGGTCTACCTATGATCCATCATCATCATCATCATCATCATCATCGTCGTTGTTGTTGTTGTTATTGGTCTGCCTATGATCCTATATTATTATTGTTGTTGTCGGTCTGTCTATGGTCCTATATTATTATTATTATTATTATTATTATTACTATTATTATTATTATTGGTCTACCTATGATCCATTATTATTGTTGTTGTTGTTGTTGTTGTTATTAGTCAGGTTGCAGGTTCGAATCCGGGGAGAGGAGGATGAGCTCTCTATCAGTAGTACTATAGGATCATCACAGTCATGTAGTAATAATAATAACAATAATAATAATAATATAGTACCACAGACTGACCAATAATAATAACAGTATAGGATCATCGATAGACCAATAATGATGATGATGATGATGATGATGCTGGAACATAGCTCAATATAATAATAATAATAATACAATTGGATAATTACAGACATGTAATAACAACAACAACAACATAGGACCACAGACAGGTCAATAATAAAAATAAAAATAATAACAATAGAGCATAGATCAATATATTAATAATAGTATAGGATCATCACAACCATGTAGTAGTAGTAATAATAATAATAATATTGTACCACAGACTGACCAATAATAATAGTAATAATAGTATAGGATCACTGATAGACCAATATTAATAATAATATTAATAATGATGATGCTGGAATATAGATCAATGTCATAATAATACTATTGGATAATTACAGCCATGTAATAATAATAATAATAATAATAATAATATAGGACCATAGACAGACCAACAACAACAATAATAATATAGGATCATAGGCAGACCAATAACAACAACAATAACAACAACGATGATGATGATGGATCATAGGTAGACCAATAATAATAATAATAATAATAATAATAATAGTAATAATAATAATACTATAGGACCATAGACAGACCAACAACAATAATAATTATATATGGTCATGGGCAGACCAATAATAATAATAATAATAATAATAATAATAATAATAATAATAATATAGGACCATAGACAGACCAACAATAATAGTAATAACATAGGATCATAGGCAGACCAATAACAACAACAACAACAATAATGATGATGATGATGATGGATCATAGGTAGACCAATAATAATAATAATAATAATAATAATAATAATAATAATAATAATACCACAGACTGACCAATAATAATAATAGTATAGGATCATCAATAGACCAATAATAATAACAATAATAATAATACTGGAATATAGATCAAAGTCATAATAAAACTATTGGATAATTACAGCCATGTAATAACAACAACAGCAACAACATAGGACCACAGACTGGCCAATAATAATAATAATAATAATAATAATAATAATAACAACAATAATACTGCTACTGCTACTCAAGGGTGATCGCGACCTTCCCTGCAGGAGCGCCGGAAGGTGAGCGTGGGGTCTATTTCGTTCTTGATCTTGATCAGGGCGTCCAGCACCATCGGGCCGCATCTGCCGGGAAAGCAAGAATAACAACAGTCATAATAATAACGATAATAGTAATAACACAGCGTTATTGATCTCGCACTGCCCACCCAAAGGGGACTCGGGGGGCGGCTTACAGCAAGCGACAACAGAATATTTATTTTATTTATTTATTTACCTTACTTCTATACCGCTGTTCTCAGCCCAAAGGCAACTCACAGCGGTTCACAACAAATAAGAACAGCAAAAATTCAGTGCTACAGTATAGAGGCAGTTAACAACCTAACACATTACACAACCCATTCACTGTCGTCTTGTCATCAAAAACATGTTCCAGATTCGTCATCCATTGCATAAGCAAATTGAATAAGCGTGCAGCAGCCATGTTACTAACAGGAGCGGGACGCAGGGAGCATACAACGCCCTTGTTGTACCAGCTCCACTGGCTGCCGATTTGCTACCAGGCTCAATTCAAGGTGCTGGCGATGGCCTATAAAGCCCTAAACGGTTCCGGCCCAAGATACCTATCTGACCGCATCTCGGCCTATGAGCCCACGAGGACTTTGAGATCGTCCGGGGAGGCCCTGCTCTCGATCCCGCCTGCCTCACAGGCACGCCTGGCGGGGACGAGAGACAGGGCCTTCTCGGTGGTGGCTCCTCGGCTGTGGAACACCCTTCCCGTGGACATCAGACTGGCGCCCTCCCTGATGACATTCCGCAAGAAACTAAAGACGTGGCTGTTCGAGAAGGCGTTCGAACAAGAAGTGCAATAAATTGGTAAATAAGCAAGAATAGCTCACTGGCCAGCTTGATTAGCGCTGAATGGCCTCGCAGCTTCAAAGCCTGGCTGCTTCCTGCCTGGGGGAAACGTCAGGAGAGAATGCTTCTGGAGGAGGGCCAGGCAGCCCGGAAGACGCATATGACAACACAAGGCCTACTCAAAGCAGTCAAGGCGGTCAGGAAGTAAGGTGGTGCGCGCCTCTTTTCGGGCCCTCCCGCTGCGGGGACTCACTTGCTGAGGTCCACCTCGTAGGTCTGCATCCGGGGCTTCTCCCCGCGCTTGTCCGGGTCCCACCGGTACACCGCGAACCGCTTGATACGCGCCGCCGTCGCCGCGCTCGCCCTCACCGCCGCGGTCACCGCCGCCATCTTGTCCTTTCCTTCTCCCCGGAAGGGTCCGCCGTAACCACTTCCGGTAAGAGCGGGGAAGGAGAAAAAGGGAACACGCGTCCTAGAAAGGGCGGCCATCTTGGGAAGGGCCGTTCCTCAGTCCGCAGCTATATTGAACTTCAGCCGGCGGCCATCTTGGGAAGGGCCCTTCTCAGGCCGCAGCTATATTGAACTTCAGCCGGCGGCCATCTTGGGAAGGGCCCTTCTCAGTCCTCAGCTATATTGAACTTCAGCCGGCGGCCATCTTGAGAAGGGCCCTTCTCAGTCCGCAGCTATACTGAACTTCAGCCGGCGGCCATCTTGGGAAGGGGCAAGAGGCCTCATTCCAGCGGCCATCTTGGGTGCTCCCTCCCTTCGCTCCCAGGCTTCTCTAGGGAGGGAACCCCAAAGGTCATCCAGTCCAGCCCCCCAAAAAAGAGAAATAATAACAAAAAGTATTATAGAATATAGTTATCATATTATTATATTATATATAATTATATATTATATATTATTATATTAAATGATAATATATTAAATATATATATATATATATATTATATTATTATTATCATTATGTTCTTAACACTATTAGTACTTTTGTTCTATAATAATAGGAATATAATTAATATTAGTAATCATATTAGTATTATATTATAGCAGTACAATAATATTAGTATATTATATGTATTATTAATCATTACATTATATTATTTATTTATTTATTTACCTTACTTCTATACCGCTGTTCTCAGCCCGAAGGCGACTCACAGAGGTTCACAACAAATACGAACAGCAAAAATTCAGTGCTACAGTATAGAAACAGTTAACAACCTAACACATTACACAATTAATAAACAGTTACTACAATAGCCATTCACTGTCGTCTCGTCATCAAAAACATGTTCCAGATTCGTCATCCATTGTTCCATTCCAGTGTTCATTAACCAATCATTGCACTAATTATTCAAACGCCTGCTCAAACAGCCAGGTCTTCACTTTTTTGCGGAATACCATTAGAGATGGTGCTAGTCTAATGTCCGTAGGAAGGGCGTTCCACAGCCGAGGAGCCACCACCGAGAAGGCCCTATCTCTCGTTCCCGCCAGCCGAGCTTGAGAAGCAGGCGGGATCGAGAGCAGGGTCTCCCCGGAAGATCTCAAAGTCCTGGTGGGTTCATAGGCAGAGATGCGGTCAGATAGGTAGCTTGGGCCGGAACCGTTTAGGGCTTTAAAGGCCAACGGCAGCACTTTGAATTCAGCCCGGTAGCAGATCGGTAGCCAGTGGAGTTGGCGCAATAGGGGGGTTGTATGCTCCCTGCGCTCCGCTCCTGTTAAAATCATGGCTGCCGAGCGTTGGACTAGTTGGAGCTTCCGAGCTGTCTTCAAAGGCAACCCCACGTAGAGAGCGTTGCAGTAGTCTAACCGGGATGTAACCAGAGCGTGGACTACCGTGGCCAAGTCAGACTTCCCAAGGTACGGGCGCAGCTGGCGCACAAGCTTTAGCTGTGCAAATGCTCCCCTGGTCACCGCCGAAACCTGGGTTCCAGGCTCAGCGATGAGTCCAGGGTCACACCCAAGCTGCGAACCTGCGTCTTCAGGGGGAGTGCGACCCCATCCAACACAGGCTGTAACCCTATGCCCTGTTCGGCCTTGCGACTGACCAGGAGTACCTCTGTCTTGTCTGGATTCAATTTCAATTTGTTCGCCCTCATCCAGACCGTCACAGCGGCCAAGCACCGGTTCAGGACCTGGACAGCCTCCTTAGTAGCAGGTGGAAAGGAGTGACAGAGTTGGACATCATCCGCGTACAGATGACACCGTACCCCGAAACTCCGGATGATCTCCCCCAGCGTCTTCATGTAGATGTTAAACAACATGGGAGACAATACTGAGCCCTGAGGAACCCCACAAGACAATGGTTGTGGGGTTGAACAGGTGTCCCCCAACAACACCTTCTGAGATCAACCCTCGAGGAATGACCGGAGCCACTGCAGAACAGTCCCTCCAAGACCCATCCCTGCGAGGCGTCCCAGAAGGATACCGTGGTCGACGGTATCGAAGGCCGCTGAGAGGTCCAGCAGCACCAACAGGGACACACTCCCCCTGTCGAGCTCCCGACGCAGATCATCCACTAAGGCGACCAAGGCTGTCTCGGTACCATGCCCCGGCCTAAAGCCAGACTGTGCCGGGTCAAGATAATCCGTGTCTACCAAGAATGCCTGGAGTTGTGAGGCCACCACACGTTCCATGACTTTGCCCAAAAAGGGGAGATTGGAAACAGGCCGATAGTTGTCGAATTTAGTGTCGAATTTAATAATACTACAGTAGTATTATTATCTAGTATAATAATATTAGTATATTATATGTAATATTAATAATAGTATTATTATATTATACTTATTATTATTATTAATAATAGTGTATATATTTATTATTAATATTATTAATAATCTTAATATAACATAATTATTAATGCTATTAATAATATTAGTATGTTATATGTAATGTTATTAATATTTTCAAATAATGAGGATGCTTGCCATAGATGCAGGTGAAACGTCAGGAGAAAATGCCTCTAGAACATGGCCATACAGCCCGGAAAAACCTACAACAATTTAAAATAGTATTAAATATAAAATTAACATTAGGTAAATAAATATATAAAATTAAATAAAAAATATTAAATATTATTAAATATAAAATAATTTAAAAAATAATCTTAATTATTAATTCTATTAATAATATTAGTATATTATATTTATTCATAGTGTTATTAATAATATTAATAATCTTAATATAATTCTTATGACTATTAATAATATTAGTATATTTATTCATAGTGTTATTAATAATATTAATAATCTTAATATAATTCTTATGACTATTAATAATATTAGTATATTTGTTAAAATGATTAATAACATTAGTTATGTTATGGTGTAGATATTATTCTATTTCCATTACTATCGTATTGTCCTATAAGGCAGCCCACGTGGGCAAGGAAAGAGGTTGCGGCCCCTTTAAGAGGCGTGGAATGTGAAAAGGAAACCTAAAGCGGGAACTAGCCAATCAGGGCGCGAGGCGTTGCCTACGTCACAGGGAAACCAACGTTCAAGTCCTGGGCTTCTGTTGTGCTTTCAGGTTTGCATTGAAACACTCCTTATTATTGCTATTTATATTCATATTCCACTCTTCCAACTATTATATGTACAGGCACAAATAATATATTTAATTTAAATCTCTATTTGTTTTATGCAGCTGTGTGTCTAATTTATATATAGCTTGGGGACCCGGGTTGGTGTTTATCAGTTATTTATATGGCTCACAATGGTCTCAGGAAGTTAGTGAAGGTACTGCGAGTCCCATCATCTGTGGTCCACCCTCCTCCAAACTGCACCAGGATGGAGAGTGGGTCATGGGGGCTCTGTGTGCCAAGTTTGGCCTTGATCAGTCATTGGATGAGGATCACAGCAGTCTCAGAACATGAGTTAAGGTACTGCAAGTCCCATCATCCATAGTCTGTTTTCCCCCAAACCTCACCAGAATGTTGAGTTGGGCATGGGGGCTCTCTGTGTCAAGTTTGGTCTTTATTGGTATTTGGATGAGGGTTGTTGTGGTTTCAGGAAGTGAGTGAAGGTACTGCAAGTCCCATCATCCATCGTCCATCCTTCAAACAGCACCGGGATGCAGGGTGGGTCATGGGGGCTGTGTGTGCCAAGTTTGGTCTTGATCGGTCTTTAGATGTGGGTTGCAGTGGAGTGGAGGTACTTTAAGTCCCATCATCCATGGTCTGTCCTCCAAACTGCACTAGGGTGTACAGTGGGTCATTGGGGTTCTGTGTGCCAAGTTTGGTCTTGATCGGTCATTAGATGAGGGTTGCAGTGGAGTGGAGGTACTTTAAGTCCCATCATCCATGGTCTGTCCTCCAAACTGCACTAGGGTGTACAGTGGGTCATTGGGGTTCTGTGTGCCAAGTTTGGTCTTGATCGGTCATTAGATGAGGGTTGCAGTGGAGTGGAGGTACTTTAAGTCCCATCATCCATGGTCTGTCCTCCATACTGCACCAGGGTGTACAGTGGGTCATTGGGGTTCTGTGTGCCAAGTTTGGTCTTGATCGGTCATTAGATGAGGGTTTATAGTACTCTTCGGAAGTGAGTGGAGGTACTTGAAGTTCCATCATCCATGGTCTGTCCTCCTCAAAAGTGTGTGCCAAGTTTGGTCTTGATTAGTCATTGGCGAGGGTCTCAGTGGTCTCAGAAAATGAGTGAGGTTACTGCAAATCCCATCATCCATCTCAATTTTTTTCCAAATGACACCAGGACATAAAGTGCGTCATGAGAAGTCTATGTGCCAAGTTTGGTCTTGATCAGTCATTGGATGAGGTTTGCAGAGGTCTCAGAATGTGAGTGAAGGGACTTCAAGTCCCATCATCCATGGTATGCCACTGAAACAGGATGTAGATAAGGTCATGGGGGCTCTGTGTGCCAAGTTTGGTCTTGATCGGACATTAGATGAGGGTTGCAGCAGTCTTGGGAAGGGAGTGGAGGTACTTGAAGTCCTATCATCCATGGTCTGTCCTCCTTGAAAGTGCACCAGGATGTAGTGTCATGGGGACACTATGTGCCAAGTTTGGTCTTAGGTTGTAATGGTTTTAGGAAGGGAGTGCAGGTATTGCAAGTCCCATCGTCCATGGTGCATCCTCCTCCAGACTGCACCAGGATGTAGCGTGTGTCATGGAGACTCAGTGTGCCAAGTTTGGTCTTTATCGGTAATTGGATGAGGGTTGCAGTGGTCTCAGGAATTGAGCAAAGGTACTGCAAGTCCCATAATCCATGGTCCACCAAACCACACCAGGACAGTAAAGTGGGTCATGAGAGGTCTATGTGCCAAGTTTGGTCCTGATCAGTCATTGGATGAGGTTAACAGCGGTCTCAGAATGTGAGTGATGGTACTGCAAGTCCCATCATCCATGGTTCATCCTCCTCCAAACTGCAGTAGGATGTCGAGTGGGTCTTGTGGGCTCTGTGTGCCAAGTGTGGTCTGCATTGGTAATTTTCTGACTCCGCCCCCTCTGGCCTTTTCCTTTACTCTCTTTGTCATCTTGGAATTGAGGCTGGCCAATCAGAGACCATATGCAAATTTCCTTCTCATGTCCCCGTTTCTGTCATGAACCCTCTTCTCCACCAGGGGCTCCTATTGAAGCTGGCCAATCAGAGACCATATGCAAATAGCACCACAGTGGCAGCCAATCAGAACGCTGGCACATACTCCTCCCGCCACACTTTTGTCCTCCGCATACAAACTTTGACTTTTATTATATACATAGATAGATAGATAGATAGATAGATAGATAGATAGATATAGATATAGATAATAGTAACCAACTTACTTAATCAATAATAATCATCATCATCATCATCATCAACTTACTATTTCTGGAAACCAGAAGATGGACTTGGAGAAGCTTCGCCTCTTGAACCAGGATCTCTTGCAGAAGCTGAAAGCGAACCAGGAAGCCTTAGGGAAGCGGGTCCCATCGTCCACCACCCTGCAGAAGGAGGTATGATAGGAAGGGGACCCCAAAGGTCATCCAGTCTGATCATACGGTTGGAAGGGTCGCCAAGGCTCATCTAGTCCAATCATAGAGATGGAAGGGACCTCCAAAGATCATCTAGTCCGATCATAGTGTTGGAAGGGGACCCCAAAGGTCATCTAGTCTGATTACAGCAGTGGAAGGGGACCCCAATGGTCATCTAGTCCAATTGTAGAGCTGAAAGGGACCTCAGTGGCTATCTAGTTCAATCACAGAGATGGAAGGGACCTCCAAAGTCTGATCATAGAGATAGAAGGGACCCCCAAAGGTCATCTACTCTGAGTACAGAGATGAAAGTGACCCCAAAAGTCATCTAGTCCAATCTTGGGGTTGGAAGGGACCCCAAAAGTCATCTAGCCCCATCTTAGAGATGGAAGGGACTTGTAAAGGTCATCTAGTCCAATCATGGGGTTATAAGGGAACCTGAAGGCCATCTTGTCGAATTCTAGAGATGGTAGGGATCTCCAAAGGTCATCTAGTCCAGTCATACAGATAGAAGTGACCCCAAAGGACATTTAGTCCAATCATAGAGATGGAAGGGGACACCAAAGGTCATCTAGTCTGATTACAGCGTGGAAGGGAACCCCAATGGTCATATAGTCCAATTGTAGGGTTGAAAGGGGCCTCAATGGCTATCTAGTTCAATCAGAGATGGAAGGGACCTCCAAAGGTCATCTAGTCTGATCACAGAGATGGATTGGACCCCCCCTCCAAAGGTCATTTACTCTGAGTACAGAGATGAAAGTGACCCCAAAAGTCATCTAGTCCAATCATGGGGTTGGAAGGGAACCTGAAGGTCATCTAGTCCAATTCTAGAGACGGTAGGGATCTCCAAACATCATATAGTCCAATCATAGTGTTGGAAGGGACCCCCAAAGGTCATCTAGTCTAAACATAGAGATGGGAGGGACCCCAAAGGTCATCTAGTCCAGTCATAGACATAGAAGGCAACCCACAAAGGTCATCTAGTCTGATTGTAGAATTAGAAGGGACCCACAAAGGTCATCTAGTCCAATCATAGAACTGGACGGGACCTCGGAAGGTCATCTAGTCTGGACATGGAAGGGACCCCAAATGTCATCGAGTCCAGTCATAGATATAGAAGGCAACCCCAAAGGTCATCTAGTCCAATCGTAGAATTAGAAGGGACCCACAAAGGTCATCTAGTCCAATCATAGAACTGGAAGGTGCCTCTGAAGGTCATCTAGTCCTAGAGGATCATCAGGTTGGAAGGCACCTTCAGAGGTCATCCAGTCCAATAATGGTTTTGCTTTTGTTGCCAGAAGGAGAGCCGAGACCGGTGTCCACAATCTATAGTTTGGGTGCCGTCGTCGGAAGCTTCCGGACCTTCCCAGGAAGTGGAAAATATCTGCCTCAGGAAAGAGGAGGAAGTGGCGGTCGAGGAAAGGCGCCCGAGGCCGAGAGTTCAGATGCCGCCGGCGCCCAAGCCCATCCTGCTGACGCCGCATCAGAAAGAGAAGCCGAAGGTGCGCCTCTAGGCATTTCCTGGGTCCTCCAGGGTACGTCTATAGGACCCCGCCATTCGAAAGTATCCTTTTCCTTTCCTAGAAGGAAGCCCCTCGCGTGACCTTTGTGTCCGACCCGGAAGAACATGCGACCCCCCTAGGAGTAAGGTCCGCCCGGCCTTTCCTCGGATACGACTGGATCGCAGGTCAGGTGGGAGGTCATGTCTGGGTCACTTTGGGAAAATAATAATAATAATACATAATATTTCTATTACTACCRAAGCATGGATACTACTACTACTTTTACTACTATTAGTAGTAATAATAATATTTTTAAATTATTTTTAATGTATGATCYGCCTCTTCCTACGTCTCCATAATAATAATAGTAATACATAATATTTCTATTACTACCAAAGCATGGATACTACTACTACTTTTACTACTATTAGTAGTAATAATAATATTTTAAAATTATTTTTAATGTATGATCCGCCTCTTCCTACATCTCCATAATAATAATAATAATACATAATATTTCTMTTACTACCAAAGCATGGATACTACTACTTTTACTACTAYTAGTAGTAATAATAATATTTTAAAATTATTTTTAATGTATGATCCGCCTCTTCCTACGTCTCCATAATAATAATAATAATACATAATATTTCTATTACTACCAAAGCATGGATACTACTACTACTTTTACTACTAGTAGTAGTAATAATAATAATATTGTTTAATTATTTTTAATGTATGATCTGCCTCTTCCTACATCTCCCTCTCCTTTGGGGATGATGGTCTCCTCCCTTACGCTCTCTAGGACTCCTTGATATGGATTCTTCCGTCACGGAGAAACCGGATCAGTACTTCTCCGAACTCCAGGAGTTCCGGCAGGTGAACCAGAAGGACTGCCTCGGCGACCGGGACTCGTGGTGAGCGCCCCGGATCCACTCCGGGTTTCAGTCCATAACTGAACAAGCCATTCTTCCTGATCTGCTTTGAATGACGGACTCAAACTTGGGCTGATAGTAGTGAACAACAGACAATGGAAAGACCCAAAATCTCGAAGCCCTGTTGTTTGTTTGTTTGTTTGTTTACCTCCCTCTTTCCTCTCTGCAGGTTGGAGAGCTTCGAGACCTCGAGTCGCGACATGGATCCCACGTCCCATCAATGTATGATTGTGTCCTGAAAATGGGATCTAGAGTTCTACTGACCATCATTGAATGACTTGACTTTTCCTCCCCATGTCTTTCGGTTCTAGGTGTCTTCCGCTACCGGGTAAACAAGCGGCTCTTTCCGGAACCGATGGATCCGGAACCGGCGTGTGCTGTGTGCAGAATCCCCCGCGCCCGGAAGCCTCCCGAAACCCTCGTGGAACCCGCTTTTGTTAGGTGAAGCTACCAAAAATATTGTATTATTTGTCTACCATATATATATATATACACACACACACACATATATATAAATAAATATAATATAAATATAATATGTTGTAAATATGTAATATTAAATATTTTGCCTCCATAAATAAATATAATATAAATATAATATGTTGTAAATATGCAATATTTGTAAATATGCAATATTAAATATTTTGCCTCCACAAATAAATATAATATAAATATAATATGTTGTAAATATGCAATATTAAATATTTTGCCTCCACAAATAAATATAATATGTTGTAAATATGCAATATTAAATATTTTGCCTCCACAAATAAATATATGTTGTAAATATGCAATATTAAATATTTTGCTTCCACAAATAAATATAATAGGTTGTAAATATGTAATATTAAATATTTTGCCTCCACAAATAAATATAATATGTTGTAAATATGCAATATTAAAAAATATATTATGCTCCCTCCACAAATAAATATAAAATTATATTAATATATTTTAAGGCATATTTATGACCTACTATATCATTGTTATAAATCTGCAATATGAAAATATATTATTTCCCCTCCATAATTAATATGTTACAAATATGTAATATTTTAAATATATTATTTTCCCACCACAAATATAAATTTATATTAATATATTTTAATATTGTATATTTATAACATATTATATTATTATTTTAAATATTAAAAATTTAAAAATATTATCTTCCCTCCACAAATAATTATAAAATTATATCAATATATTTTAATATTGCATATGTATAACATATTATATTATTGTTATACATATGCAATATTAGAAATATATTGATATTTTAATATTGCATATATATATATATATATATATATATATATTTCCTACACAAATAAATACAGAACTATATAAGTATATTTTTAATATTGCATATTTATACTATTGTTTTAAATATGCAATATTACAAATATGTTATTACAAATATGTTATATTGTAATATTACAAATATGTTATTTTCCTCCACAATAAATATGTTATAAATATTAAATATTAAAAATACATTATTTTCCCTCCACAATATAAAAAATATTAATATATTTTAACATTGCACATTTAGAACATATTATAATATTCTCATAAATATGCAATACTAAAAATATATTATTTCTCCTCCACAAATAAATATAAAATTGTATTAATCTATTTTCAGTATTGCATGTCTATATTACATTTCCATTACCATATTTCAAATAAATATAACATTATATTAATATATTTTAAATATTGCATGTCTATAACATATTACATTTACGTTATTATATTTTTGTCGTGTCCAAATAATATATATATATATATATATATATATATATATATATACACACACACATACACACATATATACACATATATACACATATATACATATATATATATATACACACATATATACATATATACATATATATATATATAATATTAATATATTATAATCTTTTGGTGGACAAATAATATATTTTTAATATTTCATGTTATTATAGGTATGTTATAGGCATATTAAAATATAAATATAGCATAATATAATGTATGATATGTCATAATATGCCCTTTGATTTGGGGTTCGCCTAGCCCGGTTGTAGGGCTGGAAGGGACCCCCAAAGGTCATGTAGTCCAACCTTGCAGGGTCAGCGTGCCCAGAGCCACCCTCCTCCCGGCCTACAAGCACAAGATCCACCGTAGGAAAAGCTTTGACCCGGCCGGAGACCTGGCGTTGCCCTCGGTGAGTCTGGGGTCCGAGTGAGGGACGGGCGCAATTAATAAACGTATTTAATTAATACCAAACTCTTAATTTCCTTTTCAACATGGTAGCACTGCCTGGCCGGCTGGGAAGAGCCTGTCCGCACCTTCAGCCCGGCCCCCAGCAGCCTGGACCTCCGCTCCTCCTTGACCAGCAGGACGACTGACCACTCCAAAAAGGCAAGAGAGATGGAGTGAATCGCCCACCTATTCAGTGTACTATAGGGCTGGACGGGACCCCAAAGGTCATCTAGTCCAATCGTAGAGTTGGAAGGGTGCTCCAAAGGTCATCTAGTATGATTACAGAGATGGAAGGTTACCATAAAAGTCATCTAGTTCTATTGTAAGGTTTAAAGGGACCCCCAAAGGTCATCTAGTCCAATCACAGAATGGGAAAGGACCTCCAAAGGTCATCTAGTCCAATGATAGACATGGAAGGGACCCCCAAAGGTCATCTAGTCCCATCACAGAACTGGAAAGGACCTCCAAAGGTCATCTAGTCCAATGATAGACGTGGAAGGGACCCCCAAAGGTCATCTAGTCCAATCGCAGAATGGGAAAGGACCTTCAGAGGTCATCTAATCCAATGATAGATGTGGAAGGGACCTCCAAAGGTCATTTAGTCCAATCACAGAACTGAAAAGGACCTCCAAAGGTCATCCAGTCCAATTATAGACGTGGAAGGGACCTCCAAAGTTCATGTAGTTCAATCACAGAACTGGAAAGGACCTCCAAAGGTCATCTAGTCCAATGATAGACGAGGAAGGGACCCCCAAAGGTCATCTGGTCCAATGATAGACGTGGAAGGGACCTCCAAAGGTCATATAGTCCAACGACAGACGTGGAAGGGACCCCCAAAGGTCATCTAGTCCAATTACAGAACTGGAAAGGACCTCCAAAGATCATCTAGTCCAATGATAGACATGGAAGGGACCCCCAAAGGTAATTTAGTCCAATCACAGGACTGAAAAGGGTCTCCAAACGTCATTTAGTCCAATGATAGAAGTGGAAGGGACCCCCAAAGGTCATTTAGTCCAATGATAGAAGTGGAAGGGACCCCCAAAGGTCATCTAGTCCAATTACAGAACTGGAAGGGGCCTCCAAAGGTCATCTAGTCCAATCAAAGAAATGGAAGGAAGCCCCAAGGGTCATCTAGTCTGACCGTAGAGCTGGAAGGGCCTCTTGAGGGCCATCTGCTCCAAACCTAGGGCTGGAAGGGAGCCCCAAAGATCATCTAGTCCAACCCCAGGTTAAAGCATTCCCAAAAGATGTCCATCCAGCCTTAATGTTCTTGTTTGGCCTCCAGAATTCCCGAATATCAGGAGGAACCCTGACGGACGAACTGCTGGACCTTTCTCGAGCCGCACAATTTGAACTCGGAGGCGCCATCCGACCCTGTTACTTTGCAAAATAATTTCCAATTAAATACAGATATTCCTTTTTTTCCCATTGGCTTTCCCTCTTTACACTTTGGAGCAACAGACATCTCATTTAACCCAATGTTATATATATATAAATAAATATAATATATGTATGTATGTATGTATGTATGTATATAATGGTTATATACATTATATATATATATATACTATATATATGTGTATATGTATGTATATATGTGTGTGTATATACATACATACATACATACATACATACATATATATATATATATATATATGGGAAGACAAGCCACTTAAACCCTTGTATCATGCATTGGATGATTCCCTTTTTGCTAATTTGTTCCCTTTTCGATCAATAAATCAATTTACATTTTTAATACCAATGTCTCCAGTCAAAAGTAATTTTTAAACTAACATATATTTTTGAAAGGCATAAAATGTCAATTTTTTTCCCCTCCTGTCAGGGCAGCCAGTCAATTATATTACATTTCTAACAGAACAAAGCAAACAAACAGAGAAAATACAAAATGTGTGAGTTTGGTAGTTGATTAAATGTCCTTTGACCAGTATCTGGCCACTTGGAGTGCTTCTGGTGTTGCTGCAAGAAGGTCCTCCCTTGTGCATGTGGCAGGGCTCAGGTTGCATTGCAGCAGGTGGTCAGTGGTTTGCTCTTCTCCGCACTCGCATGTCGTGGATTCCACTTTGTGGCCCCATTTCTTGAGGTTGGCTCTGCATCTCGTGGTGCCAGAGCGCAGTCTGTTCAGCGCCTTCCAAGTCGCCCAGTCTTCTGAGTGCCCAGGGGGGAGTCTCTCATTTGGTATCAATGAGGTTTGAGCCTGCCACTTTTGGACTCTTGCTTGCTGAGGTGTTCCAGCGAGTGTCTCTGTAGATCTTAGAAAACTATTTCTAGATTTAAGTCGTTGACATGCTGGCTGATACCCAAACAAGGGATGAGCTGGAGATGTCACTGCCTTGGTCCTTTCACTATTGGCTGCTACTTCCCGGCGGATGTCAGGTGGTGCGATACCGGCTGGACAGTGTAATTTCTCCAGTGGTGTAGGGCGCAGACACCCCGTGATAATGCGGCATGTCTCATTAAGAGCCACATCCACTGTTTTAGTGTGGTGAGATGTGTTCCACACTGGGCATGCATACTCAGCAGCAGAGTAGCATAGCGCAAGGGCAGATGTCTTCACTGTGTCTGGTTGTGATCCCCAGGTTGTGCTAGTCAGCTTTCGTATGATGTTGTTTCTAGCGCCCACTTTTTGCTTGATGTTCAGGCAGTGCTTCTTGTAGGTCAGAGCACGGTCCAGAGTGACTCCCAGGTATTTGGGTGCGCTGCAATGCTCCAGTGGGATTCCTTCCCAGGTAATCCTCAGAGCTCGGGATGCTTGTCTGTTCTTAAGATGAAAGGCACATGTCTGTGTTTTGGATGGATTAGGGATCAGCTGGTTTTCCCTGTAATAGGCAGTAAGAGCACCTAGAGCTTCTGAGAGCTTCTGTTCAACCATCTCAAATTAATTTTAATATATATATATATACTAGCTGTCCCCTGCCACGGTTGCTGTGGCCCAGTTTGTTGATCTGGAAAATAAAGTAATGAGAAAGTGTTGGTTTCTAATATATGTAATTCCTTTCTGCTTGTGGATAAAAAGTATTTCTTGTTGTTTCTTTGACAGTGTTGACGTAGACATTGTCTGGTTTGTCTACTCTGGAACATGCAACGTATCATTGTCCTTCTTCAGGGGTCCCTTTCAAATCTATGATACTATACCTGTGTGTGTTGAATCATATCTATCTAATCTATGGCTGGATGGCTCTTTGTTAGGAGGGCTTTGATTATATTTTCTTGCCCTGGTGAAGGAAGTTGGACTGGTTGGCCTTCAGTATGGGGGTTCTGTGTGGGAAGTTTGCCCCAATTCTGTCCTTGGTGGGGTTCAGAATGCTCTTTGATTGTAGGTGAACTATAAATCCCCGTAACTACAACTCCCAAATGTCAAGGTCTATTTCCCCATCTGTGTTTATATTTGGGCATATGGAATATTCGTGGCAAGTTTGATCCAGATCCATCATTGTTTGAGTCCACAGTGCTCTCTGGATGTGGGTGAACTATAACTCCCAAACTCAAGGTCAATGCCCACCAAATCCTTCCAATCATTTCTGTTCGCCGTTGGAGTTATGTGTAGGAAGTTTGCCCAAATCTGTCATTGGTGGGGTTCAGAATGCTCTATGATTGTAGGTGAACTATAAATCCAGCAACTACAACTCTCAAATGACAAAATCATATTTTTGAGTGATGGTCACTCCTTGGATTAGTAGGTGTCTTGTGGCCAAATTTGGTGTCAATTCGCCCAGTTGTTTTTGAGTTATGTTAATCCCACAAACGGACATTACATTTCTATTTATATAGACTAGCTGTCCTTTGCCACGCTTTGCTGTGGTCCACGTGGGGGTTCTGAGTGGGAGGTTTGGCCCAATTCTCTCATTGGTGGGGTTCAGAATGCTCTGTGATTGTAGGTGAACTATAAATCCCAGCAACTACAACTCCCGAATGTCAAGATTCTATTTCCCCCAAACTCCACCAGTGTTCACATTTGGTCATATTGAGTATTCGTGTAGAGTTTGGTCCAGATCCATCATTGTTTGAGTCCACAGTGATCTCTGGATGTTGGTGAGCTACAACTCCAAAACCAAAGGACACTGCCCACCAAATCCTTCCAGTATTTTCTGTTGGTCATGGGAGAACTGTGTGCCACATTTGGTTCAATTCCATCATTGGTGGAGTTCAGAATGCTCTTTGATTGTAGGTGAACTATACATCCCAGCAACTACAACTCCCGAATGTCAAGATTCTATTTTCCCAAAAACTCTACCAGTGTTGACATTTGGGCATATTGAGTATTTGTGCCAAGTTTGGTCCAGATACATCATTGTTTGAGTCCACAGTGATCTCTGGATGTAGGTGAACTACAACTCCCAAACTCAAGGTCAATACCCACCAAACCCTTGCAGTATTTTCTATTGGTCAGGGGAGAACTGTGTGCCAAGTTTGGTCCAATTCCATCATTGGTGGAGTTCAGAATGCTCTTTGATTGTAGGCGAACTATAAATCCCAGCAACTACAACTCCCAAATGACAAAATCATTTTTTTGAGTGAAGGACATACGTTGGGTTGTTAGGTGTCTTGTGTCCAAATTTGGTGTCAATTCGTCAAGTGGTTTTTGAGTTCTGTCAATCCCACAAACGAATATATAGATATCTATATATATAAAAAACATGTGAGCATCAACACTGGCTTCGCGTTCCGCGTGAAAGTGGCGATTATCTCCCATTGGGCACGGAAGGGTTCCGAAGGAGGCTTCCGGCTTCTCATTGGCTCCTTGCGTTGCCATGCAACCGAAAGCCAGCCTCCTTCCTGCAGAGCTCTCTCTGTTGGCGGCTGAATGAAGCTGTGGCTCCTGATGTGCGGCCTGTGGCTATTCGGGTCCACCTGTGGGGTCAGTTTAAGGCCGGACGATGGTAAAGCATGAGAGGTCATCACGTTCTTTGGCCCCTTAAGAGGGCCAACGGGGGTCCAATTTTGGGTGGGAAATGGACTTGTTGAGAGCAGTCTGCCGTTGGTTGCAACAAGCCTTGGTTTGTGGAGTGCAAACAGCCTCGTTGCAATAAACCATGGTTTGCTGAGTGAGATCTTTGGCTTGTTGTAATAAACTATAGCTTGTTGAGAGAACTACACCTAGTTGCAGTAAACCATGGTTTGTTGTGTGCAAAGTATAGTTCTAATACATCATGGTTTGTTGCAATGAGCCATGGTTTGTTGAGTGCAAACTATGCCTTGTTGCAATAAACCATGGTTTGCTGAGTGAGATCTCTGGCTTGTTGCAATAAACTATAGTTTGCTGACAGAAG